GAGATAGCAGCGCGGCGCCAGGACTAGGCCAGGCCAGGACCGCCGCGGTCTCGTCCCTCTCGCACTCACGGGACGTCCCGTCGGGGTGCGAGGGAGGCAGAGCGACGGAACGCTGCGAGGGATCGGAGTGAGGGCGAGCGGTGCCTCTCGGAGTCCAAGACTGAGTTAGGGGAAGGGCATCCGGAGGCAATGCGTTCAGAGGCAGATCGGATTCAGCAAGGAGTGTATGCACTCCTGCAAAGCGCGCTGCGGTGGAAAAACACTGCACACACACTGCCAAGCACCGTCCTCTGGCGGCACAGTCCGCGCAGGTCGTAGACCCCGCCGGCCGCCTGCACGGCCTCTCTCTCGCACTCACGGCGCGTCCCGTGAGGGTGCGACAGAGACGGGGCGACGCTGAATCGGCCAGCGGGCCGCACCGCGAGGGACTCGGCAAAGGCTGGTACCGACCGAGGCAAACCCACTCCAAACTAGATTGGGGGAACACGCTCACTCACACACAGCGCCAAGGTCAAGATCGGAACTGGTAGACCGACATTCTGGATGAAGCGAATAAATTAAGGCGAGGGAGTGAGAGAGTCGCCAGGCGAACGCGGCAAGCGGCCACACAATGGCTCAAGCTCGCCCTGCTGCTGGCCGACGGCGCCGACGGCATGAATGGAACATCGAGTCAAAGAGTCTCTGCTCCGGGAGTCCAGTCGTCGTCATGGCAACCGCCTTCGGCCGCCTTTGGCAAGAACGCGCACGTCCTCCTGCTTGCAGAGATCCGCCTCGCCGCCACGGAGAGCCTGGAGGAGGCCGTGGTGCCTCTGGAGCTGGAGCCGCGCGGACCGGCGGGCGACTCTTCCCTGCTCTTTCCGCCACAGCCCGAGAGGCACGCCGTCGAGGCCCAGGCTCCCTGTTGTTGTCGCGGACCCGGCGAGCCATCGCATCGCCGGAGCGGATCGGCGCGTCTCTTGCGGCAAAACCGGCTGATCAGGATCACGTGACTGTTCATGACCCAGTTGCGGATACGGCGGGGAAGGGGGGAAGGGGGCGGCCTGACATAACTTGAAAAAGCCAAGCGGGGCGCTGCGCGCTGCGCGACGCTCCGTGCGCCAGCCGCCTGTCTCTCTCGCACCCCTGCGGGACGCGCCGCGAGTGCGAGAGAGACACAGCGACTGGCCGATCAGGCGGCAGGTTCGCCTTGCCTTTTGCCGTGCGCGCCGTGCGCCGCCTTGCGCCTCCCAGGCAGGCCAAACAGAATAAATCATCAAGGAGTGAACACAAGGCGATAAGCAACTAGAGCGGCCTGGCTGTCCTGCCCGGCCTGGGGCGGGGAAAAATGCCGCTGGGTCCAGAGCCGGGCAGAATCCGGCGGGGATCCTGTCTCTGGTGGATCCTGCCTCAAAGCCCATACAGAGAATACACTAGCACTCGGCGAGTAGCACACCTCGGCACTGGGTGAACTTTCCAGCCAGACAGCACACAGCACCTACACTCGAAAAAGACATAGCGTGCCAAGTGTACCGAGTTCACTGCCAGCACATGATCATGAGAGTCACCGGCTCGCCTTGCCGGCCCTGCTGAACAGGGCGTCGTCGCTGTCTCCCTCGCGGCCCTACGGGACGCCCCGTGAGTGCGAGAGAGACGGAGCGACGAATCGGCCTGCAGGCCCCAAGGGCAGCCCGAGGGCCTGCGCGTCCTTGGCGGCCATGCCTTGGCCGTGCCTCGCCTTGCCATAACGCGCCTGTTGATGCAGAACGCTTGCAGCGTTGCCCGGCCCGACGTTGCCCACTCCTCCGTGACGGCACGGACGACATAGACGCGGCGCGACAACGTGGTCCTGGCGCGCTGGCGCCGTCCTTGGCGCAGCCACACGAGTAAACGCGCTGTCGAGCGATTCCCAATTCCGAACAACAGCGCTTTCGTCGCTCTCGCTCTGACGGGGTGTGTCCCGTGTGGGTGCGAGAGAGACAGAGCGACGGAGCAATGTTCGGAACCACCAGTCCGCTGCACGCACACCGGATGTGGCCCCGATGCAAGCGCGACCGCCAGTAACGCCGGTTCCACCAAAATAGATAGACCATGCCTGCGTTTGTGAACCGCCCAAAATTTGCCGCAGTGCTGGGCGACGTCCGCCCGGCCAGGTGGAGGCCGGGGCAGCGTTCACCAGCGCTTGAACCTCGAAACCGCGGCGCCGCGGCCGCGCTCTGCGACGGAAATCGAGAGTGCCCCGGCGCGGCGCGGCAAGGCGATCATTACATTCCAGAACGTCCTCGCTCACCGCTCCCGGACCTCCCGGACGAGCTCGCCCGGTGTCCTGGGTTTTTTCCTGCAGCCGCCCTGCGAAGGACAACTCCCGGGGGTGGGCGGCCGCGGCCATGGGCAGCCAATGGGCGACTGGGACTCGTTTTCAGGTTCAGGCGCTGCCGGGGCCTTGTCAGGGCCTCGCCGGCCGGCCCGGCCGAGCCTTGTCGTCGGGGAGGTCAAGTCAGCTGGGCGCAGGGCGGCAGGGCGGCAGAGCGGCAGGGCGTGGCGGCGGCGCGACGGTGACGCCGGTCGGCTGTTTGTGTCCGGCCGGCCGGTTCGTTCATTTGGGATGCGGAAGGGAGTGGCGGGCGACGCGGCGACGCGGTCGATATGCCCAGCCGTCACTCTGGCGGGGAACGGCAACGCGACGGCGCCGCGTCGCCCAGCAGACTGATTCCGAGAGTCGTTTTCATCGCTCCGTCTCGCTTGCACGTTGACGGCACACGCCGTGAGTGCGAGAGACACGGTGCGACGAAAACGACTCTCGGAGTCAATCTGCAGATAGACTTACGTCGCCAAGACAGGCTCGTGTCGCCCAGCGCACCGTCGCCCACCTGCTGTTGCGCGGCTTGCGGCTCGCGGCCTGCACCGCGACGCGGCGACGCAGTCAGCTGTTGAATGGCGGGCGCGTGTTTACCCAGGTGCGCGTCAAGCCGCGGTGCGCGGTGCGCCGCCGGTGCACTTTCCCCCCAAACGTTAGCGCGTCGGCGTCGACGTCCGCGTGCTAAATCTCGGCCCGCTTGGCCGTGCCCGTGACGCCACGCGACGCCACGACGCCCAGATGGCCGTCAGCTGTTCGCGCGGACAAAGACTCGCAGGCGGCGGCGCGGCGGCGATCCAGGCAGGCCCCGGGCTTGGGGCTTAGAGCTTCGAAGGGTCCGTGTGTTTCTTTGCTTTCCCTATCGCGCCGTCCTGCACGTCCTGCACGTCCTGTCACTGGACGCAGCGCGCCCGGCCGGCCAGTCCTCTCCCTGTCCCCATCGGCGCAGCAGCGCAGCAGCGCGCAGCAGGTCGTCGACGTCGTCGTCTTGAATCCGTGGCGTCGCGGCGCCGCGGACTGAGGGTCATTGCTCGACCCGCGGCGCCGCAACGGGCGTCGCCAAACTCACACAAAACACTGACACTACACTGGCGTCGCACACGCGTCGCGTCGCGTCGCGGCGGGCACGCGTGCCGCGGGGCGCGTGAACGCACGGTCGCACGGCACGCCAGGCCACGGGGCACTGAAGGAGCGACTGCCTGGCTGCCTTGCCTGGCCTGGCGGTGCTGGTGCTGGCACAGCCAGGGCACAGCCTGCCTCGGCCTGCCTCGGCCCGCCTGGCACAAGGCGTGCTGGGCGTGCTGGCGGCGTGGCGGCGCGTAGCGGGCGCGGCGGCGTGGCGTAAGCGGCGAGGGCCCCTGCCCCCGCCACGCCCCCCTCCACCCGACCGCGGCGCGGCCACGGTCCCCTCGAGCACCGCGCGGCGCCGCGCCCGGCCCGGTACGGCGGCACGGCGGCACGGCGTCGAGGTGGCCGTGCCGTCGATACACCTTGCGCCGAGTCCACCGTGCCGTGCGCCCCCGTGCAGGGCCCCGGGCAGGTCCCCGGCGGGGCCGTGGACGCGAAGGTGCCCCGCCGCGACATCGTCGCCCACCTGGCGGCCTACGTGTCGTTGACGAGCAGGCCGACGGTGCGCCGCGGCTCGCACTACCTGTTGAGCGCCGCAGTGGACCGTGGACCAGCCGGCCGGCCCCGCTGACGAGGGCATTGCAGCCTGCAGGGAGACTCCGACGTCCTCGTTGCTCTGAAAGTAGTGACTTTTGCTGACTTTGGGCGGCCACTAAGCCCAATCTAGCTTTGATTCAAGGCCTCCCTCGACGCCCTGGTACTCTAAGGACTCTACTCTTTCATGGCCCGCCTCGGGAACGACTTAACAACCTCAAACAGTTTCGGAGCATCGGGATCGCAAAGTTGTCCAAAAAGTGACTGTATCGCTGAAAATGGTGACTTTTGCGGAGGTCCTCTCTTTCATCGGCCGGCAGCGCCCGGGAGTAGGTTGGGCTGCCTAGGCACCGAGGGGCTTCTCGGAGGCGGCCGGGTCGCGGACTCGGTCGGAGTGGAAGGGGAGGGAAGATGAGAGTGCTGAGGCAGCGTGGCGCGTTGCAGAGTCGCCGAGTCGCAACGAAGTGAGCTTGATTGGACGGCGGCGTCTCATTCCGTTCGGACTGAGGCAGTGCTCTGGCAGTGTGGCAGTGCTGTGGCAGGGCGAGCTTGTCGTGTCGCAGCGCAGCGGGGACAAGGTCGCCGGCGGCCACAAAAAGCAATCCGGCGTGCATGCCGTGCTACGGACACGCGGGAGCACTTCTTGCCCTCCCCTGTGCTCCGCCGTGCTCCGCCGTGCTCCGCGGCCCTGCAGCGCGTTCCTGGAATCCTCCGGGGCCGTGGCGGGGCGGTGCCGGCGCAGCCCCTGGAATGGCTCAGCTGGCATGACATGGGCGCCGTGTCCTTGGCCGCCGCGACCTTGCAGCGCCGCGCCACCGCGCCGGCACCACCCCGAGCCCCGGGCCCCGGGCCCCGGGCAGTAAACGGAGGGCGGCGGGATGACTTTTGCATTACCCTGTACCTTCGCGGAGCCTTCGCGGAACCACCACCGCCGCGCCGCGAAAGGCTGGCCTGGCCCGCTGGCGGTTAGAGGGGAGGGGGGAGTCGGGACTCCAATAGCGCTTACCTTGCATCCGCACCTCCTCTGGCCGTCGCCGTCCATGGTGGCGACCTGCAACACGAGCAAAGCGAGTGTAAAAAGTGGCGAACTGGCGGCAGCGTGAAGGTGACGGTGATGTCGAGGGGGAGCGGTGCGGGTGCAGATGGAGGCAGCAACACGGGGGGTCACGTAGGGGTGCTTGGTAAGCCACTCAGGGCAGGTCACGTGAGGTGCAAGGTAAGCCGAGCATGGTAAGTCAACCGGGGTTAGTCACGCCACACGGTAAGCCATGGGGATGGGGTAAGTCATGCAGGGGACGGTGCAGGTGGGAAGCCACGGTCCGATGTTGGTAAGCCATCGGGAGTCACGGGGTGCAAGGTAAGCCAGCAGGTAAGTCAACGGTGTCAGCCACAGGTAAGCATGCAGGGCGGATGGAAGTCAGCGGGGTAAGTCAGCGTGGGAAGCCACAGTCGCGATGTATGGTAAGTCATGCAGGGTAAGTAACGCAGGGTAAGTCATGCAGGGCGGACGGTCAGACACGCGAGGTAAGTCACGCGGCGGCGCACGGCTGGCCCAGGTGCAGGCAGCGCCCTGGCGGTAGGCAAGCTAACGAGCACCGATGTCGGCAGTATTGGCCGTCACGCAGGCGGACAGGCGGACGCAGCTGGCTTGCCACGGCCCTAGCCAGGAGGGTGAGAGAGAAAGAGATAGAGGGGTAGTCTTGGTCGGGGCCGAAGCGCCAGGGCCAGGACCTCGCTTCACTGGCTTCAAAGCAGCAGGCCCTGCCGCCCGGCCGCACTCCCCTCTGATTTCCACCGCCTCAAAGACGCCAAGACATCAAGGGAATGGCGCTTCGATTCCCGGCAGCTTCCCGCGCTCCAAAGTCGCACGCGCCGAGGGCTGCGGACGGACTCCGAGAGTCGCCCTCGTCGCTCTGTCTCTGTCGCAATGGTGGGGCGTCGCGCGCAGGTGCGAGAGAGACAGAGCGACTCTCGGACTCAGTCTGCAGGGAGGAGCTGCGGAACGAGGCGAGCGAGGGCCGAGGGAGATACGATACGACCCCCACTGGAAAGCAGTGCCTTCACAAAGGGGGTGCCGACAGGCGGACAGACCGACAGGCAGACAGGCAGGCCGACTCACGGAAGAGCAGCTTATGCACCTGCCCAATCAGCTCCAGATCCACGGAGCGGTTGGAGCGGCCGAGCGGCCAGGGACGCCGGCCCTCAGAGAAACTAGAGAAACGAGACAAAGCGGCATTCGCGAAGCGGAGCCGGACGGGGTTCTGCGAGCGGCACGGCGGCGATTGGCCTTTGTTCGGGAAGGGGCGCGGCGGCTCCACGCGGGGCGAAACATCGCACCCGCCTCAATGGGGCACCGACAAGGGCACCGACGGGGCACCGCGCGCACTGGGGCCATTCCAGGATGCAAACCGTCACGCAGTTCCCGTCGAAATGAAACCACCTGCTTTTGGAACATGCTTCGGGGCGTTTTGCCGGGCTGCCTGCCGCATCGACCCGACCCCGAATTCCCTCCTCGGTACATCTCTGTCCGCTTGGCCCGCCACGGCCCGCCACGGCCCGGCTTGCCCCAGTCCCGCCTCGTCCTCGGCAAGGGCCGCGCGCCTTATCAAGGGTTTAGCAGTACAGTGGTGGCACGGCACGGCACGGCGCGGACCAGGCGCGGATCCAGGGGAGGGCGAGGGGGCGGCCAAGCTGCCTGGTAGTTAGGCAAAAAGCCGCACTTTGCCCCTGTAAGTAGGCAACTTTCACGCCCCCCACCCCCCTGGAGCCGTCTCCTCGGCCGGACCCACTTTCAACTTCGGCAGAAGCAGCCGACACGACACGCCACGCCACCAGATAACGCGACGCGCATTGAACCTCTTGGGCATTTTTCGCGCGGCGCGGGTTCAACTCCGGCCGTCTCTTCCTTTCGTTTCCCCGCACCTGACGGCCTGGCAGGCTCGGATTTCCTTTTTCCTCAACGTGGCGGCCGATACAGGCGCACAGAGGCACACGTGGCCGGCCGCGACTTTCTTTCGATTAGATAGAGTTAATTAAATTCCGGCACGGCACTGAGGCCATGCTGCCATGCTGCCAGGCTGAGGCACTGCACATGACGTGCCCCGGGCTGCGCGCTGCGCGCTGCGAGTGGGTTGGCAGTCGGTGCTGTTCGCGCCGTTGCGAGGGTTGCGCTGTCCGCGGTCGTCCGGACACCGCCCCCTCCGCTCCACTGCATGCGGGGGCCGCGTCCGTCGTCAGGGAAGCTCGCCGTCATCATCCGTTCGATGCCGGAGCCCGGAGTGTTGCGCCCTTTCCGGCCTGCTGGTTGGCGCTTTACCTGCTGATAGTTGACCGCGCTGCTGCTCATGGTGTTATCGTGCGTTAATCCAAACAGGCACGCGTGGGAACCACGCCGGCGTCACGGCGCCGTCACGCCGCGGACACGCAGGGAGCGCTCGCCGCCAGCCGCATAGGGCCAAGAGCTAGGGGTGCCCCGCGCCGCGCCGCGCGCCGCCAAGGGGGTAGTCGGGGTGCCCCTCGTCCGAACACGCCGCGAAGGAGCGCGCCCGGGGACGTCTGCCGACTCACTGGACCGTAGGACCGTAGGGCCGTACCCAGACGTCGCTCATCGCATGGCCCGACGCCCGGCGCCCCGCGCCCCGCCATGGCAGCGCCGTCGCGAGCAGCGGAGCAGCGTACGCCGGCCGCCCCGGCCGCCCCGCACCGAGCAGCGTCGCGACGCCCGCTGTGCATGCGCCGGCGACGCAACGCCACGCCCTCGACAGCGCGCCGAGCCAGCCGAGCGGCCCGCGCCAGGGCTTTCGTCGCTCTGTCTCTCTCGCGCGCCTTCGGGACGCCCCATGTGTGCGAGAGAGACAGAGCGACGCAAAGCGACGGCGGCCCCGGCTGGAGGGAGCGGATTGGAACCGTCCCCCCGCTGTGACCGCGGACATCGGGGGATGACCAGCACGCCGGCGGCTGGTGCCACATGGCGATCCACAGCGGGCTGCAGCGACGGCAACCTGCTCGATCGAGGCTCGGAGCATGCAAGGTGCCTGCTGGGGGCGCCGGGGTGGGGGTGAGGCAGGGTGAGGCCCCAGCCCGGCGCCCCCGTGGGGCCCTGCTCGGCCTGCTAGGCCTCAGGCCGTGCGGTGGAGTGGAGCGCGCTGTAGCCCCGGGCCTCGTGGCCCTAATGGCAGCGGCAGCCCTCATTTTGTTTAGAAGGCAGTTTCCATGGCGACTCAATTCGCGCCAGTGACGGGAGAGCGAGAGAGAGAGAGGGAAGGACGCTTTCAATAAGCCTAATCAGTCGGCGGCGGCAACGGCAGGCGTGGCACGGCGTGGCAGGGCGCAGGCGCAGGGCACGGCGCAGCCCGGGCTTTCTGGCCTAGCCGCCCAGCCCAGTGAGTGGCATCACACCAGCGGTCGCCAACCGCTCCGCCCGCTCCACCCTGCCAGCCAATCACGTGCCTCCCTTCCGAATTGCTGTCAATAAGCCCGGCTTTCAACATTTAATCCCTCCTCTGTTTGTATCCCGTTCCAATTCGGCCACCGCGGGTGCGAACTTAGCAGGCCCTCAAAATACGAAATCCCGTTCTGTTTTCTCCCAGGCGCCACGGCGCGCCACGGGCTCCACGCGGGCATGCGGGCAACGAGTCCAATATAATAGATTGGGCTGCGCCGCATGGCTCCGCATGGTTCGCCGCGCCACGCCGCGCCATGGCCGGCAGAATAGAACGGAAAGCGAGCGGCACTTGGCTGACTTGGCGCGGCGGCAGCGCGGCGTTCGCCCTTTGAGGGCTGCCGAGCGAATCCGAAGAGTCGTCACGTCTCTCTCGCACACCGCCGGTGCGCCCCATGAGTGCGACAGAGCGAGGGCGACGGAGAGGCCCTTCGGAGTGAGCCTGCCGCCGGTCGCAAACATGCCCTTGATGGCCGCGGCCGCGAGCGAACAGCACATCAAGCTGGCCGTGGGGCTGGCCGCGGACTCGTGGACTGGCCGTGGGCCGGGTACCTATGGCAACGGGCCTCGTCGCGCACGTGCCGCGGTGCCGCCGTGCCGCCCTCCCCGACGTGGCGGTACGTAATCCTGCCGCCGGTAATCCGCAGCCGCGGCCCTCGGCGCCGAGCGGCCCGCGTGGCGCGGTCGCGAGAACGTCGCTCTGTCTCTCTCGCTCCCCCACGGGCCGCCCCGTCAGTGCGACAGAGACAGCAGCAGCGAAACGATCCTTCGGACTCATTGGACAGATAAAGCGGCGAGGAGTTTTCGGCAGCCACGGTCAAAGTTGGCCCCGTTTGAGGAGCTGTCCGTCAGACGCGGAACGGCGGTGTGGTGACGGTATGGAGGCGGCGGCGGTGCTGATCCTAGGACAAACAAACCCCCTTCCCCTTTCCTCTGCTTTGTAGCCGAGAGGCAACTTTTCTTATCTTTAATTCACTGATGAGGGGACTCCCCGCCCCACGCCCCTGCCTTTGACGCGGTCCTACGTAATGAATGATGCCCCCTAAACGACGCGACATGACTCAACTTTAAAAGGCGAGGTTTGTCCTCGTTAGGGACCGAAAATTTAACGTCATTGTTACACAGCGCTCTCGCTCTGCTGCCGGCGGTCACAAAAAGTTTGCAATAATAGGAATTAATCCGAGGGAAATGTGTCTCATAGAACGGTGGTGGTTTTCCGATGGCCAGCGAGCGGGCAGCAGGAACACTGGTAAAACAAAGGCATAAAAATTACGCCCTTAAGGGCATAAATACTCTTTTACGCCCTTGCAAGGGCATAAATCGTTTATGCCCTTGGGAAGGGCGTAAATGGTATAGGAATTTCAAGCAAAATTTTAATGCCCTTCCCAAAGGCATTAACGATTTATACCCTTTAAGGGCGTAAATCGTTTACGCCCTTTAAGGGCATAATTTTAATGCCTTTCTTTCACCAGTGAAACTGCGGCGGGGCGACCACCACTGCGCTCCCATATGCATTCCCACAGCCACTGCCGCGCTCCCTGCGGTAAACTCCACCAATCCAATCGCAACCGGCCAGCCCGCCCAGCCCGCAGGCCACGGATTCGGCATTCGGACTGAGCTTTCGTCGCGCTGTCTCGCTTGCACGCACACACACGCGACGTCGCAGAGGTGCGGTAGAGAGAGAGGGAAGCTCGGGTTCGGAAGCAGCCCGGCCCATTAGCCACACGCGGCGCACCATCAAGTGTTTTTCGTTGATAAATTTTTGTTTATGAAGGTAGGCAGCCAGGATGCGATACCGGGCGGCCCTGCAAACCTCGGCTATCGTTTCTCCGGTTGCGGGAAGCTACACGCAACCACGCCGCTACCGGACAGGCGTTTCGGCGCGAGGCTCTGGTTCGCCACGCCAAATCGATGCTCGCTCGACGCCGCGCTCGAGGACCGGCCAATAGGACCGGCCAATGGGCCGCGCGACTAATCATTTTCTTTCGGCAGATCCCGAACCTCGATCGTAAAGCCCGAGTGGCGCTCCGTCGCCCTGCCTCTCTCGCACCAGTCGGGACAGCCCGCGAGTGCGAGAGAGACAGAGCCTTTTGCTCCGCGTAGCTCCGCGCACCGGCCTGCCGAATAAAGCACTCCTGCCAGATAAGATGCCGCCTCTATCGCCGGCGTGGCCGCGAGCGTGGCCGGCCAGTAACTGGGTCAGGCTGCACTATGCACCATGCCGATCAGCGTTCGACGGGGCGCCGTCGAGACGGTTGGGGTGTCGACGACGACGACGAGGGTAGGCGCGGCCAGCAAGCCCATTCGGAACAGCGTTCTGTCTCTCTCTTACTCATGGGGAATTCCGTAGAGAAGCGAGAGAGAGAGAGAGAGAGAGAGAGAGAGAGAGAGAGAGAGAGAGAGAGAGAGAGGCAAAACGCTGCGCAGGACCGCTCTCCAGAAGGGAGGGACCATGGCGTTGTGCAAGCAAGCCGGGCCGCGTGACCCGGCCTGGCGCACGTGCGTCGCGCTGCCCGCTGCCCGCTACTGCTCGTTACCCCCTACCCGCTCACGTGGACGAGTACCACGCATCCCCCTCTCCAGCCGGCTCCGCGTTTCAGCCAGCGCCTCGGACGGCGCGGGGCTAGGCTGGGGCTGGGCTAAAGCCCCCCGGCAGCCCTTAATGGTAATGGTAATGGCAGGGTAGGCCGCCGAGGCGCCGTCGCGCACCGCTGCGTTGAGAGCCGGCGGTTGCCTACCCGCACGGCGCTCTCGGCCCGCGACCAAAACAAAGACCAGGGGAAGGCGCGCGCTGCGAGGCGCCGCGAGGGGAAAGGGGGAGGGGGCAATTTGTTCCCCGCCGAGCCTGGAGGGTGGAGGGCAGGCCCCATTATAAGGCATCGGTCGGCACATGCTCTGAGCGTCCCGAAGTAGGGGGCAGATTTGGCCATTGTGTTCCAAAGCCACTTGGCAGCGCTCCCCCTCGTCCCCGCCCCGTTCCCTCCACTTGTAGTACGTCTCGTCGTCTCGGCGACAACACGGGGCCGTCTAGAGGCCGCCTCGGCCGCCTCCCTCATCCCCGCGCTCCACGTCAACCACCCCGCCGCCCACCCCTCCCGCTGGCCGCCTCGGTGCCCGCCGTGCCCGCCACCCTCCCTCCCCCAGGCCACCCACACCCACCCGCCGGCCAGCAGCACCAGCAGCCGGCCCGCCCTGCCCGCCAACAAAGGCGCTCGTTTTTTCCAGCCCGCTTGACACAAACAGATTCGCGCACCTGCCGTTCCAGCCGGTCGACATGGACGCGCGAATGAACGCTTCTTTTCCAGCCCCGCCGTTTTAATCAGTCCCGCCGAGGAGGCCTCCGCAGGGGGAGGGGGAGGGTGGAGGAGCTCTGCAGCTTGTTAATAGTGTACGCCCGCGGGGATCATTTTGTTCGGGGAGTTTCGGGGAAGGGGTGGGGAACTTCCCTCCACAGGTTCCTAGAACCCAGCGGGCACGGCGAGAGCGCACAGCGCGCCATGCCGCGGGGTTTCCCTGAAACGCGCCCCCACCCCTTTTTCCCGCTTTTAATTTGCAGCACCGTCTTTGTCGTTTTTGCGGTGGCGGAACACGCGCCCAATCAGCGACGTGTTTGGCGATAAATAATGGCGGGCTATTACGAGGCGTCGCGCTCCAGCCGCGCCATTCCGTCGCTCTGTCTCCCTCGCACCCCCTTCGGAGCGCCCCGTGAGTGCGACAGAGACAGAGCGACGAACCGATCCTTCGCGGAATCAAGCGGCAGGCAAAGGGCCGGACACGCACGCTGCTGGAAGTCTTGGAGTGACGTCACGGTCTCGGCGTGTCACGCTAGTCACTGTTGTTGCAGCCGGCTATCCTTGGTGATAAGGCAACGTGGCCCCAGAACAGTGACACACGAACCCGCGCGAACACGTGCAAAGCGAACCACCATGGCACCCATGGCACCAGACTGAACGACGGCCGTCTTTTCGGCCTCCACCACGACCACGCCGCCATGCTGCCGTCGGCGCGCCACAGACCTCGTGACCCACAGCCCCACAGGCCACAGGCGGCGTCTAGCGGCGTCTGCCGCCCTCCTGGCCTTCGAGACGGTCGTCCTTTCGCGCCCGGCCCGAGGCCCGGCCCGGCCGCCCGGCCCACCACCGTGGGGATCAAGCTGTTGGCTTCAAGGTGACGGCACCACGCTCATGCTCACAGGGGCAGCCAAGCGCCCCGCGCCGAGTCCGCGCTCCGCGCCACCCTGGGCTTCTTTGTCCTTCCCGCTCCGTCGCGCTCCGTCCACTCACCGTGTCCCTCCTGAGCGCGGCGATGGCCCGGGCGCGGGCGTACAGCTCCTCCTTGAACTGCTGTGTGTCCTCATCGTCGTCGGCGTCGTCGCGGACCTCCCCGGACTCCTCCGGGTCCCTGCTCGAGGCCGGGCCCATGGTTTCCGGTGCCGGCGCTGCGAGCCTGGCGGCAAGCCTGGCGCGCGGGGCGCTTCGGCGGCGCGGGTAGCGCGCGGCCCGCGGTTGACGGGGGCCTCGGTGCGGGCCTCGGCAGTGTCCTCCGGGGGGCTGCTGTGCCCCTCGGTGTCCGGGCGGGGTGGGGCGGGGCGGTCGGCCTGCCTAGGGCAGCCTAGGGCAGCCTAGGGCCTGGCCGCCGTACGGAACGGCCTCCGCGCCACTGCCACGGCACCACTGCCTCGGCACCACTGCCTTGCAAGTCCTCTCCTTTCACTGCGACGACCCGACCCTGCGCCGCCACAGCCGCCACCCCGTGCCGCGCCACCCCCGCCACCTCGCCAGCTGACGCCATGCCGCGCTGTGCCGTGGCCGTGCCGCCGTGCCACCCGCTGGCTGCCTGGCCGTCCTGGCCCGAGCGCGAACCGCGAACCCCGAACCGCCCCGACGAGCCCTTAGCCTCCGAGCCGAGCCTAGCCTCGCTCCGAGCCGAGCGCGGCAGCGCGGCGGGCCCCGAAAGGGGTGGCGGCCCGATCAATACTGCCCCTTCGCCGCCAGGACTAACCCGGCCCGGCCGCCCCCGGCCTGCGCGCCGCGCGCCACCGACGGACTCCAACGCGGACGCCCCCGCGTTCACCGCGCACGCAGCCCGTCGCTGGTTTTCCCTTGTTCCAGCTCCAGACCGAGAGGCGGCAGTGGCGCCAAGTTTCAAACCGCGGCGGCCGATTGACCCGGAAAAACATGTCTACTTATTTTCTCTCGAGGACTCACAGATACACAGGATTTTGGAATAATGAGCGTGGCAAAAATTTAAACAATGTTTTATTTTATTTTTGCATGATTGTGTATGACTTTATGGCAATGGGTAATGGGAATGGGCAGTTGCTATAATATCTCAGTTTGAAGTTTACATAGTTTCTAGAGACCCCAGTCGACACATTATTTCCTCTCTGTCGTCTCGAGTCATTTTGTCCCCAAGTAGATGGTTGAGGGTAACACTACTAGGTATCTTAAATGATTGTTTTGCATCTTTAAACATTCTCCAGAGAGCCAAACTTTCTTCATGTTGGTCCCTATCCAACAGGAAGCGAGCAAAGTATAAGATAATCTCAGTGTCACCTGCAACAAAATATTTTTTTTTAATTTCTTTTTTTTTTTTTTTTGAAAAGAAAAAACAATAAAAAATATTGAAACGTGGCATCATACCATCATTCCAAGTAAGGGCTCTTTGAAAGCAAGCTATAGAATCATCATCAAATTTTCTGCTTGCATTCAACAATGCTTTGTGCAAGAACACTCGAGCAAGCAATGCCCTTGCCATGGAAAGAGTTTTATTGCATGTTTCCTTTGACTTGTTTAGTTTGTCCACCAAGCCTTGTAACAACCTTGCACATCTACAACAATAAAAAAAATGCTTGATAAACGAGCCAAACAATCAGTCTAATCCATAACTAAAAATGTCCAGGATCCCAGATCACCTGTTCAGTATTTCGGAAACATCAGACGACTTTTGCAAATCCTTTACTTCACCAAGCAACATCAAGGCAATGACATCCTCGCTGAGAACACTTAAATCACATCTGGTGGACTCAACTGAAAATATTTGAGAAATGGATAATAAAATTGAGTCAATGAGAAATAACTTGAAACATGTAAGTATAACTACCCAGGTCCAATCTGGTTGAGTGAAACTGCAAAGCAGCCTCACACAATCTCTCTGCATCATCAATGCAGTGAGCTTCCAAGAGTGCGCAAGTGGCATCATGAAGGAGTTCTAATAATTTCCTGACAGATGAGTCCTCTGTACAAGCTGCATCATCCATTAGTGAACGTTTCAGGTACACAAGTTCCAAAAATTTTCAGCTGCTTCCTTTGGTTGCTGCAAAAAAAAAAAAAAAATCAATGAGTGCCTATTCCATTCAGTACAAAGTTACTTATTGTAGTGTCTTCACCTCTGCAGAAAAGTGGGCCATTGCAATAGTTTGTAAAACATATTCAGCACTGATTTCAGGTTGATGATGCACACTGAGCAAAAGCCGTTGTTGAATGCCAGCCAGGGGTGAGACGAGTTTTGGTTTAACTGCCTGTTTGGCTGTTAAACACTGAATAAAGTACACATGTCAGATGGATAGAAAATGCAAAATAACTTTACACAAAAAAGCAGTGCCAGTAAACTCACATCAAAGAGTAGATTCAACACATCAATTTGATGTTTGAATTTTCCAAGCTTCTGATAAGCACTTGCAATGAGGAAAGCACACAGTGGTAACTGTACTTCTTTGTGTTTATACTGAACAGATTGAAGAATTTCAAGCGCGACAGAGGCTTTTTCCTGAGAGAGCAAAATTTGCCCTTCCAATGTTTTGGAACGTGCTTGCATCAAGAAACTAGTACCAGACATAAGGGCACGCTGAAGATGGTACAAACTTGCATCAGGGTTCCCAATATTAAAATTGGCCAATGCTGAAAGTTTTTTAATTTAAAATTAATCTTTTAACTAAGATTATGTAGAGTAAATTATTATTAAATTTCAATCATGATGGGAAGATCTTACCATGCAGATAATGATGTATAAATGGTAAAACTAAACTGTTACGATCTATTAAATTAAGATACTGTAATGCTTTTGAACTGTTTTCATTGAGCATATCGGAGTTACATCTAAGGCAAAATACTGCTACTGTGCTCAAAAGGGTTTCAGAGATGGTTGTAAAGCTGGTCTCACTTAAAAATTCAGCAATTTCTTTCCATCCAAATTTTAGAAGAATTTCAAAATTTGAAGAGTTTGTAATCTCTGGATAGAAGCAGAAAAATTAAATTTGAAATGCAAAATGTTTGAGGTTGTACTTGCGCAACAACTTACCATAAGATAAATGTAGCTTTACTTGAGGTAGAATATCAATAAGACTAAGAATCATTTCTTGAAATTCAGCATCTTTATCCTGCAGGGTTTCATAGTTATCTAAGAAGGATAAAATACCTAAACAGACAATCTCTAAAAATAGTTGTGTTTGTGTTGATGTGAGCTTTGGAAGACAAGAAATCACATCTTTAACAGCATCAATGAAATAAGTTTCAATTGGCTCATATGATCGTACTGTAGGTTTACGTCCTCCAAATGACTTTCTTACTGGATAAGACAAATGCAAAGAAGGCTGTGTTAGAAATAATTCTATCAGACACATTGATCAAATTGAAAATAATGTGAATGGATCTGAGTCACCTGTGTTGAGCGAATAAATAGCTGCATTGATAATTTCTCTCTGATAGGACTGTTGATCACATGGGTCCACTTTCATGGCACCCCACCACATTACATTGCAGGTTACGGAGAGAACCAAGTCTAGCGGTAATTTAGAGCAAACATGTTGACAGCGCACACGACTATGTAGGTCAATAATCTCACGATAACTCTTTGCCCAGTTTCTCGAAACAGTTTCTTCAGTTCCCGATTCCCAATCTTGTCTCTGCGAAAAAATAATAAGTTGTAAACCATTTTAAGGAAACCTTAAAATACATTCAAAAGGGGGATTACCAGCTGATCACAAACGAAGAGATTATTTTCTATCGCCAAGACCAAAGCATGTCGACCACTGTCATTTGCATCCTCCTTCAGTAATATTTTTTCTTGTTTCTTGCGAAGAGCAGCAGAACAAGCACTGTATTTTCCTTCCCGAAACAATTTCTGCCACAAGTCCACTGATGCCATGACAACCACTGTGTGGCGACGACGTGAAGAAACAAACCTCGCTGAAGAAATTATGAAATCAATCCTGAAATTAGTTTAAAATTTAAGACAAACTCTGTTTATTGAACCGGCATTCAAATCATAACAAACACACTTGTTGTTGTTTTTGTTTTTGTTTTTTCTAGAGCCAGGCTGGCCAAACTCAACATAGTATGATTTTATGTAAACTGTTGTTTTAAAATAGAATCATTCAGACGTAGATTCTGTTTTACATCAAAAACTTCTCTATCTGAAAAATTCACTTGAATAATTCCATTTTTATCAAGCAGAAGCTGATTTGGGTGGGCCGTTATTTGCAGATCGAGATGGGCAGAACTGTAAATAACTACTGAGTACACACAGCAGAGCAGGATTTTGAAGTTGGGGTAAATTTAGAAATCGCTTTATATTTTGGTTTCCTCGCGCATTCCTTTCCATGACACTCTAATCTCTATTTCTGCATTTTTATTTTGATGCAGTACCTTGGACACGTTAAGTGTCAGTCCGTGGAGACCATAGCATCTGCTGCACCTAAGGGAGACTTAACCTGTAAATTTGTAAGTACCTTACGCAATTAATAAAACTTTCACATCAGAATTTAACTTTTTGACTCTGTCCATTTGTTACTCCTGTAAAATCAGATCTAAATTTCCTTTTCGTTGAATTCGCATCGTAATTACTGGCATGCTATCTCATATCATTGCCCTTTGTTTATGACATCTGGCTAGATGCACTTTTTGCCCTATTATTTTATCTTCTAAAAAACTATTCAAATTGATATGTAACACCATTGCTGTTTTGTGCAGCTTTCGGGGCCAGGATGGAATCAAATCAGGTATCAGCTTCCTCTCAACAACACTTACGTGTGGAAAGAATTTTGTTGGAACCCAGTATTTGATTTTGTGTGGCTCAAATGACTGTAGCTTTTGTAGCTGTGTAGAACCACTTAATATGATTATCAGCTATTATTCTTAATGAATTAGAGTAGCTAGTTGACTTGTAACATTCTTTTCACTCTTTGATGGTGCAAGCGTTCGGATCATACTGTAACAAATTTTATTGATGTGTGGCTTTCATTACAGAATTCTCAGAGGCTGAAACCCTCGGAGAAAGATAGCTCAACATCTGCTCTAAGGTAAATTATTTCTTCTTATTATTATTATTACAGTAATGCATCGTGCATGAGCAGTAAATTTAATGTGTATTTTTTCTTTGCATTTGTTCCTTTTAGGACTGATACAGGGGAGGCTGTAAACACTTCAGCAAAGCGCAAACGCCACCGAAGGAAGAAGAAAGTAAATCAAACTGCTGTACAAGAAGAGCAGGTTGGAAGACAAAGTGAACATCACCCTCCAGCTAGTTCAGGTGGTTCAGTTTCATCACCCTCTATTCCTGTCCAAGAGACAAAAAAAGTAGCGCCTGCTAAGGACCAAATGAGCAGTAGCACATTCAGCCCTGCCGCTAGCTCCCAACCTCCAAACAAATCCAACAAAAAACGGAAATCGGGTGGTGCAAGTGAAATTGAAACAATTGTTTCACCTGGTGCTCAGAGATCAGCACCAAAGCAAGTTCCTATTTCTGTTTCCCAGAAGATCGGCACCAGTGCTCGTCCTTTGGAATCTGCTGACATAGGAGTGTTCAGCTCAAAAGATTTAGAATTGATTTATTCTGCCAGCAATTTAGGCCCCATATATTCTGCATCATCTTTTCCTTGTAGTGTTACTTTAACCTCCAGCAGTTCAAGCAGTCAGCTGTCCTGTGAAAGAATTGAAAATTCACATCTGTATGGTGGTAGCTCTTTTTCAACAACTTCTCCAATAGTTGCATCACAGCCAGTTGAGAAGATGAGTGCTCCACCTGCTGTTCAAAAATCAAGGGAGGAGATTGAGGCCGAGAGAAAGGCAAGGAAAGCTGCAAAATCTGCAGCAAAAGGAAAGCCCAAGGGAAAAGATGTTGAAAATGTTCCAGTCAAACCTGCTAGCAAGGAGCCAAATGCAAGCGTTAAGAATGAAGCTGCTGTTAAAGTAGCTCCCACCTCCTCTCCTGCAAATACTAAGTCTTCTAAAAGCACTGTTGAAAAGCTCACTGAAACTGTGAAGAATCTCAGCATGACTGATGGGAAAGAGGCTGCCAAAAAGAGAGCTCCTGATGAACCAGATTTTGCAAGAACATCTTCATTTGCTGCCCCTGTACCTGTAGAAGATGTTATTCCAGCCGCTCTGAAGCAAATGATGACAAAGGAAGGGACTGAGAAGAGCAAAGCTGAACTGCGCGCTGAAAGGAGAGCTAAGCAGGTAATGTATTTTCAACTTTCAAATCTTTTAACAGTTTTGGTCTTAGGTGAAATATGCATGTGCAGTGTATGTAATTTTTTTGTCTCCTTGTAGGAAGCTCAAAGAGCAGCTAAAACTCAGCAGCAGGCTGAAAAAATTAAAGCACAACAGCCAACAGCACCTGCAGCCAGCAAACCTCCATCGAAAGATACAAGTATTAAAGGCCCAGAAAAGCCGACAATTTCTCCCAAAATAGTGAAAGAGGTTTGTTGTTCAAAAAACTTTTATGCTGTGAAATATAAATACAATTCAACTTAGCACTATCACATTTTATATTTTGTGTGCCATTTCAGTAATTTAAATTTAAATAATTTTTTTTTTTTTTAATTAATGCAGGTCAAGGATGCTAAAGCTGAGCGCCGAGTGAAGCTCTTCAGTCATTTGTATCAAAATTCTTTCAAAAGCTTTTCTCACACAATTGAGTAAGATCTATTTTTATGTATATATTTGTATTTCTGTCTCATTTGAGTTTAGTATCTTTTATCTGATCAATTTTATTTCAATGTTTCAGTGTGAGTCATCCCCAATACCACCCATCAATAGTAAGATTGGGTGTACAATACGCCAAACGCCTTGTTTTAGGATCTAATGCTCGCTGTCTTGCCCTTCTGTACTCACTTAAATCTGTAAGTTAGATTGCAAGAAACAGTATTAAGGAGTTGAGAAATACAGTACTGTTACTCACTGTCTAACATGTGTTATGCGTCATTAACAGTTGGTTGCGGATTATGAAACTCCACCTCAGAAGGAATTTTCTAGAGGTTTAGAGGCATATTTGCAGCCCAATATGGATTTCCTTCAAAAGTGTCGCCCTCATTCTGTTCCATGGTCAATGCATTACGCTACATTAAGTGGCAGCTGACTCAGATATCTATTGACACAAGTGACGCAGAGGTAAGCTCATTTTCTTAGATTTTCTCATAGAGGATGGTTTCTTGATTTTATATCTTGCTTTCTGCATTAGCAGCAAAGTGCATTGTAATTTTCAACTCATTTATTTGCAGGCCCGCACACATGTTCTGGACGCTATAGACCAGTACATAAATGATCAAATTGGAAAAGCAGCAGAGGCTATTGGAAAGGTTGTAAAGGACAAAATTGATGATAACGATGTTATTTTAGTTTATGCTTGGTAAGTGTCTTTTCAGTCAGGTTCAGAGAATCCAAGCCCTTATAAATTACTTTTCAATCTCTCATGTTGTTTCTTCTCTGCAGCTCCTCTTTAGTCCTCAGTGCTTTGAAGGTTGCTCTTGATGCAAATCGCAAATTCCATGTCATTGTAGTAGATTCTCTGCCATGGCTTGAGGGCCGGGAAATGCTGCGACGCTTGGTGTCCATGGGTGTGCAGTGCTCCTATGTTCATCTTTCTGCTGCTAGTTTTGTTATGAGAAGGGTATGTCTTTAAATTTTTTATAATGGCTCTTCCTCTGTGCAAAAATTAAATCTAATTTTTGTATTTATTTCATTAGGTTTCAAAAGTTCTCCTGGGTGCACATGCCTTGTTGGCGAACGGCTACGTCATGTCTCGAGCTGGTTCTTCACAAGTAGCCCTTTTGGCTCATGCCTACAATGTTCCAGTTTTAGTTTGCTGTGAAACTCACAAATTCAGTGAGCGAGTTCAGACTGACTCATTTGTTTACAATGAATTGGGTGAGTTACTTCCGTTTAAGCAAACTTAAAATACTGTCAGTAACTCCTGGATTGTCTTTCTTACGTCCAAAATTCTTTTTCAGCGGACCCTGATGAACTAATTGGCAAGAAGAGAGCAGGAGAGCGAGAGACAGAGCGTGAAAGGCCATTAGCAAATTGGCGAGATATTCCATCCCTAAGTCTTTTAAATTTAGTTTATGATGTCACACCCCCTGATTTGGTCACAGCTGTGGTGACTGAACGTGCCATCCTCCCTTGCACTAGTGTCCCTGTAATTTTACGCATTAAGCCAACAGAATGCTAACATATCGATTTGTTTTATTTCACTAATAGCGGCATTAAAACTCAGTCATGATGCTCCTGAGCATTGAAGTGTGTAAATCTGTGTACATAACGTATAAAACTCAAAACTACCTTTTAACTTGTAATCTTTTTAATTCTCCAGCAACTTTTGAATGTGTTTTGACCATACAACTTGAACTCGAAAACATCTCATTCTCAACCAGAAATTAATTTTTACACCTTATTTAGTTGCTGGATGGTTATTTTAGTTGCTAGGTCTTCTGTTTGTTTTTGTGCAGTGTACAAACCATGATATCTCATTGTTATTTTTGTTAGAAACTACATCGTTTTCAAACTACCTGTTACAGTGACTGTCTCTTTGAATGTTGTGTATTATACTATTTAAAAACTAGTTAACAACATATTATCTTTTCTAAGGCCCTCCCTCCAAGCTGCTACCACACTCGCGTACAGGATTTACTCATTCTTTTCCCCTTAAACTGGTAATCAATATCTAGATTACTCCAAAGAAAATGTCCGTTTGGTTTCTTTCCAAGACAAGCCTTGACTCAGGGAAGTGGCATTGTGCTGATGGCTCGTTCCTGGAAATGGAGTCACAGCGTGCGCCCTTGCTGGCGTTGCCCATTGCCCTACGTGCGGTGAAATGCAGATTGCAGAGCTGTCCGCTCCGCTGACTCATTGCTCGGCCGCCGTGTCGCTGTGTCGCCGTCGCCATGTGTTGTGTTCCCGCGTGGTTCCCGCATGAGCTGCAGCGCGTGTCTCACTTTGTTTTGTTTCCGTTTCGGCGGATTCCGCGATGATGAAGTGAGGCGTGACACGCGTTTCGCCAGTTTCGTCGACCAAGCGCGAGAAGTTTTTCTTTGTCTGATTGTTTGACTCTAGACAGCCTGCAGGATAGCTTGCCGTCAGACTTTCTACTCCAATCTCTCAAATCCACACCCGTGTTGAACTGAGCCCATTTCACTTTCGCTTCGAAAGGCTGACGACATTGCATATCGAGTGTTGTGTATTTTCGCACAAGCTCAATCGTGATCCGTTTGCCGTAACGAGGTTGCGTCAGCGAGACGAAGGGGGACGGTCTGTCTGTCTGTCCGGTCAGAAACAAACATGACAGCAGCAGTGTTGCCAGAAATGTGGAGGGCAGCTCACGACGAAGGGAATGCCCAGCAGGCTTCGAACTGCAACCCTACCGCTGCTAAAAGGCGTGTGTCGAGCGTAGAGTCCTTCTAGGACTCTAGTCGAGCGAGCCGAGCGCCGTGTAACGCTTGGGTAGGCAACCCATTCGACAGCGCGATGAATCTCATGGTCATCTTTGTCAACTTCAGCCGCGCGCCTGCAGCCGTGCACCAAATGCGTCTAGCCAGTTTCCTGCTTCTGTCTGGGCAGTCCATGCATGGTCCATGCAGTCCCAGGAAAGTGCGTCGCGGGCATGGAGACTGGCAGTCCTGGGAGAGGCGCGGGGCGGGGCGGGGCAGGCCCGCATGCGGGTCGGGTCAGCGCGGTCAGGATTGGCGATACGTAGCCAATCTCATTCCAAACAGTTAGGTCGCTCTGTCTCTCTCGCACCCCTACGGGGCGCCCCACGAGTGCGGGAGAGACAGAGCGACGGTACGGAACCACCAGTGCGGCGATGGTGCCGACTGTACACGGGGGCGGTGGCTGCCATGGTGGCTGGCGGTGCTGAGTGAAGGCGCCTCACCCCATCAATCGCATTGCTCTCCGAGCTGCCGTCACTCGATCCGATAGAGTCAACTTTGTGCAGCACTCGTGGGCACGTGGCGCACGTGGCTCGCCAGATCGGAGCGAGAGCGGCGAGAACAGAGCCTCCTTGTTCAGCGTTGCCCAGCACCGCGGCGGCGGACTTCCCTCTATGATGTTTCGCGCCTTTTATTGCCCTCCTGCGACTCTAGGCTCAACGCGCCCCGGAAATGGCCAGTTTTATCGACATTATTGGCTGATAGTGGGAAATGCGGGCGGCAACCAGGCAGAGGGCGAAAAGCTGCGACGCAAAACGCCCCAAGCGAGCTGTGGGAAGATTCGAAGATTCGGTTTTACTCGGTTTGTACTCCCTATCGCAGCTTCGCAGCCATCCGGTTGAAACCGGTTGGTCAATACGAGGGCGCTGTACGTACACTGTGCACATGGCGACGCGGGAACCGGTTCCAATAAATATTGGCTCCTGGTGATAAGAGATGCTGGGAAAGCGGGTTAGTCGTCCTCTCCGCACATCGGCGATATACGCCCGACCCGGGCACGCCAGGCACGCCCATCGGCACCGTATCAGCTGCCCATGTCTGCCCATGCCAGACGCCCGTGCCTGGGCACTGGGCTGGCCTGGGTGCCTGCAGGCTCCCAACGGCGCTTTCGTCTTCCTGTCCCTCTCGCACTCACGGGGCGTCCCAGGAGAGCGACAAGGACAGGGCGATGAAGCTGTGTTCGGAATTAGCTTGCTGTCGGTGCTTGTGGACGTGGGACCGGGACCTAACCTTTTGAAAATCTGGAAAATTTGGGAGAAATGTTTTGTCCACTGTGTTTTGTTGTGCTCGCATTTGCCGCTGCACTTTGCTGTGCACTTTGGACGATGCGGGTATTACGCGAGATGCAGGCCGCTCCTCCGTCCAGCATTGCCTATCTGCGAGGCGATGTCCTGTGCCTGCCACCCCTCCCTCCTGACTGGATCCGCCCCTGAATCTGGCTTTTGCGACTGGGGGGGGGGGGCTCTCTCTCAGGGAATGCATGTGCGTCAGTGACACCCGCGCCGACAATGCGCAGATCCCAGACGGCCGTGACAATGCACATGCATTTCACATGCCTGCAGCCGAATGCAGCCGAATGCCGGGAAAGTACCTGCTCGTGGAATTTTTGTTTCGGAAGCTGCTTCACTTGCAACCATGTGCTGTGCCCAAGGCCGGACGGAAAAATAAACAGCGCGCAGAGCGGCGCAGAGTGAGAGGAGGGCAGTCGTCTGATTCCGCTCCGCGCGGTGCTGGGCGGTGCCGTCTCTCTCGCACCGCTACGGGACGCCCCACGAGTGCGAGAGAGGCAGGCCGACGAAAGCACGGCAGCGTGACGAGAAACGTGTCCGTGTCCGCCGGCCGGCGCTATCGCTTCGTCGGTGACGCGACGACGCGACGGCGGCCTCCTCTTCCACACCGCGCCGCCGCCACGTCGCCCCGCCCTGGACTATCATCTTCCGGCTGCAGTTTTCAGTGTGCCAGAGCACCATAAACTGCACAAAATAAAATGTCCGAATCGAACCGCGATAAACGGCGTGGCGTCGCAGCGCAGCACGCAGCATTCGCCTTGTCGTCGACTTTGAGCCTGGCCGCCTCCCCTTAGATCAGCGAGAAGGAAAGGCTTTCCCGGTGGCTGGTACACTGTCCCTTCCTCCCACGGTGGTTCGAGCGCGAGGACCGAGGACCGCCGCCAGACCGTTTCGGGACTTGACACTACACTGTACACGGAGCGTCCGCGTGTCTGAACACTAGAACTCGTTTCCGGGTGAGGGGGCTGGGGAGGGGGAGGCTGTTTGTGGTTCGCACACGCGCATGGCTCACCGCACCACGCCATCTGGTCGTGGACGGCCCCCGGCCCCCATCCTGGATTCCTGGGCCAGGCCAGGCCGCCAGGCCGTCGCGTCAGCAAACTCAACGGACTCGGCGACGCGCAGGGACCAGGACACATCCAGGTCACTGGCCAATGCATTCAATTTAGACTGTCCTTGAGTCAACCAGAGTGGAATTACGATTTGTATTGGTGACATTTTGAGTGAATTGTTGGGGGGGGGGTATAAAATGATAAAACTAGTTACTTAAAAAATGGTGATGATCAGATTTAATTTAACATTTTTTTTTACAGACATTCACTAAAGTGACAACTAGGACAGGAAGTGAAAGAAAGGCTTGCAGTTCTTATACAAAATGAAAAAAAAAAAAAACTAAAGTTACACAGCATTTGATCATTGCTTAAAAATTAGAGGTAAAGCTATTAATTCCAAGAAGGAATGATACAGTACAGTGTTAGTGGCTGAAAAGGCGGTTCCTGAGATGCAATGTTCTCAATCCAACAATTGCAAACATTTATCCAATAAACACATCAGGTACATGCATGAGATGAATTCACCGACTCCAGCTTTCAATAGCCACAAAGTTAACTACCACTCCTTCATTGGCAGAAATCACAGCACTTTGATCAATGTCTTGGTTGCTAAATTGAGATTCAGACAAGAGGATAGCTGGCAGAGGATGCAATACCACAGTGGTTGTCACGGTTCCTTGCCATCTTGATGAAGCCATCTTGTCCCCAGGATGTACCCCATGAATTCTTCACAACCCAGTAGTCCGAACCATCCTCATCAGTGCCGTAACCAACGACAAGCACTCCATGGTCCAAGGATTCGCTTGAGCACTCAGGCTCGTAGTAAACTCCTAAAAGACATCAAAATTAATGATCATCTGAACTGGAAGTATTCAAATCAATGCATCAATGACTTCAGTCTTACCCTCTTTGTAGAACTGGAAGCTTTCGTGACTAGCATCGATGGCGACAGACACTGGGCCGACGGTGGCAACAGCCTCCTTGAGGTGCTCTTCATCGGGCTTGATATCAACCATTCCAGTGTCGGTGGCTCCAGACTTCTTGGGGTTGTAACGGCACTTATCATCCTAAAAGAAATAATGAATATTTAGTTACAGAACAGATCCTGTTTACAAGAAGAATGTGAGCATTTTCATACTTACTTCACCCTCATAAGGATAGGCCTGCTCTGTGTCAATGCCATGATTGTCACGAATGTAAGCAAAGGCATTGTCCATCAAACCACCATTGCAACCTTGGTTACCGTACTTTCCTGAGCAATCCACCAAGTTTTGTTCGCTGAGGGAAACCAAAACTCCAGTCTTGCGGAAATGTTGTCCTTCAACAGCTCCAGTCTACAATATGAATGATAAATATGATAAGACATTTACACCAGTTTTATTGAAAACAATGATGTGTATGAGGTACATATACTTACAGCACTGAATGACCAGCATGAGCCACAGTGACCTTGGTCCTTGACTGGGGTAACTGCTCCCTTCTCCCTCCAGTCAGCTTGCTTGGGAATCTCCACATTGGCAGGACGGATGAAAGTTGATCCAATTCTCTCCTGAACTCCCTGAACCATTCCTAGCCTAGCAGAACGGTTAAATCCGTTCACAGTGTGGGCGAACTCATGATGAAGCTGCAAGAATATTTCATGTAATTGGGTCATGGTAGCAACATTTTGAATTGCACAATTAAAAGGGACAAAACTCACCATGTCAGCATACTTGTTCAGACCCATTTTAAACGTGACCTCACCACGGGCATATTTGGCATTGTGCTTAGCAATTTTGTGCTTATTTTCCATGAAGATTTTCATCCTGAACTTTTCCTCAACATCGTTTTCATAACTCTTGCCATGAGCCAGCTACATGGGAAAGACAAAGATGGGGGGTCATGACACAGCCACTTAGAGGACAGACCAAAGTGAAAGGATAGCTTACCTTGTAAGTACCCCATTCCTCCAGAACTAAATCGAAAAAGGAAATGGCACATGCCGAAGCAAGAACTGTCGCCAGAACTATAAAAACCTTCATCTTGAACCTGCAAACAACAGCACCAAGTCAGACAAAGGAAAGAACCCTACCTCAACATCCTGGGCCTATCCCCAGCCAAGGCGAGCACACTCACACCATCTAGGTGCTAAACGCGAGACTAGAACTTCAATTCTATCACCGAATCCAACTTAATCGCAAGACCAATCCCATCGACGGTCAAGGCCAAGAAGTTACGCTAGAACAACACTACGCACCAGCAGTAAACAAAGGACACCCTGCCCAATCAGCTGTTTCCCGATGTAAACAATCAATAACTGGCAAGCTGAGACTATTTCCGTTGCAGCGTTACCTAGATTTTATACCAGACATTCTAATAGAGAGGGGCCCAACCCTAGCACAAAGGAGAGCGCACGAGAGAGCCGCCTTACCTTCACGTGTTGTCTCCTAGACGAAAACTGCGCCTCTACTGTTTGTGGATGTGTCGGTGTCGGTCGGGTCGGGAGTCGGTTTGATTCAACGAACGAGCATCCGACTCGCACAAAGACGCCAGTGGAGGGGGAAATAAACAGGCTTTGGCGCGCCGCCGTAGGGCGTCTCTGTCGCACTCGTTGGTTCCCCATGGGGAAGACAGAAACAGCGCATCCGGACCAACTTCCGGACGCAGCCCCGTCCGTGGGAGGGGGCAACACGTGACCGTCCCACGTGACATTTGGCGTTCTGTGAGTACTGCCGAGCAACGCCTCTCTCTCTCGCTCCTTCGTGCGAAAACGCGAGAGGAACAAGGACGGCATCATCCGCGACTCGCGTTCGGGGACTGTACGTAAACTGCGTGTGGATTGGTCGGAAACGTCGGAAACGAAGTGCTGCGAATAATTCGTCGGTTTATTCGCACTACATCAGCAGCAGCAGACGAGTGTCACTGGCTCGGCTCGGACTTTTCGCCTCGAATACCCACAATACGAACCTCGTTTAAGTTGTCAAAATGCTTCCGAAGGACAAGCCCATCGTTACCACACCTATCCGCGAGGTCCGATACATTGAAGAGAAAGCTCGCACCAGGAAAGCCCTTCGCGAGTACATAATCAAGGAGAGGTCGAACCCCTTCAGGCAGGCAGCCAATATGGGTGGTGGTTATATTGTAAGTATGCTGATAAATATTTGTCAGTTTTCAGGTCTTGTATTCCAAGTTTTCCTATCTTTTGTCTTCTAAAACCGTTGCCATGTATGGCATTTGCTCTCAGTCCTTCTTTACGTTTGAGTTGTTGGTTAGGAGGCCTTCGTGTTTTTCATCTATTTTTGAAATTGCTTACTGACTTCTGCTATTTTATTTGGGTACGAGCATTGATGCCAACCGTATTTTTGTCTTACAGCAAGATCCAGCTTTCGTTCGTTATGAAGCTTCTAATATCTTTACTGCGGAAATGGCTCACTTTAAATTCACATGGCGAACTACTGGCTTCTTCCTTGGTTTTGTGATTGGACCCATGGTTGCCATTGGTATTGTCAGTGAATATTACCGGGTAAGTTTTCCAATTCTTGTAAAATTTGTTACTGTATCGTGTACTGTATTATTGCACTTTAACTTGAGATGCATGATGTTCATGTTCTAGTATGATCAGTTTTGTTTCAATTTTTGCAGAGGGCTTTTGATGCCAAGGTCCGACGGGGTGAAGTTTCCTATTTTGATCGTTTCAACAAGTTTACGTAGAAAAATGATTTACCATGCGTTCTGTGTAGAAACCATGTATATACTTTCATGAACACCTTATGTTTACTGTTACTATTTTGCAACGTCAGCTGCTGAGTTTGCAGAAATTTATCTAAATAAAATTGATATCTTATTTAAAAAAGAAGAAGTCTTTGAATGTGAACGCGTGTGACAAACTTTAAAAGAGAAAATATGTAAAAAGAGACACTTTTAATATATACAAACAAACATGTACCTTAAATGAAAATTTCATCCTTAGACATAATAACAACGTTGAATTTAGATCATAATTTTTCTCCCAAAGAGAAATTATTTGTTGGAACAATAGATAATTAGTTTTACATAGATTTCTGATCTCCAAGTTGTTTGTCTCGACTGATAACATGGTCGTCAAACTTGACCATGTACGTAGTCCCTTTATGCCAGTGTGCTGTAACTTTGCAAGCCTGCAAAAAAATCATTATTATTATTATTATTATATTATAAAAATCGGAGAGTCCATGCGCCACAGACAGCTGAAACTTACAAATCCACAGCCGTTAAGGACAGCTTCTATGATCCCAGCAGTAAAGACAGCACAGTTAAGACTTCCCTTGTCCTTGGGCACAGATATGTATTTGTTCACGAGAGGTTCGTCTTCAATAATGTAATAAGTTGCTTCATCATCATTGGCACGCTCCAATTTATCTGCATCTCGTCCAAATAATGACTGCAATAAAAAGAATGATAAGCAAAACTGATCTTTTAAAATAAGGAACTTGCACAGACAGAAGAAAATGATCAACCACATTTTCCCTACTTTCCACATAGTAGTTTTGATGAAAAACAACATATGAATGAGTTTGGTTTCTCGCTTCCAGCTACGGTCACGAACAAAATATAGGTCAATAATTTTTGATCCAACATCTTGACCCATATCTGCTAGTCTGCAAATGAATACGAAGAATGATACTAGAAAACAGACCTAATCAACGAACGTCAAAATACCTGCAGCTAACAACAGAACAGTGGTCAATCTCTCAAAGGGAAGTCCTGGCCTATTGACAGCACTAGTTTCAAAGCAGAGGCATAAAATATATTCCAAGCACTCACTTATTTTGAAGTTCTGGAACGGTGTATACACGATTTTGACAATACTGGACAAGTTCTGAGAAAAGCAAAGCAAATGAACTTAAACTAACGTCTCCTTTTCCTTTACTGAGGGGTTTGTCTAAAAGACCTGTTTTAGGCCTCGTTACTGATATTGTGATTGCATTATTCATTTTGGACGTTCCAGAGAAATTTACTGCAGAGTGGAATTAACAGTCCTCTCAGGACGAATTGACATTCTGTAAACAGCTCAGCGCAAACAGGTTAGGTTTCTGCTTGACAGCAGAAAGAGAAAAACAGCAAACATGACGAATAAAACAGGCAACTTTTATTTACAGTCTATTCCATTAATTACGCGTGTAGGTAAAGGGAAATTAGAAAAAAATGTAAATTTTGAAAAAGACCCCAAAATAAACCATATTTATCTAAGCTACCAAGACTATCGTGATAGTCTTGTAGCCAGTACAGTTGGTACCGGTTGTTCGATCTCCCGTTTCCTGTTTCACTAGAAAAGAAAAAAAAGCAATGGGAAAATGAAAATTTGTTTCTTCTTTCTCTTATTCCCACCATGGCGATTTCGAACCTTGATCTAAGACGGGTTTCATCATCTTGCTCAGTCCCTGTCCCTTATTGTTTGTTTTTACGATTGTAATTGTTGATGAGCGACGTGGTACAAGGAAACAGGCATGGGTAGTTGAAGATGACTCAAAGTCTCGTTCCCAAAGAAAACGATATGGCCGGGACGAAGGGAGTATCGGCTGCTGGGCCCAAAGGGGTATTAAGTCATATGAAATACGAACATTTGATCGCGGGTGTTTCTGGCGGCGTGACATCTAGCGTGGTGCTGCACCCGTTGGACCTGATCAAAGTGCGGTTCGCTGGTAAGAAGCTGAGGCACCTCCAATGTTTGAGCCATCGGTGGTGGCTGTGTTAGTGGACCTAACCTTACCCTTTGCATGGATCAGGTTCTGTTCGAAATAAATGTGGCAAAAAAAGGTTGTTATTTAAAAAAAAAAAAAAAAAAACCTTCGCCATTGAGTTGCACCCCTTCCTTCCCTCATTACTTTATAAGATGATTCTTTATTCTTATTCAATTAATAAAGTTTGATTAATTTTATTGGTTTATGCTTCCAGTGAACGATGGGCGAAGTGTTACTATTCCACAGTATCATGGTATACGTAATGCATTAGTTACAATTTATAAACAAGAAGGTCTGCGAGGACTTTATAGAGGTGTAGTTCCTAACGTATGGGGTTCTGGCACTGCATGGGGCCTTTATTTCTTATTGTAAGTATTGAATGTTAAATTCAGTTTTCCGATAAGATCCGACACACAATTTCAAGTTATGCTTGAACCTGATTGCAGTTACAATACCACCAAAACATGGATACAAGGAGGGGATCCTAACTTGCAGTTAAATTGGCCAATGCATATGGCAGCTGCAGCTGAGGCTGGTATCCTCACCCTGTTTTTGACAAATCCCCTGTGGGTTGTGAAAACAAGGTATTCATTTGAGACTGAGTTTATTTAGTCAACACTCTGTGGTTGTTTGCTGTTTGCCTACTTACTTCATATTGTTTCTGCAGGTTGTGTACCCAGTATGGGAATGAAAAGCCACTTTACAGTGGTATGCTTGATTGCTTTAGCAAAATTTATAAGGCAGAGGGTATACAAGGCATGTACAAGGTAATTTGCGTTTTCACTCCTCTTTGCAAGGTACAGTAGTCAATGTTATAATGTACTTTACTACAGTCACACCCACTCTGTTCAACAGGGACTTGTACCAGGTATGATTGGTGTATCACATGGAGCAATTCAATTCATGGTTTATGAAGAAATGAAGAATTGGTACAACAACTATAGAGGAACAGCCCTGAGCACAAGGATGGTACGCTACCACTTGATTGCATAATTTTCAAATAGTCCTAATATAGGGTCATTGTTCAACTCTATTTTATTATTTTATTTAAACAGAATACATCAGAGTACCTCTTCTTTGCTGCTGCATCAAAATTAGTTGCCGCATCGGCAACATACCCATATCAGGTGGTTAGAGCTCGTTTGCAAGATCACCACCACAATTATGCTGGCACCATGGATTGCATCTCTAAAACATGGAGGTACGAAGGTCTTCGAGGGTTTTACAAGGGGGTAGGGCCATATTTCCTCCATGTGGTCCCAAATATTTGTTTAGTGTTTCAAGGGTATGAATGGGTCACCTACCTCTTAGTTAATGAATATGCTGGAAAAAGGTTTGAAGGTAGCTGACAGAAAGAGTGAATCTAGCTAATTAAATTTCCCCATGTGTGCAGAATGAGACGATCTATTAACAAATTTCTTGTGAAAATAGAATAGTACTATTTTTTTAATTGTTAGGGTGGCTGCGTCATACTTGAGGAGACATTTCTTTAGAATTTTAGATACCTGTTTTTTGTTTTTCTCTCAGGGTAACATGCTTTGTTTTATACCTTGTAATATTAATTTGCTCTGCTTTACCTAAGATTCGGTCCTGTCAATTTTTCTCTGAAGCCAAGTAGTTTATAATAGTTTCCTAGCCATTTTGACATGCCACCTGATTTTGTCCTTTATGTTCCTGACATGGAGACACTTTATTTTTTTTAACTTTTGTTTTGTGATTTATCTTTTAAAGGAAACTGGTATTCATAGTTTGTGTCTCAAAACCTTGTAATTGTAAGCTAATTGACAATTGTACTGTGAACTATATACTGTGTTATGAAGAAAACATTCTAATGGTTAACTGGTATTCATCCTTAACCCAGTTCTTAAGAGGGCATCGTGTTTTGGGTGCATCTTTTTGAGTGTATTTTGCCAAAGTCTGTACTTATTGCTGCTGATGAAAGTGACTGTGTAGTCCATAGCTTTGCACAATATTTTGATTATCTTTAAACAAAATATCGAATTACTTGGGGTAATAATTGTGTGTTTATGTTAACGGTTATCAACCATAATTGTCAGATGTAAGTTGAATTGAATCAAAAGTGTGTCTTGTGATTCATCTGAACCAAGTGATGTGAGCAGTGGAAAATTTAACATTCTTCTGCAGATTATTTCTTTTTTGTGTTTGTTTGTAATTTGTTGGTTTTAAATCATTTTTTAAAAATCTATTATTGCTTTTGACCAAGGCCAAGGGTGATTACTAATAAGTATCTCTGTATGGTAATTTCTTAAAAATCAGTTCTCCACTTTTCTTTATCTTCTGAACTCTGCTTAGTGCATTTGGTTTTGCTCCTCCCCACCTCCTTAATCATAAGCATATTTGTTTTTATGCCACGCTTTTTTTCCTGGCCTAGACCCTGTGATAGGGTTGATTGTGTAAGTAATGCACTTGCCAATTTTGAGAATACTCATGTTTCTGTGTTTTCGTTTATCAGGGTCATTGCTTTTGACTCCCTACTCTCCTCCTCTGACCACATCAACATGATTCTATTGTATTACCTGTTAAAATGAATTCACCTTTTGTCCCCATTTTATTGCTGAAAAAAGATATTATTGAGGCCCACAAGCTGATGAAATATAAACAACAATTTGCATTGCAATTCAAGTAGATCATTATTTTTGGTACTTTTTCAAATCTTGGAGAACTCTCCTTGGTCCTATCGAATGTAACTAGATAAGTGAATGTTGACTCCTCAGACAAGGTTGCCCCAAATCTTTAATAATAAAAGTATGTGAGAAAGTACTTCCAACTTCTGTGATATCACATTTTCTCCACAGAATAATCAAATTTGGTCTTACTTGTTAAATCTCTAGAATGATTGTAGTCAAATAACTCATATTTTCTTGCACATTCATGTACATTTTACCAAAGTCTCTTTCCTGTATGTAGTTGGGAAAGCTTCAATCACTCTGATTGTATATTTCGGTTGTTCCAGATTCGAGGGGCGTCTAGGCTTTTACAAGGGCCTTGGGGCTTCATTGACTCGTGTGGTGCCAGCAACTATGATCACCTTTGTTGTCTACGAAAATGTATCTGGATTTCTTACATCTCGAAATTTTTCAAATAGAAATCTGAACAGATTGTGAGGTGTACTTTCATTTTAGAATTTTTTTTATGGCTGTTATGCCAGTTTACTGTCAGAGTCAGATGCACATCACGAGCTCGCGAGAAAGAGACTTTGGATTCTTTTGTTCCTTGTAGAAGAGAGTTGCGAGGAGCTGCCTCCAGAAAACGCGCCGACGCAGCTGCTCGCAACTCCCTACCTTGTAGATTTGCCAACATTCAACTGCAAAATTATTGTTGCCTTATTGCAATTGCAGCTTCTATACATGATTTGTTCAGTCGATTCAAGCATGGTCTGTACCTAGCCTTGAAAAATAATTTCCCAGAATCACCATTTCACCTCTCTGAAATGCTTCTAGTCCAACAACTTAATCACGTTCAAATCAAACTTCACAGTTGCAGATTCTTATCATTTTTCATTTATTCATCATAGTTGAATGGATCTACAAGTCTAAAATATTTTTTCCATCCCTGAGCATTAGAAATCACAATAAAAAATATTATCATAGGTATTTGACTTTTTCTTTCACCATGATCAAGATTTAGTCTAACTCTTCAATTTCAACTTTCATTTTTTTGTGTGGTGACGGAGAAGTAGATGAAGAAGATGAGGGGGCATTGACAATAACATCAAAATGAACCATTATTCCCCAGTGGTCACTTGGAAAACTCTGCGTACCAAATACTTTTTGTAATCCAAGCAAACCAAAATATTTTGGACGCACTGATGGTGGGGATGTTTGTCTGACATATGCTCGATCGAAGCGGCAGCGGGGTTTGAAGCGGCCCGCAAATTCCGTGTTTGTGTTGCGGGTCATGTCCCAAGTGTAGCGGCACTCCGGTCGGGAGCCGCCGGCTACCCACAGGTCAATCGTATTCTGAGGTAGACCCCCGCACAACTCAAGCTGTGACAGAAAAAAAGTTAAGTAAGCTTCTCTTAGCTTGTGAACCAAAACAGTCAGAGACAAATAGTCAATTAAAATTTATCTATGTTGATTCTGAGTGAAACAATTTTGTTGGGTACCTCTTTATCTCGGAGATTCAAATCACCAGCATAAATTACTGTGCGGTCGTTAGCAACAGCAGCAACTTCCTTCAAACATAACTGCAATTGCCTCATTCTTTCTGCTGCGAAATCAGCTGTACTCTCAAGATGGGTATTGAAAAGCGTCACCTTAAGTGAGCCCATATGTGCCTGAAAATATTATTGATGAAATTTTACACATATTCTGAATATATTATAGGAAACAGAATATCTACAATAGCTTTTGGTTGACATGACTCACCTCAGTCATAAGCAAATTCCTACCCATTGAAGTCGATGGGTATTCAATAATTTTATGACTGTCATAGTAAACAGTAAATCTCCTCAGTAGAGTTGCAGTGAAATAGTCCCCATCTCCAGAAGCAATACACTTATACTCCGGCAATTTACTTTCAATATAAGAAAATGTATCCGGAATGACTTCTTGCAAAAATACTACGTCAGGACTATTCCTAAAAGTGAGGCCAAAATGCTATGAATATGTAAGGCATCAAAAGCTCAGGATAAATAAATTTTGAGAGGAATGAAACATCTGTGCCACAGTCAAATGAAACTTACTCAAATATTATCATACAAACAGCTTTGGTTCTTTTCTTCAAATTATGTTGATTCAATCCATCAATATTCCATGTGATGAATGTGAGCTCTGGCGGTGCTTGAAGTGAAGGCCTTAAATCTTTGTGAGACATTGGTCTTGCTGCTGGTTTCGGTAACGGCACTGCCACTGGAGGAATCTTGGACAACTGATCTGCCACAGTTTGACTGGAAAACCGAGAGGTGTTAGCACTCAAATCGTTTGGGCATTTCTCATGCGTTCTAAACTTCAAACACACATACTTTATATTTATCACTAACTGCGGTCCTATGGAATCGTGGTCTTCCATGAGGTTGACTCCACCACTCAATTTGGCCTCAAAAAAGGCATTGACAGACCTCTGTAAAATAATGTAAAGGTAATGAACAGTGTCGTACAAGAGTGGTAGAACACATGTAGTGAAAAATCCAACCTCTAAGTCCCACTTTCTGTCTTGTAAGTAAAACTGAGCACATGCTTCATCAGTGCCAGTAATCTCTGCAAACTTTTCCACTCTCTCTTGGCAAATTTTAACATCGGGAATATCCTCATCGTCACTCATGTTTCTGTTGCACAGGGAACAACACAAAACAGAGATTGCAAAATCTGCTACAGAACAGACCAGAGATAATGTCACAAACAAATACTTTGTCCAAGCGTAAAACGACTAAATGACTAACCAACGAACTCAATGAAAATATGAAATCAATCTGATCTGCACGACAATTTGAGCAAGTGTTAACACGCTTCGCCCACGATTCACGATTCTTTGTTGACTGTGGTGGGACATGGGCCGGATGTGTTCAAAGCCTTCATGACAGTTTTGACTTCCGGAGAATGGCGGCAATTTCAAATCTTGATAGGGTTTTGTTTTGCTTCTATGAGAAACTATCAAACCAGAAGCAAAACATTTCATTCAACGACAACGACTTGTTTTGGAATACGTAATTTCTTTTGACACGAATGCAGCGTTTTAAGTGAATCATCACCAGTGAAATGTTTGCAGCTTATGCCGAGAAAGACAAGGAACAAAGTAAATCAACGGATGGTGCGGAAAAGATCGTTAATAAAGACATCGGTAAGTTTCAGTGGAACTCGACTTGGCATGTAGGTTATGTGTCATATATTTGATAACGTATTTATATCGTCCTGGAGAAAATGTCATCAAGTCTAAATTGATTATCTACCAAATATCAATTAAACTTGTCATGTCATGTTATCCACTTGATATGTCAAGCCGTTCTTTTAAAACTTTCATTTTGTTTCAGATTGGTTGTCAAACTCAAGTTTTCAAGTTGAATCGGGACTTATATCCAATGTCCAAGGTGCAAGTGGCTTAAGTAACCAGCCTGAGGTGCCCCCTTTCCAAACCTCAGAGGAGAATGATACAGAGCCTAGTTCTAGAGAAAGCGATTCGGAGGATGAAGTGCGCTCTCATACACCCCGCACTCCACCCAGTGATAGCCCAAATGAAAGTGTGAAAGCTCCCCACACACCATCAAGTGATGGAGAACTCAGCCCTTGCACTCCTCCAGGCTCACCCAGCAAGTCCAGGAGCTCTTCGAGCTCGTCATCAATAGAGGAGGTCTACAGAAGAAGATCCAAGTCTCGAAAAAGAAGTCGGAGTTGTAGTAGGTCTAGAAGTCCATATAAGAAGCGATCAAGCAGTCGAAGGAGGAGTCATGACAGAGACTATGCTAAAAGAAGAATAAGCAGAAGTAGGAGTAGAAGTAGGGATAGGAGAAGAAGGCATAAAAGCAGAAGTAGGAGTGTAAGTAGGGATAGGAGAAGAAGGCATAAAAGCAGAAGTAGAAGCCGAAGCATTGAAAGATCAAAATCAAGAAGAGAAAAATACAATAAAGACTCTAAATCTAGGAGATCCTCTGAAAAAAGCAGAGATACAAGTAATTCAAAATCGAAGTATAGCAGGTGTGCAACCTCAAAGTGAAATAATTTAATGGTATCTCAGTGATCAAATATTTTATTGATGTGTGGCTTTTGCTTTCAGATTGGTAGATAGTTCAACAGAGCATCATGATATATTTTATGAGGACAAAGCAAGGGCCTTTGGCAACTTAAATGTTATTACTCTATCAAGACCAGCAGTTGCATGGTATGACAATCATTTTTCATGGACTATCCACTTTATCTTCTAAATTAACATAAACCTCACTGTCCAAATTTTTATTCACAGGTATCACATTAGTAAATTTGGCTTAGGGATTCCTAAGCGTTTTTCAATTCCATCTAAAAAACATACCCTTAAGCATAGATACTACAACAAAATATTAAAAGAGTTAAAAGCAGATGTTTTATGTGAGTATGCCTTCGCTAACAAATTATGTCTGACAGGCTGTAACTATTATTCTCTCTTTTGTGCTTCCAGCATCCAAAGCAAGCAAAGATAGCAAGGAAGAAAGACAAATTGGACAAGTTCAAGGTAATGTGAATGATGTGGAAGAAGAAATTTCAAAAATAACTGCTAAATTTAATCAAGATTTATCTGAAAATCCAAACAATATCGATACCTGGAAGAATTATGTTAAATTTCAAGTAAGATGTCATGAGAGAAATTATTGATGAATCCTTTAGCAAAATACAACTCGCAATTGACACTGACATTGTTGCTTTCCTCTTATAAGGATGTAGTTCATCAATTTGAAAGAGTCTATAGGCGAGGTGGCGGTGCAACTGGTGCCCGTGTTACGGCTGAACGTAAGCTATCCATTTTAGACAAGGCTCTGAAGGAGAACCCTATGTGTGAGGAACTTTTGAAAGAGCGCTGTCAGCTTGCTGAATCAGTTCTTCCCAGTGACAAGGTAAGGTTTAATTGAAGGAACATAAACAACATTTTTTTGAAGTATTTTCTTACATTATTTTCTTGTATCTTGTTCTTCAGTTAACATCTCAATTAAAATCATGGATAGGAAAAGACCCTTGCAACATCATTCTCTGGGAGGCACTAATCATGGCCTCTCAAGGATCCCTGTCAACATGCAAAGTTCCAGCTGTGAAATCTCTCTATCAGGAAGCTCTATCAAATATAAACAGTCAAAAAAGAGGAAATGGCGACTCAGCTAAAACCATTGAAGGCAAAATAATTGGTAATAATAATAAACTTTTTTCTTCTTTAAATTAAGAGATTTTTAAAAGAAAAGTTGAGGCATTCACGGTTGTTCACTGATAACTTTCTGTTTCAGAATTGGTCTTGCACCTTGGGCTCTTTCTAAGACAGGCTGGACTGCTAGAATTAATGTGGTCCCTCATAAGTATTTATTTGGAATTCAATATTGCAAAGCTAGATCCATCAAAGTTTCACATTACCAATACTGTTGCGGATAATGCCTTGAGTATGTGACACTCTTCAGTATTATTCTGACTTAAAGTTTTGTTCTGTGTTATGCATTGATTGATTTCCTAATTCAAATAATTAAACTTGTAACTCATCACTTGTAGCTGAACTTGAAGAAGCCATTCTTGGATCACAATTGCCCCTGCCTACCTTATGGTTGCGTGTCGAGACACTGCGTGCTGGTACACATTGGGTGCCTCTTCCATCTGACAGTGACAGTGAAGATCCACAAAGACTTGTCTTTCCCGAAGATGTCAATGATTTGATTCATCCCATAAACTGCCCTCACTTGACGTTCCGTTTAGTGACAGTGACACTCTCACTGCTAAAGGTTGGTTATCAGTTCATGGTTTTTAAAAGGTCCAGAAGTAGGAAGTAAAGACTAAGTATAAATTTAATTTCAGGTACCGATTCTACCATGGCGTGAATGCGCAGCTACAGCTGCTGGATTACATCCACTTCCTTGGCTCCTGGATGGGCCTGAACCGCTTTACTCAGCATTATTGCCCCTGGGCACATTGGAGTTCAAAGAGACAAGTTCCCTTTTATTAGATGGAGCACAACTTGCTTGTGGACCACAATATTTAATAGCTCGACCAGGCCAGGATGAGTACATAGATTTCTTGACTCAAGTTTTCTCCAATTGTTCTGACTGCTTACCTCCTCATCAGAGAACGTTCCTCCAAGTTTGGTGGCTTAGATTTTATCGGTAAGATTCATAAATCGTTTCATGCACACAAGCCACATGTATATGCTTGGTGTTAGGTGCAGCATGGTGCATGTTTAACTTTTATTCCAAACTTTACAGGTGGCTGATGCAGTTGGAGCGCTTGGGCCATTGCAAATTGCCTCGAGGTCGAAAGAAAAAAATGCGAGCTACAGCCAAGGACTTGCTCAGACAAAACAGTAATAGGAGCAATTTATTGTTGTTTAAAGAATTTGCGCTTCTTGAGTTAGAAAATGGTGGTGTGAAAGATGCACGTAAGGTGAGCATTTTTTTTATTTATTCAGAATGTTGTCAAACAGCCTACTCTTACATACTGACCATGATAATTATAATTTTGATTGCAGGTTTTACAAGGTTCCATTGCAGCCCTTCCAAGCAACAAACCTGTACCAGTTTCTACTGATCGAGCCTATATCTGCGCCCTATATCGCACTTTAGTGGAAGTTAATCTGTCTTTCACTCACACTCAGCATCAGGAAGATGGCCACTCTCTGAATGAGTCTAGATCAGAAGATCGGTAAGAATCTTGATCAGTTCTTCTTTTGCTATATCAAACTTTCACTACTTCAAACAAACACTCTTTGTCTGCAGAACAAAATCATTGTGTCTACTTGTTTCTCTGGGAAAAGGAGCGCCTCTGAAAGATGAAAAACCAACCAGTACGGATATTGCTACAGCCCTTTCCAAATTTAACCACATTACCAGAGAAACATTAGATCGGCCTTCAGAGGAGGAGCTAGACCCATTCATGGCTCCTGATGTTTGTCATGTTGCTTCAACATTTTTGGTAGAATGGACAGCTTGTCATGGCTGGCTCCTCTTTCTATCTCATTCAATTTGGAAAGCAGCTGCTATGATTGAGAATGTACTGTCTGAATTAAAAGTTGCCACTCCTGAAACATCTGGTGGCAGCACTTCATTTGTTCATGACAACTTGTAAGGCTGTACTTTTATGATACTTTTCTACACAAATTTTACAAACCTCTTCTACTGAGAAAATGAAACTTACTTTCATGCATCTTCTTCCACAGTGTTCAACTGCAACGAGAAGCAATTCTAGAAACCTATGTTTCACTGTTAAGACATCACTGCCATGAGAGTCGAGGATCTTATGCAGTTCTTCGCAAGACTATACTCCGTGGCCTTAAAGAGTTTCCAAGTAATCTCACATTTTTAGCAGCGCTGGCTGATTTGGAGGTAAAGTGTTCATTTAATCAGTTTTCCATATCAGGACTAACATTTAGGTTTCTCATTTGCATTGATAAAGTTTTCTCTGTTCTATTGTAGAGTTGCAGCAGTGGAACTGGTTTGCCACTTTGGCGGTTGTCAAAGATGTTCTATGATTTGAACTCTGCCCCTGCTTATGTCCTCTTTGTGTTTGTAATGAAGTATCGATTGAAGCAACAAGAATCAGCTGCACATGTTGCTCATGGTGTCCTCAATCAAGGTTTGTCTTGTGGAAACAATGTTGGTGGTCAGGTCTTGCTTTCTTTGGCTCAGCCACAAAAATGTTTCATAATCTCAATTTTTGTTTTCTATTTTGTGTTATCAGGTGGGCCAGAGCTACCTGACCCAAATGTAAAAAATCGCATGTCAACTCTGCTGAAAAAACTTACCAAGCACCCATTGATGCGCCGCTGTCCTCTGTTGTGGCGTCTTAGATTGCAATTTGCTGCTGCTGTTCATAGCAGTGATGCTGAATACTCGAGTACATTTTACCTGGCATTAGAAGATTGTCCTTGGGTTAAGGTATGTTGAAAAGTGACACTTCTCTAATAACATATTCATATTTGCTCTTGAAAAATTCATTCTATGTTTTATTGGGGATGGCTCAGTCCACCCTTTTATTCACTAATATTATTTCTTGTCACAGGCACTTTTCATGGATATTGTTCAAGTCCTCCCTACTCAGCTGGAGCAAGTGCAGGACCTGTTGGTTGAGAAAGAGCTTCGTTTGCATGTTACTCCTGAAGAGTTGGAAATCCTTCGTGTTGAATAGCAAATGCTCAGATAATTTTGAACTTTTTATTTCTTGAAATATTATTAAAGATAATAAAAACCAAATTTAATATTTTAGTGCAAATAACACGCTGTCAACGGTAAAGAACTTCATGGCAAAACTTTAATAACAATTAAAATGGAAATCCATTTATTATTTACTGGTCTAAAGCAGATTTTTAGCTACTTTCGTCTGTTGGTCTGGTGAGTCACCGAGCCTCCGTGAGCTGTACTTGCCAACGAGAAGACTTTGTATTCGACTGCGAACCGTCTCGTCTCCGCCACGCGACTTGGACTTGGCGCTGCCGATGCGATGCCGATGGCTGTGGCTAACCCTTGGGTGGCCGGGCCGCTTGGCGCTTGGCGAGGCTACCTCTCGCCCTGCCTCCCAAACTGTGGGAAACGTCGCCGTTTCGGCTGGGCATTCCCTCGCGGGATCGTCTCGCTGCCACACTGCTAGACTGCTGGACTGCCGCAACACAACACACTTGCGCATTCTTCCCCATTCCCGAGCTGACCGTCGCATCGTCGAGTTCGAAGCCCCCTCTTCCTCCTCGGGAATGCCCAGGACATGATGCAGTCTGGCCTATGCAGCAGACTGATCCCGAGAGGCGTATTCGTCGCTCGGTCTCTCTCGCACTCTCAGGGCGTGCCGTACGGGTGCGAGAGAGACAGAGCGACGAAGACGACTCTCGGAATCAGTCTGCAGCGCAGCGGCCCCGCTGGACGCCTTCCAAATTAGCGTCGCTTTGTCTGCAGAGTGGTTCCGAACGCCCCGTCTCACTCGCACTCGTGGGGCGTTCCGTTGGGGCGCGAAAAGGCCAGAGCGACGACACGCTGTCGCTGTGCGGAGTCGCGCTGCGGCGCGGACGTCTCGAGTCCGGGGGGATGATAGGGGCGCCGCCCGGAGGGTAGGCAGTTCCGGTGTAGGAGTAGGACTCCATCGGCGGGCTGCCTCGTGGCGTGTGGCGTCGGCAGCGGGCCGAGCATGCATGCCGATGCATCTGGCGGACGCGCAGCGCGTAGCACGGCGTAGCAGGACTCTCCGATCGTAAAGTTGACCGCGGATCGCTCATGTCAACAAGGCAATGTTGTTTTGACGGGGATGCGCCGCGTGCCGCCACCGCCGCCGCGCCGGGAAAAAATTAAAAATGCTACAAGTGAACATGTCTGGGCTAGTAGGGGGTGTGGCCCTCGAGCACCGGCGACGGTGCTCGCCACGCGAGGCTCTACGTTGATGCCAGAAAGCAGGTCGGCTTTCTTTTGCGGGCGGGAGGTTGTCACTGGTCGGACGCGGGTTCGGAAGTCCGAAACGATGATAAAGGATTTCTCTGGGTCCGGCGCCGTGTCCACTCGAGTAGCGCTCTTGCCAAAAGGCCGGCTGGACTGTCTGGGCCTCGCATCGTTTATACATTCTCGTCGAATATTTCGGCATGGGCATTCCAACTCGCGGCGCCGCGGCGGCTTATGCCGCTTGAAATTCAATTCGTGGGAGTGATTCTTCATCATTAGCCTTCGGGGCGATTGTTTGGGACCGGGGGGAGGGAGGGCGGGGGGTCGCCCATTCATTGATGCGGCGGTAGTACGAACGTACTCTGCTCATGATTCCCATGGCGACGACATGATGTCGTCGTTGCCACCCGAAAACGTTTCGCGCTGTGCCTCAAGGATGAAGTACGAGCAAGCGGACGCAGGACTCAGTCAACAAAGTTCAGAACTTCGAACAGACGGAAGAAAATTTTAACGACGCAGTGCAGTTGCGACGCCAGTTGAGATAGAGAGGACGCGCCCTGGCCCTGGGCCCTCCAATCGCTGCGCAGACAAGACAACCCTCGCTCATCTCTATTCTCCGACAGGCCTTGCTTCGCCTTGCCGGCCGCGTGAAGCAGCAGCACCGGCGAGCACTTGGAGTCCACCGCCGCGGAGGCACCGCGTCGGCTGAGTCATCGCCGAGCCTCCGGTCGACTGGCAATGGCCCCACCCGCCACCGGGCTGATGCCGAACAGTGCTTTCGTTGCCCATCACGCCCTCACGCGCGCCCCGTAGGCGTGCGAGAGAGACAGCGACGACGCGGTTTGGAATGGCACTAGGCCCTCCTCGGCCAGCTCGCTTCGCTGGCACTCCACGCAGCCCGCCAACCAGAGGCTGCTTGGAGTTCCAACAAACAGCAGGAAACACACATTTCTGAAAAACAAAGTCAACGACGGACAGGAGCGTCGCGCTCCGCGAGTGCAGGCGAGGGATGCGATGTGCGGAAGCGACCACAAGCAGACATTAGCGGCAATGAGGGGCTCATCTGCATCCTGCCTGCGTCCGGGCGGACCGTCCCGGCCCGGCGGCGTGTCCGACAGCATTGGCACCGCGACGCTGTGCTCACCCTGGTCACGAAGCCCCTCCCCCTCCCTCTCCGACTCGGCTGGACTCACGGTGGAGGTGAACGCACGTGTCGTGTCCGCGTGCACGTCCGCAGAATATACAATTTGGGAAAAAACGGCGGCTCCCTCCAGCCCTGCCCAGCCAGCCAGGCAGCAGCCAGGCAGCAGCATCGAAGGGACGGTGGAGGGGCCGGCGCGACGTCGGCCTCGCCGGGCCTGGCCTGGGCGTGCCAAACCTATATGACGGACGGCGGCACGGCGACCCTGGCAGTGCGGCCCACGCAGTGTCCCCGACAACGACAACGCCCCCGCGACGTCCTCGTCGTCCTCGTCCTCCGGTTGCTGCAGGCCCTGGTCGTCTGCCCGTCCCCGGGACTCCGCAGCGCAGGATGGCGTCGTCGCGCAGCCTCCTGGCGGTGGCCGTGGTGGCCTTGGTCGCGGGGGTGGCTGCCGCCGCGCCCTGGCCGCCCATGCCCTTCGCAGCGCCCTGTAAGTGCCTGGGTTCCGTGTTCCGAACTGGTGGTGTGTGAAGGATCGAGTGATGACCGACGTCCTTGCCTGCAGTCATGATGGGCTACTTGCGGCCTCGACGAGCACCCCCGGTCTCGAGGCCGCCGCCCATCCCGGTGCAGGGCGGCATGCCCGGCGGCCCCGTCGGCCCCCACGGAGGCCCCGTGTACCCACCGCCCAGGACCCTCACGTTCAGCGGCTACTTCAGCGGCGCGGGATCTCCCCAGAACGGGGACCCTTACTCCTTCAGCTGGGGCCCAGCACTGCGGTAAGTTTTCAAACTAAAAAATCAACCACTTAAAAAAAAATTAAAATAAAACTTTTTCAATTTTTGTTTTTGGCGAGTAGGAGCGCCGAGCCCGAGCAGGACATCCCCGTCGGCATGGCGGCCGCGCCCCCAGCCCCTCCTCAGGACCAGGTCCTTGACAACCCCCCAGCGCCACCCCCAGCCCCCGCGGAAGGCGAGGCCCCGGAAGACAGTGGTGTTGGCGTCGGCGGTGCGGGGGGACCCGGCGGCCTCGGCGGACCGGGCGGCTTCGGTGGACCGGGCAGCCCTGGCAGTTCTGGTGGACCTGGAGGAGCCGGTGGCTCTGGTGGAGACGGTGGATTCGGCGGAGACGGTGGTTTTGGCGGTGACGGCGCCGTCTTCCAAGCGCGCGCCAAGCCGGGTAAGCGGAGCGCCTTACGAACGCAGGGTAGGCAACACCGCGACACACCCGTGTGCGCGTTGCCTACCCTGGCGCCGTGGAGCGCCTTACGGACGCAGCGTAGGCAACACCGCGACACACCTGTGTGCGCGTTGCCTACCCTGGCGCCTTATGAACGCAGGGTAGGCAACGCCGCGCAGTTTACTGACGCAGATCCTGATCTCCTGACCACAGGCCGCGGCAAGAACAACAAGGCCCCCAAGCCCAGCTACCCAGCGCCGGAGGGCCCCAGCCCCGGCCCCGGCTCCGGGCCAGGGTCGCCCGACGACGGCGGAAGCGACCGCGGTGGCTACGGCACCATCAACGCCTACTTCCCCTTCATGTTCGGCGGCGGCTGGGGCGGCGGCGCCCCTCAGCCACCGCGGCCCTCGTACAGGGCCTACGGCGCGCCCAGCCGCCCCAGCTACGGCGGCGGTGGCGGCAATGGCGGTAACGGTGGCAGCGGCGGCAACGGAGGCAACGCAGGCAACGGAGGCAGCGGAGGCAGCGGAGGCAACGGCGGTAACGGTGGAAGCGGCGGCAACGGAAGCAGTGACTGCTGCCCCGGCTCCGAAAGCGGAAACACCAACAACCAGTGGGAGAGCAGGCCGCAGGGCGGCCAGCCGCCGGCAGGTTTGTGAAATCCCGAAACGAAATGACCGTTTTCCTCCCAACGACAGACAGTATTCGAACCCGGGTCTTTCCTTCCCACAGGTGGCGGTGGTGGCTTCCCCTACTACCCGGTGGCGATCGCCAACAGCTTCAGCACGGGGCGCAACGCCATGGCCAGCAGCACGGCCACGGCGTACGGCGGGGCGCCGCCGAGGTCGTGAGCCCCGTGCCCATCTAGATAGAATTTTATAAATTGTAATCAACGACTGTGTTCAGTAATAAACTTCTTTTCATAATTATTGATAACGCAGTTGCAACTCCTTTCTTCGTACCCTCAAGTGTTCAGTGAAAAGAAACAGTAAATGGGCACACTCAGGAACAGTGACACGAAATCTTATGATTGATCGGTGTTGTTTAATACTTAATTCATAAGGTTTCGTTAAAATATATCGTAAACAAAAATACACAAACATTGTGGGAGTACAGCGGGGTAAAAACTAAACACCACAGCATAACAGCTATTAAGCCTTCCCACTCGACGAGAGCCATTATTGAATCAGTCTTTCGCGCTCAACCTCCAGCAATAATAGCACAGCGTGGAGATAGAGGTTGATTAAATACGTCAGTGTTCTCTAAAACACTGTACTGAATGTTGCCACACAGTGGCTGCAATGCTAAAACTAAGAATTAGGGCCCTTTTGTCAACATGACAGGGAAGCCCACGACGCTTACACATTATAACACGAATTGACAATCTACATCTATCTTTAAACTACTACTAGTTGGAGGGCTCTGTAATTCCTGCGTATTCTAAAACGCGCCGCTTAAAGCGCGCTAGTTTAAGTACAAAAAATTAAAAATACATTTTATGATAAAATAATAAGACACATTCATGGCAATGTAACATAAATGACACTATGAAAATAGCGGGCCTTTCACGGACCACAAAAAATCAACGTTACCCTGTAAAAGTAAGCTTTTGATCTGAAGCAAATTCAGTCGAGATTCTAAAAGTACAATTTTTGCCCTAGAGTATTTAAGCGGTTTAAGCCCGCAGGCGACTGCCGTGCGGTTTAGATGCGCGACCGATAGGATGGCTAGCGCTGCCGGCGGCGCCATCTCGGCCAGTTCGCGAGTTGACTGTCGCGACACTGCCATTGGCTGGAGATGACGGACGCGGTGGCCAAAACAAATGCGAAGGAATGTCATTGCAGCCGAGGCGCACACTGGGGTGGTTCCGTGCATTTTCAACCCGACTGTACCTTCGGCGCATCTTCGTATCAGCTGCTGTGATCGGACAGCAGCTTGTCCGTGACGGGGCTGTCGTCACCTGCGGAAAGAAAGAAATGTCATGTTTTTGAATCAAGTGCGATTCAATCATTCGTTTTCCCCCAGTATGTTTCGTTTTGCCATTGACGGCCGTAACTTACACAAAACACAAGAAATGAGACAAAAGCCGCGTGTCTGCGGTTTGCTCTCTCTCTAACAATGGACATGCGACGTCGCGGACACTGATACCACCATTGCGCGATTATGTTCGCCCTCGTTCGATTCCGGGTCAAGGTGCCCCTCTGCGACTGGCTGTACAAAAGCAGGACGTCCTTTGCCGAGCGCAGAGAGCACAGCGCGCACAGCGTCCCTCGCAAGCGCCATCCAGTTTCGATGTCGTCCCACCCACCCCGACGGCTGCCTCTCGGCTCGGGGGGCATTTTGCTTTTATTCGGCACATTGGTGCTGATAATACCAGTGAAACAAAGTCCCCTGAGTAGCACTGCCGAGCGCTGCGATGCCAAGATGTCAAGCAGGCGGTGCCTTGGCTTCCGTGCTAGATAGTTGTTTGAGTCGCTCAACCCCCTCCCTCCGCATTCACACTCACACAGACTCACCTTACTCACACACACGCACACCCTCATACACACAAACACACACACTCGCGCACACTAGGTTCAACCGCTCTGGACTCCCTCCCGCCGTTGCAACAGGAAGCCCATGTCATTGGCCGGCTGGATCTACAAAAAGGTTTGACCGTTACCACACTGCATGCAGATTGAATCGGTGCAGTCAATAAATAAGGAAGAATGCGGGGAATCGAGATAGCGGTTCTTCGGTCAGCTGATTGGCATAGTTACTGTTTAATAGGCGTATAGTGCGAGAAGGAAAGTAAAAGCGAGAAGTAAGTGGTTTAGGTAGGTAGAAAAATAAACAGAAGAGAATAAAGGAAGAAATAAAAGAGACATACATGCGACAAGTAAGCACTTTTATTTTTTTAATTAAAAATAAAAAGTTAAGACTAGTGAGGGAAGATATGTAATGAGATGAAGAGCGATAAAATGCGAAAATGAAGCAGTGGGGAATGCAAGGGCAGTGTTACTAGCTGCATCTACAACTACAGCGCTGTACAAAATATTTACAAAAAATACATATTCGATCACATTTGTCATCACAAAAATGTAGTATCACAAGCCACAATTAAAGAAAATAAACCTAACGTTTCACTTACACCGTGGCGATATAAACATGAATATTTGGCTATCGTAAGTAGAGAACAAAAATATGGCACTAGAATTTATATATCACATGGGCACGCGAAGCGGGTTGTTGCGAGGCGGTACATCTTTCAGAGTGCAACGCGAGATCTCGAACTTGCAGTTCTAGGCCTTCTAGGCGAGCAGCGAGTAGGACTGCATGCGGCCGGGGGACCGCGGCGTGGCGAGCAGTGCCACGCGCACGCACAGCCGCTCCTCCATGACGAGCAGGCTCTGCATGCGCACCCACGTACCTGGGGCGGGGGTGGCGGGGCCGCCGTTGGCGTGGCCGCCTTGGTGGCCGCCGTGCGCATTGCCGTTGGACTTGAAGGCCGCGCCGTTGCCGAACTTGTCGGCCAGCGGCTCCAGCGGCGCGCTCTTCACCATCAGGTCGTCCTCGGCGGCGTCCTCCTTGACGGGGTCGTCGGGCACGCAGCGCACCGCGAACATGATGACGGAGCAGACGACGGGCGGCACGCCGGCCAACAGGAACGGCAGGCGGTACGAGCCGAGGTGGTCGAACAGTAGCCCTGCGCATAGGGGTGGCGTGAGCAGTGTCGCCTTGGCCGCGCGGTTAGAGGCGCCGACCTTGGCGGCCAAAGGCCCGGGTTCGAGTCTTACCCGCGATGAAGGGCCCCACGGTGAGGGGCACCGAACACAGCCCCAGCAGGCAGCCGATGGCCTGCGTGGCGCCCCGCTGGCCGCACAGCTGGAAGGCGATGGGGCCCAGCAGCGAGATGAAGCAGCCGTCGAACAGCCCCATCACCAGCGCCAGCACCTTCATCACGGTGAAGCTGTCCGTCACCGTCAGCAGCATGGTGGCCACGCCGATGCAGAAGAAGGAGATCTGAAAGGGAAAACGACAACAACATTCTCATTTTAGAACAGATTGAAAAGGGTCGGCGAAGCAGGCGAAGCAAGCGAAGCAAGGGTGCCGCCTGACGGCGTAATCTCTCCCGGTACACCAAGGCGGAGGGCAGACTCGAAAAAGTAACATTGTGGTCGCTTGGCTTGGCTTAGCTCCGCTCGAGGTCGGAGCGGAGCGCGAAGCGCGAAGCCCATTATTTCGATAAGGTCCCAGTTCCGCGGTCGGGCCGCGGCGCGCAAACGGCGACCCGATAACATCGATGTCGACGGGCACCCCGTCGGCCGCGGTCCGGCGTCCGCCACTTCCTCACCTGCTGCAGCAGAATGCGGTCGACGCGCGGGATGTCCGCGATGCGGCCGAACACCAGGCGGCCCACGCCCGACGCCAGCCCGATGAAGAGGATCAGGATCTTGCCGTCCTCGCCCTCGAAGCGCGTCGACACGTACTTGACCTGCGAAGAAAGAGGGCGAGATAGTTTAAATTGGCATCAGCCAGCGCGGCAGCGCGGCGCTTCGGGTGAATAACCCACCGCAGTGGCCAATAATGGACCTGAACGGCGCAGCCGGCCCGGGCCGGCCCGGCCCCGCGGCGGGCTGCCGATAACGCCGGCCACGCCGACCACGCCGACGCGGCTCGAGTATTGGGCTGATAGCCCCAGCGAACGGCGTGGCGCTGCGTGCGCCTGCAGGCTCATTCCGGACAGTCTCTCTGTCTCTCTCGCACCCACGCGGGACGCCCCGTGAGTGCGAGAGAGACGGAGCGTCAGCCAGCAGATAGAGGGCGCTCCGAGCCGCCGACCGCGCCGTGCGTTTAAATCCCGCGGCCGGCCTGACGGCTAGACTCACCATGTGGACGTACGGCACGAAGTAGCCGAACAGGGCCGTGGGGATGGCCAGCGCCCAGATGACGTACTTCCGGCGCTTCCAGATGTTGAGGTTCAGCAGGTCGGTCTGCGACGACGTGGACCTCGGCGGCGGCATCAGCGGCTTGAACAGCATCGCGCAGCCGATGATGAGCGACATCATGGCGGCCAGCAGCCTGGTGGCGCGGAGAGAAAAAGTTAGTGACACCCGCCCCGCCACCGGGGATCGAACCCGCGCCCGTTCCGAACTCACAGCAGGCTGCCGGAGAACCCGAAGCGCTGCAGCAGCCACTCCAGCGGGTAGGGCAGCAGCACGGAGAAGACGGACGAGCCGGCCGCCACCAGCCCGTTGGCCACGCCGAGGAAGCGCTTGAAGTAGTGGCCCAGCACCACCAGCGACGGCGTGTACGTCAGCGAGGCCCCCACGCCGAACAGCACGCCGTAGGTCGCGTACAGCGCGTACACCTGCAGCAAGGAGGTCCGCGTTAAGCGCGCCGCGGTGGCCGTCGAGCACCCCACCGTCGTCGCGGGCCTCACGTTGTCCGTGACGAAGGACGACAGCAGCATGCCGGCGGTGGCCAGGACGCCGCCGATGGCCGTGGTCAGCCGGATGCCCCAGCGGTCCGTCAGCACGCCGGCGATGGGGGACACCAGGAACGTGGTGCCGATGCACAGCGACCCCACCAAGGCTGCAACAAACAACGCCAGTCAGACGGGCTGTCTTGGCCCCGGCTGGTCGGTGGTTCAAATCCGACAAAGCACTTAAGTTTTTCCCTAGTGGACATGACACGGGTGGCGCCCCTCCCTCCCCCACACTCGAAGTAGCCCGCCGCGGACTGCGTGCGGCCTGCTGGGGCCTGGTGGGGCCCAGGCCGGATTGAGTTGAGGCTGGCAGAAACTGAATACGCACCCGAAGAAGCCCCACCAACGCTGTGTGTGTGTCGGTAAACACGTCGGTGTGCTAGCGCTGCGTGTGTGTGCGTGTCCCAGCGAGGCTCTCACGCAACGACCGACCGCAGCAAAACTGGCCTGGCACGTCGCAGCACTTCCATGGCACTTCCCCGTGAGGGGCTATTGGCCATTCGTTGGCCATGCGGCCGCATACGTTTGGAAAACGGGACTGGTGCGCAGTTTGGCAGTTCGGAGTGGACTCAAAAATATGGCGGAGTGTGCGACTTGCTCGGCCGGACTCTGGCACTGCCTGGCACGCGGCCCGGGTGCTAATTTCGCGGCCCCCGCGCCGTAGTCTGTCTCTCTCGCACCACTACGGCACGCCGCGTGAGTGGGAGAGAGATAGAGCCTGCCGCCGGCCGGGCCAGCCATGCAAATCTGCAGGCCGACAATGTGCAGTGCATCGCGCAGGCTGGGGCAGGCTGGGCCGTGCGTCGGGCAGGGCTGGTGTTGCAGAGCACTTCAGCGCCCACGCCGGGCCGGCTTCCTCCGCTGGGCAGGCTTGGCAGCGAGCCACTCCCGGACAACAGGGCGGCAGGGCGCCGAACCGGCGCCCGCTTTGGCGACCCTACGTGAAGCGTCCCGGTACCGTGACCATCTGGAGCACGAACCCCGGATCAACGGCAGGACGTCGCCGTCGACACGCGCCCGCCGCGCGATTCAGTAGATTCGGTCCGTCGCTCCGTCTCTCTCGCGCCCTCAAGAGCCCCATGAGTGCGACAGAGACAGTTTCGGAATAAGCTAACCGCACTGCCGGCCACCGCCCCGATGAGTCTGTTTGTGCAGCCAGTGGCGAGGCATCGCGAGGCCGGCACCCCGACCCGACACGTGCTGTCCACAGATTACTCAGCGAGGACGGTGCGTGGGCGACGCAGAGACGCAGCTCGCGAATCCAAGCCGGCCGCCGCACTATCTCTGTATTGGCCACCCCGGGATGGCCTGCACGGCCTGCATGGCCTCGGCCAAGGTCGCGGCGTCTCCTTCCGACCTGCAGCGGCGTGGCGCCCCAACAGTGTAGCGGCGATACAACGGGGACCTGATACGATGGGGAACCCGCGGGTAGGCTATCGGCCGACGGACCGCGCCGAACCTGGCAGAGCCGGAGCCCGGCGCGCCGACCCTGGGTTTGGCGGCAAGGGAAGGGCCTCGCGGACCCGGAGGTTCGGCGGCGACGTCGTTGAGCACGCCGTCGAGCTCGCCCGCCGCGGCCCGGCCCGCCCGCTGCGCTGATTCGCGGCGTCGGTCCAATGAGAGTGCGTCACTCACCAAGCCAATATCGCAGTGCGCAGTGCCTCCACCCCTTGCGACCACTTTCCGCTTCGGCTCGAGAAACGCGCCGACTTTCCCCGCGAGTCGCCCCGTCTCTGTCGCACTCGTGGGGTGTTCCCAGGGGGCGCGAGAGAGACAGAGAGACGGTTCTTCGGAATCGCTCGGCAAGCCGCACTGGCGAGCGAACTGAATGAGCCGGTCGCAATGGAAAATATGGGGAAACAGAGGGGAGGGGAGGTCCTGGCCGCTGATTGGACGAGATGGAGCCGGCCTGGCCGAGGCCTGGCAGGAGGCCGACGCCGCGACGCCAAGTGATCAAGGGCCCTGGACCTTAATATTGACTGCTGCTGTCGCTCTCACTCTTTCTGAGCGTGTGTGAGTGTGTGAGAGAGAGTACGCGTTGTGGACCTCGCGCCTCGGCGAAAACCGCAGGCGGCAAAAAAGACTAATAAGACCTCTAAAAATAGGAAAAAGAGCGCAGCGCAGGGAAGCACGCCGTCGGTACACTGCTGGACGAACGGTCATGGCATGGCGCGAGAAAGCGAGGCCGAAAGGTCTCGAGAGATAGAAAAGACTGAATTATCACGATCTGTCGGGTTTCAAAACATTACGAGGACCGAGATTGGGTTTGGTGGTGTACTTTGGAGAGTGAGACTTACTTCACTTCATACATTGATGCGGCAGTGGTACTAATGTCAGGGTGCACAGTCGGCCGCGCCGTGCGTGTCCGCGTGGCGTCGAAGTGTCACCAATGGTCACAATTGTGACAGGGCGGCTCACGCGCGCTCGTGACCCCTCGGGTGAGAATGATTGGCACAGCTCGAGCGTCTTGAGCAGCTTGAGTGACACGTCGTGGACGCGACGCGGCGTGCGGTGTGCTGGACCGGGCGGCGCGGCGTCCAGGTCGGCGTCGGACGTACGCGCGGCCGCAGCCCTCGGCCCCGGCCGGCTGATGCAATGTTTGCTGGACCCGCCCGCAGTGGAGCGCGTCTCTCTCGCACCCCAACGGGACGCCCCATGCATGCGAGAGAGACAGAGCGGCGAAAGCACAGTCCGGATTCATCAGGCTGCAGGCCGCTGGACAGGCTGGCCCAAGGGCTGGCCAGGCCACTGTGCTGCTGGAGCTCATTGCTCGGCCTGGCTCGGCCCCTGAGGTGCAGTTATTGACATCCGCTTATCGGGATGTGGGTTACAGTGTAACCCGGACAGGATGATGCCCGACTTTTATCGACGGGGCGCGCAGACAGACAGAGAGAGAATACATTTGGCGGCCCCTTCCCCGGAGATAGAAGGAGCACACAAATCCGACGGCGGGCTTTTCCTTTATCGCACCCGAACGCACCCGACTGCCGAACGCCGCGCCGAAGCCGAAGGCTTAGGCCCTCGTAGAGTCCAGCGCGCGGGGCAGGTCAGGGTTCGAATCCCGCCGACCAGTTTTATTCATGACCGAGATGTCTGTGGTCAGTGACATGGGGCGGGGCACTCAAAGAAAACGTTCCCCTTTCCAGCAAACACATTTTCCGCTGAGAAATCATATTTTCTTTGGAGTGCGGATCGAATTTTCTGGTGGGTTAGCTGCCTCGGTCCACGTGTCGAGGCGAGGCTGGGGAGAAAAGAGAGTCGCGATAGAGAGGCGCGAAAGAGGCGGCGTCCTGGACGGCAGCCAGCGCTGGAGAGGCGTGGCGGGGCGGGGCGTCGCGTCGGGGAGGTCAAAGACCGTCAAAGACACGGCCACACCTGTAGTTGGTGTCAAATAAATGTTTCCCGCTCAAGCCCCCGTTCGTTCCCTCGGCGCCGACTCGGCAGAAATCACGACCAGGGCGCTTTTTTGCGCTCCGCCTCACAGCAACCAGAGCGGCATGAGCGGCGTGAGCTCCGCCTATGTCAAGGACTGCGATCAAGCCACTCCATGGCGACCCCAGCCAGCCCCAGCCTGCCCCAGCCCCGAGCACATGGTCGCGATAACAGCATGGACGGGCACGGAGCACGGCCAGCACAGCCGCCACTGCGGTGCACGACTGCTGATGGCAGCGGCGATGCACCACGCCGCTGGCCCGGGTTCGAATCCCCGCGTTGTTTCTCGTTTACATTTTACGGTGCTTGATCCACGCCCGCGGCCCGCGCCCACCCCGCGACCAAACGGTCGCGGCTCAGCTGAAGGGGTGCCTCCTTTCCGTGGTCTTGGCCGCAGCGCCGCGCGCCGCCACCGGGCCGAGGGCTTCCTGTTGCTGTATTCCGAACAGTGCACTCTGTCTCCCTCGCACCCCTACGGGACGCCCTAGGAGTGCGAGAGAGCGAGACAGCCAAAAGCCGGCGATGTTGTCGGCAGAGGACGTCGTTATACACGTTTCCCGGCTAATGAGCTAACAAGGCTCTCGGCTTGACTTGGAGGCATGAAAGGAAAGCCGTCAACCGCGGAGGGGCGGGGCGGGGCGGGGCGGCCGCAGGGGATGGCGAGGTGTCGCCTTACAGTGGGCTCTTTCCGAAACGGTGCTTCGGCCTCTGTCGCACCTCTTCGGCACGCCCCATGAGTGCGAGAGAGGCAGCGCGACGAAGCCGCGTCTCGGAATCAGCCTGCAGGCGAGCCACCCCACTGCGTCTGCGTCCACGGCGCCTCTCTACTCGGCGCGCAGCGATCCGTCAGGTGTGCCAATGTCCCGGGTGACAGCCGAGTGCCGTTGCAGCTCGAGGTCGATGGGTCGATTAGGGCCGATCAGTCACCGGGAAGCGAGGACAACGACGAACCAGAACCCGGAAATCGCGAGCGAACGTCGCCGTTTTCGCGAAATTCAGAACGACCTATTAATAGTCGGCCTGCTTTCGGCCCCGGGGGCTATCGGTGGCGTCCCATGACCCTCTCGGCCCTCTTGGCGGCGGCGGCTGTTCTGGAGAAGCTCGCGCCGGCCGTTATCGCTAGGAGGGCGAGGCAAACACAGGGCGAGGCAGGGCCAGGCCACACTTTGGCAAAGAAGAAATTGCTGAGCCAACACAGGGCGGGTGCCTGTTGCCCGTGTCGCTCGAGCGCGGCCCAGCCATGGCCTAGCCATGGCCTAGCGCAGCCCTGGGCCGGCAGGGCGGCAGGGCCGACAGTGTGGCGGCCGGCAGGCCTACGCGCCCACGGCCTGGCCTACGGCCTACGGCCCCACCCCGCCGTCGCGCTGCCACCGATATGGTGACACAGGGGGCCGTCCCTAGGCCGTGTCAACACGCTCGGGGTCACCCCCTGGTCACGCTGGTCATTCTCGTGGCCCGCCAGGCGGGGCGGCGGCGCGGCGGGGCGGCGGCCGTGGAACTCTCACGGGAGAAGTTGACTTGCGCCGCTTGCGCCCAGCCCAATGACTCACGGCGCCTCACGTGACGCTGCAAATCCTGCGTCCTTAAGTGCGCCGGACGGGCTGGACGGGTCGTTGCGACGCGGCCCACGCGCCCTGCGCCTTGCACGCCTTGCGCCGCCGAACAAGGAAAACAAAAACAAAAAGAGTCCGCGGCCGCCGCGCCTCGCCGACGCCCACCTGGAGCCAGACTGGCCGCACGAAATGACGCGAATCGCTCGCCAGCAAGGACCCGGACGATGAACCCTGCCGCAGGAGCCGGGGGAAACAACGGGGGAAAAGAAGGGGGCAACGCAGGAGCAAGCCTTTCTATCTTTACCACCGCCAGAGGCAGCCGAGCGATTCGAGTCGCTGCATCGCTCTGTCTCTGTCGCACTCGTGGGGCTCCCCATGAGGGTGCGGGAGAGACAGCGCGACGAACCGCCCTTTTGAATCACTCGGCAGGGCGGCAAGCGGCTTCCGTCAGTGCGACATGCCGGCTGTCGGGACCCGGGCGCTGCGGGGCTGCGGGGGCTCACCCATTGCCGGCGCACGCGACACTGCAGCGCGCGCGACGCACGCACCGGAAGCACGGCACGGCGGGGCGCCGGGTCACGCACGTGCGCAGTCTATAGTCGGCACTGCTCAGTGTGACCCCCACGCCCTCCCTCAGCTCGTCACTGAAAGCCTCCACCGACCTCAAGAACTGACAAACACTCACAAAACTTAAGAACTGGCTTATACTCACAAGCTTTGGACGCGGCGTCCGAGACCTTGGCGTCCTCGAGGTCCTTGAGCAGGTACACGTAGATGACGCCGTACGTGTTGATGATGCCGAACAGCAGCCCGTTGCACAGGAAGGAGGCAGCCAGCACCATCCAGGCGCGCACGCCGCCGTCGGGGGGCGTCAGCGGCGTGGCGGCGTCGGGGCTCCTGGCCTCCGCGTCCCCGGCGGCTCCCGTCATGGCGCTGGTGGTCGACGACGTCCTCGCGGAGGCCGAGCTTGTCGTTGCCGGCGTGGCGGTGCCTGGCGGCCTGGCGGTGCGCGCGGGGCGGTCCTCGGCGGCGCAGTGGCACGAGCACGACGGCGTTGCGCAGCGCTGCGAGCCGGGCTTCGGCTTGGCGGGCACAGAGTCGCAGACCGAGCAAGCGAGCAAGCGAGGGGCGCACAGGCCGGCGCTCCGCTCCTCTGGGGCCCCGGCCGCCCCGTCCGCCCCGTCCGGCTCGGCGCGGCCCCCTTCGCCCGGCTCGGCTGGGCTCTGGCGCGGCCTGCTCGGCTCGGACGGCCCGGCTGGCCCTGCACGCGTCGCGTAGCGCTACTCTAGTGTAGGGCCGCGTCCGCCGCGACCATGCCGACCACGCCGACCATGCCACCGCGCCGCGGCGTGGCTCGGCGGCGTGGCGATGATGCCGCGATGATGGTCTCAATGGCGTTCCCTGGCGGTCATTTAGCGTCCCGACGCGTCTCGCCGAGAACGGCCGAAGTCGCGGCGGGCGTTGTGACCGCTTCGGCTGCTTCTGCTTGGCCTGGCCGGCCTGCTTCGCCTGCTTCGGCGACGCGACGAGCAATCAGTGCGCCGACCGGGCGACGCCGCGACGTGACGCCGCGACGCCCAACCGTTTGGCGGGGACGTGCTGGCTGGGCCCCCAGGGGCCCATACGGCGCGGCCTGCGCAAAACAGACCACACTATTATCGGATTGATTCCGAGACTCTTTCCAGCGCTCTGTCTCTCTCTTTGGGACGTTCTGTGTGGGTGCGAGAGGGACGAAAACGATGCCAGCAGCCCCGCAGACTGCCGGGCTGGACGCTCGACGCCGTGCTCCAGCCAGAACAGCTGATCTCGCCGCCGCTCGGGCCGCGCGCCCTTCCGCGTTATCGATTCCCCGGCGGGTGGCGTCCTCTGGCGGCCGGCCGCCGAGGCTCCCCGACTGGGTCAGGCCGTCAGGCAGGCCAGGCCGCGGGCAGCGCGGGCAGCGCGGCGCAGGGCAGGCCGTCCAACCTATCTGCAAACAGCTGACTCCACGAGCCGATTCGGGACGTCCAGGGGACGCCGTCGTCGGCTAGCTCGCTGGCCGTCACCGCGCCACTGCTTTCCCCTCGTTCCTCGTTCCGAGCAATGTTCCGCGGACAACGCCGTGATAAGGCGACAGCGAGCGAACGCGAAATCCGAGTCCCAATGTCGCGCTCCGGCGAGATCCCAATTTACTTCTAGCAGCGCCTCCAGCGCTCGGGACATGCGACATTCTATTCATAGAGCTGTCACAGTGGCTGCGCCACTTCCACGGACCCGGCTTGCGCGATCACAGACACCGACAGTACACCGGAAAACTGGAAACCGAGCCGAAGGCGTGCGTCCTGGACGGGGATGCACTCACCTGCAGCACGCCGTCAGTGCGCCCGCGCAGGCCGACAGTGTGGTGGGCCTGGTGGGCCAGGTGGGCAGTGCAGCAGCTGCAGGTGGCTCTGGAAGGTCGCGGTCACGGAGGGCTCCCGGCACCAGTCCACGCCAGTCCCGGCGCGGCGCGGCAGGCCCTGCAGGGCGCAGGCAGGACCGAATGAAGGAGGGAGGCATTCGATCGCCGCCGCCCCCACCTAGGCCCCCACCTAGGCCCCCGCCGCCCCCCACCTGCTTCCCTGCAGGGCTTGCCAGGCTTGCCTGCCGCGTCTGGATTGGCGCTGGAGGTCACGGTTACGGTCACGGCCCGGCCGACGCGGCGGCATTCATAGACCGCGGCCGTCACTCCGTCCACTCCGTCCGTCCACTCCGTCGCACACTAAGCGACGCCAAGGCAGCGTCGTCAAGTTCAACGGAGGCGCGCCGCCGCACTGGAAGTCGTCGGTTGGGTTGCCTACCAGGACGCTAGGCGAGGGGCGTTGTACGTCACCGCGCCGCCTGCTCGGCGTGCGTGCAGACACTGTCGAAAGTGCAGTGTCGGAAAGACTGACTCCTTTTCAGTCAAGACTTCACAGTCTTTGATAGTCACATCTTACCATCCTAAGATCAATTGAATCCTGTGTAGTACACTTGATTGGCCGAAGTCTTGCTCAAAATCGGTAGAAATCTCGTGAAACCCCTTCGAACTCGGGTAGGAATCCCACCAAAATCTCGCGATATCTGTCATAATTGTGACGCGAATTCCTGCGAAATCTTGCGAAATCTCGGTAAAACCCCTACCTCTAAAGAATCCTGTTTCCGAAAAAATTTCAAGTGGTTGCTTCCTTGCCTGAACGAGTGTCCACTTGAACTAAGATAATGTTTTACTTTCAACTAAACTTACACGTCCACGCAAATGCTCGCGGTTCAAGAACCAAGGGTGTGTAAGGCAGACTCCACCCCCAAGTCGGACCCCGCTTCCTCCAAGCACTCCAAGGCGCCGCTAGGCACTTCCGGCACACTGCTCGCGCTGGCTCGCGCCCGCGACCTTAGCCCTGCACTGCTTTTTCAATCAGAGGGGCGGCACTGGCACTGCCTCAAAGACGCGGCTAATCCTCGGTGTATCGGGTAAAGCCGCGCCGTAATATCTCACTTGTTTTCCCGGCCGCACGCGCCCCGCCCCCGTTGATTGGTGTTGATGGGCAGAAAGCGGTCGGCTGGTCGGCACCTCGGCACCTGGGCAGTCGGCACGAGCCGCGGATAAAGGAGAATGGCGTGATGGCTCGATTAAGCGCCGCGATGCGCCGACGAGAGGCACTAGAGAGAACCTGCGTCTCGAGGGGTCAATCATGTGCACTCAGACAGATTGGCACGTTCTCACACGTCTATCAAGAGCGCGGAATACCTCAATTCTCAGCACGATTCTGCGTCATTAGGCCAAAAAACTTGAAAGTTGTCAGTTTTTAATGGTGAGCCCACCCCTTGAGAACCCATCCACACCCCTCGGCAACAGACCTGGTGTAGAGACTTCTAAGTGGGGTGCTCTTCGATCGGACTTCGGTAAACAGGTCCCGATCGCGTCAATAGTACTGCCAAGTAATCCACATATGATCGCGGCCGATTGATTAGCCAGTTCGCGCCGGCACCGAATAATACCGAGTAATACCGGCACCAGCGAGCAACAACAACACCACCTAAAACGTAGCTGAAAGTACCGGTTTGCCTCACGTGCCTGCACTGATTGTATTCCACTGTAAAACCTGCCTCGTCGAAATGAAAAATAAAACCCTTACCTGAAAGTCCCGATGTTCGAAAAACAAGTACATCGCACCGCTGCTTCTCAGAACGATTGCGTGCACTTCGTGACACTAAAATGGCCGAAAGACGTCAAAAAGGTGCGCTTTTGATGTGTTCGTGTCGTGAGATCCTATGCGGGCTCGAAAATACGGGTAGACGAGGAACAACCGCCTCGCCGTTGGGGTGCTCAAGGAGCCCAGTTCGGCGAAGCATGACAGGGGGTGGTGGCAGCGTTGCGAAGCGTTGCGCGGAAGACAGACGTCGTTCCAAAAACGGGGAGGGGGGGGGGTGACAACCTCCACTTAGGCGGAAAGACCGCCTGGCTGGTAGGCATCAAGCACTACCGCTTCTGGCCGCTTCTGGAACCGCCACTGAGGCAGGGGCAGGGTAGGCAGTCCCGTCGAGCCACCGAGCGTGGCGGTGGCCTACCCGCTGTCCGCAAGGCGCCCATTCAAGGGGACACTCTAACCGCCACGCGCGGCCCTTCCAATTTCCGCTTCCAAACTCGCCACAATCGCCGCAAGTTCCATCGCCGACGCTCGCCTGACGTGCCGCGCTGGCCGGCAACAGGCCGGCAGGACGATAGGGCGCTCGTTCGTCAAGGCGGGCGGCGCGAGCGGCGCGACGCAGGACACGACTTCGACTTTCTGCTGCAGCTTTACAACCCTCGCAAAGATAAGGACGAAAGGCGCGTATAAATGCAAAGGAGTCCCCTTGTAATTCATTCAGTTGGTGTTCACGCCTCAGGCAGAAACACGCAGCACTTCACCATGGCCGGGCAGCGCTCAGGAATCGTCCTCGCGGCGGTGGCGGCACTCAGGTGAGCCCACGGCGAGGACTGCAGGCAGGGGCGGATCCAGGGACGGGGTCAGGGGATGAAAAGGGGGGGACGCCCCCTTCGCCTCCCCCTGGACCCGCGCCTGGCCTGGACCTCCTGCAGACCAGCTCGGGACCCCATTGGCCTCCCACCTTGCGGTTTGGGGACTTGGGAGCTATGAGAGGGGCTGCATGGACAGTGGTTCTCAACCTTGTGGTCGCGACTCCGTTTAGAGTAGCAGAAAAATACATTGGGGTAACGGCTTGGTGCCTGCGCTCGCGCGGAATAGCGCACTGTAAAAAATTTTGACAAAAATTTTCGTTGTGGTAGTGAACGCCCTTCTTAGTTATACTCTAATGAATTTCGTTTTGCCAGTGGCAGAAATCTCGTTCGCCATGGCACCGAAATTTTGTTGGCCACTGGCGATCAGAAGGCTTTTTCCCTACCCCAAAATGGCAATTTTGAGTCGTGGCGCTGGCAAGGATACTGGGAAACCCAAATTTTGTGAACTTTCTAGTTGTGGCGAGGAGATTCGTCTCGGGCCGATGAAAAAGCGGCACGCGCGGTTGGCATAGAACCCCAAACTTCAACTTGGAGTCTTGTGCCCTGACCCCTCGGCCACCGCACCGCTGTTTGGCAGAGCGCTCGCGGAGCTTCATCATGGACTCGCGAGGACTAGTCTGGCCACCACCAGGTGTGGCGAAGCAAAGCCTGCTTCCCTTAGCCCCCGACTTGAAATTTCATAACTGTCGTCTGGGTAGGATGCCTTTCAGTGCCACACCTATGATTTTTCTTCGCCAAGGGGCTGTAATTTAAAGTCGTGGCTGAGGGAAGCATCGTTTTGTTAGCCAAGCGGTAAATTCACGTTTCGAACTTGGAATTTCATAAGCCCCTGGCACTATAAATTCACTGTCGCGGTTTGGAAAGTGACCTTTCCATAGCCAGTGGCGCTTTAAACACACTTTCGTGTCTGGCTAAGAAAATTCAAGAAGCCATTGGCTACAAAAATTTAATGGTATTTTTTACAGTGCGCTATTTGTCATGTGAAGAGCATTTCTTCCGGCTAAGAGCATTTCTAATGTGAACGTTACGGACAGTCTCACTGTATACTGTAAAAAGTTATTTTGGTGGTCCACCCTAGGGGAGGACGTTGGCGCGCAAGATTACAGATTTTATATTAAGAATCGATTGAACAGCGGTCAATGGTCGAATCTCGATCCTCACTCGCCCAGCGATCAATGTGCAGTGGAGAAGTTCGGCCGATCCGTTTCGAAAAGTCGCTTCGCTGCTCTGTCTCTCTCGCCGCCCTGCGGGCCGCGCCATGAGTGCGAGAGAGACAGAGCAGTGCGACGAATCAGTCTGCGGGTCAATAACTCTCGACGGGGCTGTAAAGGCGGATCGATTGAGGACGGGGCTAATCCAGCGGGGGACGTTGTGTGTGCGGATGTGATCCCGTTTTGCGTTCGACTGTACCGAACCACACCGCGGCGCCTTTGGAAAACAGAAACAGAGGAAGGGCCCCCGCGCCATGCCTGATAAGCACACCGTAAAACCAGAAAAAGCAGCCACCCTCTGCCTCTCTGTGTGCAGCGCGCTCTGCGGCCTCTGGGGGTCGGTGGCCAGCTACGAGATCAAAGCCGTGACTCGGCCCGTCATCATGTCGGAGAGCCCGTTCTGGGACGACGAGTCCAGCACCGTCATCTTCGTGGACGTCATCGGCAAGGAGGTGCTCCGCTACGACCCCTCCTCGGGGGAACTCAAGTCCATCAGCTTCAGTGAGTACGCCGCGGACGCCGACGCACAGTGGGCCAGAAGACCGGTGTAGGCGGACAAAACTCTGGACGCGTTTTGAGCTGCAGAGTCGCTAAATGGGGCTCGAACCGTAGGTGTGACCCCACCAATGGATTGCTCTCCGAACGAGGAATCCATTGTTGGGGTCACACGTTCAGTTCGAGTCCCATTTAGCGACTCTGGAGCTCAAAACGCGTCTAGAGTTTTGGCCGCCTCCACCAGTCTTCTGGCCCACTGTGCGACGCCTGGCCGGCATTGGGTTGACCAACTCAAAGAAAAGGGGAAAGTGCCGGTATTCGAACCCCCGCCCTGACCGACCGACCGGCTGATTTTCGCTCGCAGAAAACCAAACGGGCCGCGTGACGCCGGCCGTGCCGGTGCGCGGGAGCTCGCAGCTGCTCGTCGGCGTGGGCCGCGTCGTGCACCTCGTGGACGTGGACTGGGGCGCGGCGGGCGCGGCGGCCGCCATCCGCAAGGACGAGCCCCTCGTGGAGGTGGAGGCCAAGATGCCCGGCAACCGCTTCAACGACGGCAAGGCTGACAAAGAGGGCAGGCTGTGGATCGGTAAGCGGCGCAGAGCCTGCGCAGATCTCTGGACTTCCCTGCACCACCCGCCCGTCGAACGAGTCTGACGTCACGCTCGCCCCCACAGGCACCATGGACGACAGCCGCACTTCGAGGCGCAGGCGTAGGCGCCGCAGCGACACCAACAAGGGCGAGCTGTTTCGCTTCGACCTGCACCGCCACCCCGAGAAGGGCTACTACATCAACACCACGTGCGCGGTGAACGACGGCCTGGTCATCCCCAACGGCATGGCCTGGACGCGCGACAACAAGGGCTTCTACCTGGCCGACTCGGAGAAGAGCGTCGTGTACCGGTTCGACTACTCCAACAAGGAGGGCCGCATCTCCAACCGGACGGTGGCGTTCAATTTCTCCGACTACGGCGTGCCCGGCGCCCCGGACGGCCTGACCATGGACGTCGACGGCAACCTCTGGATCGCGTGCGTGCACGGTGGCAGGGTCATCAAGGTGGACCCGCACACCGGCAAGCTCCTGCTCACCATCAAGATGGGCGTCACCAACGTGTCCGCCGCCGAGTGGGGCGGCGCCAACCGGGACGTCCTCTACGTCACGTCGGCCAAGTACCAGATGGACGACAAGCAGCTCGCCGACGAGCCCAACGCGGGCTGCATGTTCGCCATCACGGGGCTCGGCACCCGGGGACTCCCCAACATGCCCTTCGCCGCCACCAGCAGGTACGACAGCGTCATCCCCACCGTCCCCTCCGCCACCACGACCACGGTCAGGCCGGCGACGCAATAGCCGCCTTTCACCCCTTGACTTGCAAGCACGGTCGGATTGTGTTGTGACATGGATAGCTCGAAAAATAAATCACCTTTGCTGCTCCGCCCCAATTTCACTGGTTTATTTTGTTCAGGTCGTGGGCGATGCGCCTCTCTGCCTCTTGGTCTCTCCTATCGCTGACGCTATTCCTCTCAGTCTTCGCTGCACTTCTTCACTAGAAACCACCGACGCCTCTACTTTCCTTAGTTTCCTAATTTTATTTTCTACCTCTTTTGTACTTTTGTAAATAAATCTTTTCCTTCAGGAGAATCTTGTGTACTGAGTGAATATTTTATCCTAATCCATCACGTGCATCATGCGAGTTGTTAGCACTGAATCTTCGACTTGGAGGTGGGCAGGGGACAGGAAATTAAAATAATCATATTTCCATGAAAGTCATTTATTAGCAATACACATTAAAAAATCCTTTATGCATTATGCCGAGAATCGCCACATATCTTGCGGAAGGTCCTCTCTTTCAACAATAATTCAATTCTGCCTCTCCTAAGATACCAAAACGTCTGGGTTCCACAAAACATTGACGGAGAATATCTCCAAAACAAAAGAAAAACATAACGCACACAAGCTTTTTGATTTGAGAGCCTCTACACAAAGTTTGGGAAGAAGACATGTTGAAGTGCATTTTTCATTGGTGGGAATTGATTTCCACACCATTTCATTTGTGCATTGCAAAATGCGTACATACTACACTCACACCATCAATACATACTCCAAAGATAAACTGCCAACAAAAAAGACACCACTCACATAAGACAATCACACACATTCTTACAAGAAACACACACAGATACATCTTCAATTTAACAAAACCTCAGAAAAAAGGACCACATGATGTCATCAAACCATTAAATGAAAAATATAAAAAAAAAAAGGATGTGCAGAAACCAAAACTGAGATGTGGATTGCCAAGTAGGGTTGTAGATCAACATTTTTTTTTTCCTTTTTTCTATGCCATTTTTATGTTACTTTTCTTAATCTTTCTTGATAGCCTGCTTTGCCTGGTGAGCCTGCAGCACAGCGACTGCTTCTTCCACCTATCAAATGAAAACATGGGTGTTAAATAGTTTGTAAAATCTGCATCACTGCAACACACCATTACAAAACAAAACTGCGTAACAGGACATACCTTGGCCTTCAGGGATTCGTGGTGCTCCAACATGTGAAGAAGTTCTGAGTTATCGATTTCCAGCAACATTCCAGTGATTTTGCCAGCCAGGTCAGGGTACATGCGCTGCAAAAGTCAAATGGTTACATCAAAAAGGGTTCCAATTTCGTGAGACTACCATCCCCACCTCAAAAACTTACCTGAATGAGAGGGAATAAGCGTTCTCCAAGCATCTGCTTCTGGTCGTCTGCGTTAGCCACGGCCAACATGGTGGCGGTCAGAGGCTCCTGGCCCTGGATGTGCACGGCCTGCTGGGCGCCAGCTTGCTGAGGGCCCATGCCGGGCTGGGGCGGGTTACGCACGTTGGCGGTGTACTTGAACTGGCCCTGGCGCTGAGCGGCCTGGGCTGCCTGGGCAGGGGGTTGTTGGGCGCCCTGGGGAACGCCAGCGGGAGCAGCCCCCATGGGTCCGCGCGCTCCCTGGGCCATGCCGGCCACGTTGGCTTGCTGGTTCGTGATGGGGCGGGCGGACATGGCGTTGCGCATGTTGGGTCCGGGCTGGGCGCTTGGGGGTCGGGGGGCTCCGCGGTAGGGGCCGGGCATGTTGGGGAAGGCTGCAGGCCAAGACAAAGTTAGCACAAGGGTTGCAACAGTGGAACAGAATCCATCAGTCGACATTCTTACCTCCTTGTTGGGCTTGGGCAGCAGGGCGGACTTGAGGCTGGGTGGTCCAGCGAGGCTGAGGGCGCATTGGCATCTGAGCAGGGCCGTAGAAACGCTGGGGCTGGGGAATAGTTGGCACGAAGTAGCCGCCGGCGCTGCCGGGCTGGAAGATTTGCTGGCCCATCTGCTGGATGCGCATGTTGGCAACACGCTGCATGTACTGAGACGCCAAGTGAGCCTTGCGGTCTTCCTTCCTCTGGGCAAGAGCAACGTACAGGGGTTTGGTCACCAAGATACGACCGTTCATCTCAGTAACAGCCTTGGTTGCTTCCTCAGGGGAAGAGAAGCAGACGAAACCGAAGCCCTTGGAGCGACCCTCCTCCATCATGACCTAAACAACATTTAAAGTCGAAGTTAGTTCATCTGAAAGATTCAGGTCACAACAAACAGTTTTACAGTCTCTCATACAGTACCTTGGCACTGGTGATGGTACCGAAAGGAGTGAACTCTTTACGGAGGCGATCATCATCAATAGTATCATCCAAATTCTTCACATACAAGTTCACACCCTGGTAACGGTTCAGCCTTTCAATCTTCAGTTGTTCAAACTTGCGTTTCAACTCCATCTGCCTCTCCATTTTCTTCTGAGCTCGGCCCACAAACAAAGGCTGAAAGAATGCACATATTAAAGCACCATTTGTGAAGCCAAACACAATTATTCCAGCAAAATAAAAAGGTCACTTACCACCTTGCCATCCATGTCTTTTCCATTCAACTCTTCAACAGCCCTTTCAGCACTCTCAGGATCATCAAAAGCAACAAATCCAAATCCACGAGATTTACCATCTTCCCTGCTCATGACCCTGTGGCTAGTAATACTACCATACTTCTCAAACATGTCTCTCAAAGCTTCCTCAGAGAAGTCATCAGGGAAGTTCTTGATGTACACGTTGGTGTACAGCTTGGCCCTCTCGCCCAATTCCTTTTCGCGCTCCTTGCGGGGGATGAACTTGCCAACGAAGACCTGAACACAAACAAGCACTATGTAAATGACCTGAGAAGATGTTAACAGATGCTAAATTATGGCCAAAGAAAATGTTAAAGCTAATGAAAGGTCCGCTACAATAGTCAGATAGCGGCCGCAGAACACTTAAACCCTAGTGTTTTTTTTTGGCAATTCTTCGGCACTTAAATGGCTTACAGGCCAACTAAGTAATTATGGAATTGCGAGCTTGAAATATTAAGACAGTTAAATGTCATAGCTAATGAAAGGGTCAACTAAATGATAACTGCCCAAAATCACTTGCTACAATTGATGTGGCAATTATTCGGCACTTGGAAGGCTAGGGGCCGACCAAGTAATTAGAAAATTGCGTCTAGATTAAGTATTGGTTAATAAATGTACCTTCTTTCCGTTCAACAACATGCCGTTGACCTTGTCAATAGATTTATTAGCGGCTTCTTCAGTCTCAAAGTGAACGAATCCATAGCCCTTGGAAGCACCAGTTTCATCTTGAGCAACCTGAACAGAAGTAAAGAACAAAATTATTGCGAGAATAAGGAGAAACAGACTGCTCTTGACATGACATTTCAATGCTTACACGACAACTCAGGATGTTTCCAAAAGCAGAGAACGTATCGTACATAGCCTTGTTGTCAATGCTCTTGTCCAGATTTTTGATGAAGACGTTCCCTACTCCAGACTTGCGGAGAGATGGATCACGCTGAGACCACATGATGCGAATAGGCCTTCCTTTCAAAACGTCAAAGTTCATGGTGTCCAGGGCTCGTTCAGCTGATGGGCAAAAAAACAAGGTCAGCAAAATTAGTACAAGGAAACACCAGTGAAAAACGGAAGCCCCAGGAACATATGGACATTTGGCAGATGGGAACCACCTGAGGGAGGTGAGGTTAGGGTACGGGTACACCACATGGCGGGTACCCACGCTTACCGTCAGCAGGTTGTTGGAAGTTGACATAGGCGTAGCCCAGGGAGCGACGGGTGATCATGTCACGACAGACACGGATGGAAAGCACGGGGCCAGCAGTAGAAAACTTCTCAAACAGCGCAGCCTCCGTAACGTCGGGGTGCAAGTCCCCGACATACAGCGAGGCCATTTGATAATTTTGGCCGCTCGGATTCATCTTGCCTTGAAGTCGTCAATAACACTTCCGAACTTGAAAAACGAATTTTAAAAGAGCAGAAATTCCTTCATAGGCCGTCGAAAATCCTCCAAAACGGTTCCAGCTTGCTTAAACCCACGTTGCAGGACACGTAAACAAACCTCACTCGCGTTTCACTATTTCCTGTTGCGTTTTCTTGTTTTTGCTATTTTTTTGTAGATTTTTAAATTTTTGTCACTTTTTTTGGGTTTTTAGTATTTTATAATTTTTTTTGGTTTAAAGAAATAAGGAGACACAACCTCACATGAACATTCCCTACTCAATCTGTAGAAGAGGCAGAGAAAGTAGGACGGTCGTGAATGTCCACCGGACGGCGTTGGTATCCCTCCGCGACAACGCGACGCGCTGCGGAAAAGCCGTGCGCCCCGCAACGTAGTCCCGAGCTTCCGGGAAAGCGTAGAGCTGTTCTCAGCGCATTTTCCAGGAAAAAACCGGCTTGCAATATTTCAGTGAAATATTTTGGGTGCCGAAAACAGATTTTCAACCTGCTTGAAAAGCCAGGTCAGTGTTTCGAACCCAATGGAAAGTCATACAGTCGCGCAAAGTAGGACTTCGACAGATTTTTAAACCTTCAGCCTATATTTCTATTGACTTTCCTGATGAATACATTATGTAGGAGGAATGGTGCTTTGATATTTATTTCTTGGTGTGTCCAAAATGCAACGATCGCGTTAATGACTCGTAAACTGACCGTTTTTGTCCATCAAGGAAGCCTTTCAAAGCGCGCGCTCCAGCAAGCGGTGGCAGCCTCCACATCCGGCGCGCCAACTTTTGAATCTCCTCGCGGGCCGGTCCAAGCCCAGCCGCGCCCGCCGACCGACCCCGAGGGGCCGCTCGGGCGGCAGCGACTGGTGAGAGATTGAGAGGAAGCGGTTGCGAAATCAATCACTGAGCGTCTCGGTCGAAAATAAAATCAGACAGTCCATAGCGGCCATTTAGCGGACTTCGCAACCGGTTGGGCGAATTAATTAATTTGGCTGTCCATTCCGGCTGCACGCACCGCCACGAAACGCGTACACTGTACCATTTACTTCTGTTTGTTTATTCGCCCAGTGTGGTGGCTCCAGCTGCTGTCTCAGGGCTCCGGAGTCCGGGGATCACTCCCGTTGACCTTGCGGGCCTTTGCGGACTGCAGGCCGGCTCCGAATGGTGCTTTCGTCGCTCTGTCTCTCTCGCGCCTCCACGGCGCAGCCTGTGAGTGCGAGAGAGACAGAGCGACGAAAGCACAGTTCGGGCCGCGGCGCAGCCCCGCGGCGACGCCCCTCCCCGAGCACCGCGCCGACCGCGACGCCTCCAGTCAGTGACGGAGCGCGCGGCGCACGGCCAGCTTCGCCAGCTTCGCCAGCTGACCTTACCTCGCCGCCACTCCCACTCCGCGTGCACCTGCCCGACGGCGGGGCACGCCGGGGCACGCGGGGCCTTTAGTATGCCCGCGGCCGCGCTCTAGCGAGCGTCGCGTCCCCGCCGCCGCCAACGACGCCGTCAGCGCGTAGAGCGCGCACCGGCCGGCGAGCCTTGGCGAACGGCGGCAGTGTTGTCAGAGCAGTGCGTCGACGGAACCAGTGCGCGATTCCGAGCTGGACTCCACGCGGGCGTCGCTGGCGGTCGCGCAGTGATTTGAGCCCTTCGCGTCGCGGTCCGCCATGTAGCGGCAGAGTGCCGCCGTGTCAGCGCCATGGAACACACGGAACGCGCTGATTGACGTGGGAAACCTGCTGTGTTTGGCGGACGCGGGCGGAACGAGCACCAAGACCAAGGTGAGGACCGGGCCGGGCCTAGCCGGGCCACCGAAGGCAAGAATGGCTGGAGGAAGTCAACGCGGCGCTCGACAGTTCTAAGACTCGGGGATCTTTGCGCGCTTCGCGCCGACGGCAGCGCGCGGCAACACAACACGTGTCTCGCAGGAAGAAGCGAAACTGAAAAAGCAGACTTCCGAACTCTATCAACATATCGGCCATAACGCGCGCCGTTTACGACGCCGTCGCTCCGTCTCTCTCGCACTCGCGCAGGTGCGACAGAGACGGAGCGACTCGCAGTGCGGCGCAGTGCGGCGCAGGGAAGTGCCAAGGTGGCGGACTGGTGGCGGCCGGCCAGCCGATTGGGCCAGCCGGCGCGAGGGAAGGCCGCGCGGACCGCGCCGAGGCAGGGCAGGTCCTGCACACCGATTCCGAGAGACCCTCGCCCTGTCTCTCTCGCACCCATTCGGCACGCCATATGAGTGCGAGAGAGGCAGAGCGACGGTCTCTCGGAATCAGTCTGCACTGCAGCGGCCCGGCCCGGCCGGCCCAGTGCGCGGAGACCTCATCAGCTCCAGGTGCTTCTGTCATTGCGATTCACACTAGGCGATGCGAGCACCGCGTTCAAGCACTAGACAGCTGGCAACTCTGCGAGTGTGTGTGCGTGTGTGTGATGATGACGTCAACGACCGAGAAATTGCAGGCCACCGCTGCCGCACGCTGCGCTGCAGACCACCGGTTGGTTTAAACGGCGCCTTGGTGAGCGCGGCGCGGTGGGCTCCGCCTGGCTCCGCCAAATTTGCGGCCAGGAGGGCCGGGCTGCCGGGCTGGCGTGCATGCCACGACGGACGTGCCCGCCCGGCGAGGCTGGAGAGAGAGAGAGAGAGAGAGAGAGAGAGAGAGAGAGAGAGAGAGAGAGAGAGAGAGAGAGAGAGAGACTGGCACTCCTTGCGTGCCGGCGGTCTAGCAGGGCACAGGTTGGATGTAGCCTCACGGTCCGCTGCTGGAAATAATATTTCCCTACGGCGTGGTCCTGCGGCCAGCTGCTGCCGAACGGCGGGCTCGCCGCTCGGTCTCTCTCGCACTCCTCCAGGGCGCGCCATAAGTGTGAGAGAGACAGACAGGGCAATGGGTAATGGGGTAACTCGCTGCCCGGTGCCCGCAAAGTGGTCAGCAGCAGCGAGGCGCCCTCTCTCTCCCTCCGCGAATGAGGATTTTCCGTTACGCAACTTTATCCAGTCGTCTTATTTTTACCGTTTGTTTACGGACAGACTAGTCCGACCGGAGACAAATGACCACACAGAGGCCCAGACTCTCAGACACCCAAACTTCGCACTCATCTACATTCTCGCTTCCGTGACTTTTTTCCGGCAGGTCGGTTGGAATCTGGAACGGAATCAGAAAACACACACGCCCAGTGAAGCCCCTCATTCGGGTCGTCAAGTCGAGTGGGATTAAAGGCGGCGTTCAAGGCGACGCGCCATCAACCGCCCAAACAACAACATCAACAAAAGGGGTAATTAAAGGCAAGAGTTTGTCGACGCCTCCCGAGGGCGCTGCGCTGCTGGGCGGGGCGGAGTTAGGCTGCCCGCCGGTGTGCCGTTGAACCGCGTTGGACGACCGATTGCGGAGTGTGACAGTGTGGCGGTGAGAGCACCACGACGTCGTCGCCGACGCTCCGTTTGTAATCACCTCGCGGAGGCTGCAGCGCCGTACCGCGCTCGCTCGCCAACGGTGCTATCGTCGCTGTCTCTCTCGCACTCATGGGCTGCTGCGTGGAGGCGCGAGAGAGACGAAGCCACTCTTCGGAGTCTGGGAGCGGAGTCGGGCCGTGAGTCAGTCTGGTGCGCGCGGCGGTGGCGGCGGCGCGGCGTCTTCGTCCAGGTGAAGGACGCCATCGACGCCGCGTCTGTCTCTCTCTCTCTCTCTCTCTCTCTCTCTCTCTCTCTCTCTCTCTCTCTCTCTCTCCTCTCTCTCCGACAGACCCTCTAGAGAAGGAGACGAACGAGCGAAACAATAAAATGCAGCGAGACGCGTGCACGTGTCCGCGGCCTGGAGCACGCGACCACGTGCGTGGCGCAACCTTTACCAGCGTCCGTCTGTCTGTCTGTCTGTCTGTCTGTCTGTCTGTCTGTCTGTCTGTCTGTCTGTCTGTCTGTCTGTCTGTCTGTCTGTCTGTCTGTCCGTCCGTCCGCTCGTCGCATTCTCATCACGCACTTACTGTTACGCGGGCGGCGCATAATTGGCGTCGCGTTTTGTCACCCTGCAGGCCGATTCCGAGAGTCGTCTTCGTCGCGGTGTCTCTTTCGTGCACCCGCACGGGACGCCCCATGAGTGCGAGAGAGACAGAGCGACGAAAACGACTCGCCTCCAGCGGCACGGTCGTCGCGCCGTTTGTGGCAGTGCCGCTCGCAGTGGCGGGGCCGGTGGCGGGGCGGCCCTTCGGCGTGCATTCCTCGTGCCGCACGGCGTGCACGGCGTGCTCGGGGTGCACGCCACTCCCCTGAATCCGAAAGTCGCGTCCGGTGTTGTCAATGCAGTGAGAGGCACCGGCTGGCCAAAGTGTACTGTGTACTCTCGCTGTCTTCTCGCCACAACTCGTTATCTGTGCGCCACCTGCTCGCCCGGGACACGGGACTCTCACTGCACTGCCCCCGCCGCCACGCCGCCACGCTGCCCTAGTGCGCGCTGCGCTCGTCACACCCGCCGAGCCAAGGGCCGTTTCGCCACTCTGTCTCTCTCGCACCCCTCTGGAGCTCCCCACGAGTGCGAGAGAGACAGAGGCGACGAAAACGGTGTTGCGAATCGGCCTGCTAGTGCATGGTCGTTGAGACGCGTGCACGCGTGGCGACATAATTTGGCCTGATTTGACTACCAGGAAGCGTCGGGGCGGTCTGGACTCGTAACAGTCCAGCGTCCAGCTTGAGAGCCGCCGCCGCTGCAGGCAGGGCGATGCTGGCGATGCCGCACTGCTCCGTCGCACAGTGGGCCAGAAGCCGGTGGAGGCGGCCAAAACTCTAGACGCGTTTTGAGCTCCAGAGTCGCTAAGAAGGACTCGAACCGAACGTGTGACCCCAGCAGTGGATTGCTCTCCGAACGAGGAATCCATTGGTGGGGTCACACGTTCGGTTCGAGTCCCATTTAGCGACTCTGGAGCTCAAAACGCGTCTAGAGTTTTGGCCGCCTCCACCGGCTTCTGGCCCACTGTGCGTCGCTCTGTCTGTCTCGCACCCCGGCGGAGCGTCGCATGGGTCCGGCCAGACAGTGCGACGACACCAGTGTGCGGGATGAGTCTGCTGCTGTGGGCTACGGGCGCGCTACGGGCAGCAGCGACGACAACGATGCCTTGCAGCCGGGGTCGTTTGGTCGCTCTGTCTCTCTCGCACCGGCAGGACGCCGCATGGGTGCGACAGAGACAGAGCGACGGACAGAGCCCGGTGGTGCCGCTGCACGTGGCCCGGCGGCCCGGAGCGCTCCGGGCTCCGTTTTCCGGTCCACTGCACGCGATCCCCGCGCCGCCCCGCCAACGGAAGCCGGCACTGCCTCCCTGCCTCTTTGTCTCCGTGGAAGTCCTCGCGGCGCCTCGCGGCCAGGGAAAGGAGTCGCGAACTGGGATGGAAGGCAAGGCACCGTGCATCCGGAGCGCGGCCACGGCGGCGACGCGGCATGGCCGTCATGGCGGCGGACGCCAGCACAACAACAACGCGCCGCCAAATCGGCCCCTTTTCCTTTTTTTTCGGGTGTAGTGCCGTGCCGGGCGATGAGGCACGAGGCGCGCGCAGTGAACGCCCTCGACGGGCCGGCCGTACAGTGTAGCGTAGCGCGGCGTAGCGCTCGCGGAATCCATAGTCGACGCCCACGTCGGCGACGCGGTTGTAATGACCGCGAGCAGCGTATGATCGGCGTGGCGAACAACGACAGGGACAAATTGGCACCGCACGCACACAAAGACGCACGCGCACGCACGCACCACACACACACACACACACCACCGCACAAGCACGCACGCACTGATTGAAGTGATTGTGTCCGGAGTGCGCGGTGACTTCCCACGCCGCGGGTCAAGAATGGAACTGCCGTAACTCAGAGAGTGACGCGAAGAGCATCCCGAAGAGGGCCATTAAGACGCACGGAGCGCATAGCGGTCCCGAAAGCGGTCCCAGCAGCACGGCAATGGGACACTTTACGGTGCATGCGGGTCACCGCCGAGGGGGCGCTGCCAAGGCGGTGCTGACCACGGCCCAGGCGAAGGCAGACGGTCGGGATCATGGTGGCGGCCTTGGTGGCGGGCGGGCTCCACGCCAGCGCGCCGCGGACACTCCGGACTCCGGAACGCCTGCGCAGTGCCGGGTAGGCAGTCCCGCCCGACTCGCCTGTCTGCAACTGGCGGATTGCCTACCTTCGCGCCGCCAGGCGCTCCGCCAAGGAGCTTCGGTTTCTGTTGGGCTTCTTCTTCATTCTGTGATCTGTTCCAGGTCTCCGCGCGATGAGTCCCGAGGAGGGCGCCATGGACCCGCCGGCGGTGGAGCTGGGCGTCTCCAACCCGGCCTTCTCCGCCACCCAGGACGAGCTGCAGGTGAGCGATGTCGCACGCCCCTTCGTCGCTCTGTCTCTCTCGCACTCAGAGGGGGCGCGCAGTGAGTGCGAGAGAGACAGGGCGATGAAACGATCCCGACGAGACAAGACATCCAGGACCGCGGCGGCAAGATGATAATGCGAGGCAACCCGACGACCCGGCAACGACGCGACAAGGCTGTGCCTGGCTGTGCCGCGCGGTGCGCATTAGCTTAGCGCGAGTTGGTCTCCTCAAATAGACCGCAAAAAAGAAGCAAAGAAGGAAAGAAGGCCGCGGGAACAAGGCGTTGCGCAACGGTGGCCTTACATAAGCGGCAAATCGGGCGAGAGGGTGGCCTGGACGCGCGCCTGGACGACGAGCACTCCAACGTGGCAGTGACCTGCAGCAGCGGCGGGGCGCGCGGGGCGTGGCGGTCGAGACCCTCATCTGCGTGTCTCGGCGGCCCGGCCGCCCCGGCCCAGATCCAGTCTGGTCCAGCCTGCACCGCGACGCGCACCGCGACAGGGCCACGCACTGAACGCGCTCTCGCGTGCGTTCACCTCGGTTCGGCCCGGGTTCGATTCCCCGCCGTCGTGCATTTTCCTTTTCGTTGCCGTGGCGGTGAGGCAGTGCGAATTAAAAATCCTCCCGGTGGTGATTTATCGGCGGCCCCTCTGGCGCCCCCCGGCGAGCGCCCGTGGGCGGCGGAGTGACCGCACGACGTTTCGTCGCCGTCCCTCTCGCACCTTGAACGGAACGCCCCGCGAGTGCGAGAGAGACAGAGACAAGCGGCGCTCGGACTCGCAAAGCAGTGCGTGGTGTTGAGTGTCGCGGGCCTCGGCACAGTGGGCCCGGTAGAGGGGCGGTGGGGCGGCCGAAAGTCCAGGACGCTAGCTCCAGAGGGGCGCTAAACAAAGCACACGAACCGCAAGTTACCACCCAAGGTTGCTCTTGAAAAAGAAATCCAAATTGTGGGTCACCCCGTCGTTCGGTGACGAGTGCCGATCGGCGACAATTTTGGATTGAAAACGCGGGCGGAAAATTAGGCGCCTCCAAACCGGCTTTTCTTTTCAGCACTGTTGGCCCGCTGTTTTTTGTTTCCTGCATCGCGTGTGCGGCACTGTGTTGTTGCAGGAGGACGTGACGGAGCGGGCGGTGGGGCGAGGGAACCCGAGTAGAGTCCAGGGGATCGACTAGCATAACGGCAGGCTAAGCGGCCTGTCTACCCGAGACAAAACCGTCACACTCGCAAACAAAAAATCGCCAAGTTACCTCAAGTTGTTGACTCAAAACTGTTGTTAAAAACGAACATCAAGTCAATGCGTGTGGCACCGCGAGTCTGTCTCGAGATGGACGCCCACTGTAAGCTGCCGATCGGCCGATGCAAATTCTCGGATTGAAACGACGCAAGGACGCCGCAAGATCAGGCGTCGCAACAGACGCGGCTGTTTGACTTTTGCAGCAGCTAGCTTCGGTCAGCCGCTGTATTTTTTGTTTTGTTTGTTTTTCTATCGCTGTGTGTTATCGGCACTGTTGTTGTTTGCAGGAGGACGTGAGCCGGACTCGCGCGAAGCAGGATGCCATGGTGCCGGAGAAGAACCAGAACGGCCACGGCGTGGTGGGTACCGCCGCGGTGGCCAAGCCTGCCAAACGCGACGACCCGGACGGCGATGACCTGGCCTGCGGCTGGGGCTGCCTCCGGCCAAGGTGGATGCAGCAGTTCCGGACGTCCAAGTGGATCCTCTTCTGGCTGTGCTGGGCCGGCGGAGTGCAAGGTGTGCTATGATGGCCGAGAGGACAGCGCGACGGCGCGCGGTGTCCGCGGTCGTTGGTTCGAAACCTCGTGTTGTTTACATTTTGGCTTGCAGGCATGGTGGTGAACGGGTTCGTGAACGTGGTCATCACGACCATTGAGCGGCGCTTCGGCCTGCGCTCCTCGCAGTCCGGGCTGGTGGCGGGGGGCTACGACATCGCGTCCTTCTTGTGCTTGGTGCCCGTCACGTACCTGGGTGGGCGGGCCGGCGCCTCCAAGCCGCGCTGGATCGCCTGGGGCATCGTCCTCATGGGTGAGTCGAGGCGCGGGCGGCGGGCAGCGGGCGGCGCCGTCGAGGCCAGGAGGAAAGTTGAGTCATCGCCCGAGACGGCGGACCTCGCGGTAGCCGGGGCATCCGGTGCGAAACATTCCGGCGCGAAGAAAGGAGTCCGAAAAATGTGCTAAGTGAATGCAATATCAAGCGCATTCGTCCTTGCACTGCCTCGGCCCACGCGGCCCACGGCGATGCCAGGAGCAGAGGTCCGATTCCGCGGCGCGCGCACTTGTCGTTCTGTCTCTCTCGCTCCCCTGCGTGCCACCAGTGCGAGAGAGACAGAGACGAGTGGGTTGGGTTGCCCGTTGGGTTGCCCGTTGGGTTGCCCGCCCGGCAGGCGCGCCCCGCCTTGACGTGCTCCTCCCCGACACGATGGCCGTCTGGTTGCAGGCTGCGGCTCGCTGCTCTTCGCCTCGCCGCACTTCCTGGCGGGGCCCTACCGCGGCGCCGTGCACCGCCAGGACACGTGCAGGACCGCCAACTCCACCCTGCCCACCGACGCGGTGAGTCCCGCCGTCCAGACGAGTCCCGAGTCCTGGGTTCGAACACCGCGCTCACCCCCTTTTCGCTTTTCGGCGCCTTTCGGCCTCAGACCGCGGAGTGCGACGTGGCGCACGCGCAGAGCGACACCGCCCTCTACATGTGGCTGTTCCTGCTGGGGCAGCTGCTGCACGGCGCGGGCGCGGCGCCGCTCTTCACCCTGGGCGTCACCTTCATCGACGAGAACGTGTCCAAGAAGATGTCCTCCGTGTACCTGGGTGCGTGCAAGTCGCTTTCGAGAGTCATTCTTTCCGCGGCATATTTGGGACATTTTGAATTTGTAATGTTGCAGGCATCTTCTACACCATGGCGGTCGTGGGACCGGCTATGGGGTACGTCCTGGGCGGCCAGCTCCTGAGAGTCTACACCGACTTCCTCGTCGTCGACCCCGCAGAGTAAGGCTCCAAGACTGACAACTGCTAATCGAATATTCAGGGCTAGAATTCCTGCTCATCTTTCCCGTTTTACGATGTGGCGTTGTCGTTTCCAGCATCGGGCTGACGCTGCTGAGCAACGTGTGGGTGGGGGCGTGGTGGATCGGCTTCATCGTGTCGGCCTTGCTGTGCTTCCTGCTGGCCATCCCGCTGCTGGCGTTCCCCTTCGAGATGCCCGGTAACGTTTGCTGCTTTCCGAATTCGAGAGACCGCGAAACGCACCGGCCACCTTTGACACGCACTACTACTGCTGCTGCAGGCGCGGCGGAGCTCCGCGCCGAACGCGTGTCCGAGGCGCACGGCGTGAGCAGCTCGTCCACGACGGAGGCCTTCAGCAAGCTGCGCGAGCTGCCACAGGCCTTCCGCGCCCTCATCGCCAACCCCGCCTTCTTCTTCCTCAACCTGGCCGGCGCCTCGGAGGGCCTGCTGCTGTCGGGGTTCGCCGCCTTCCTGCCCAAGCTCATCGAGAACCAGTTCAGCGTGGCGGCCAGCCGCGCCGCCCTCCTCATGGGTAAGTATGCGCCTTGAGGGTAGGCAGCCAGGCGGCCACCAAGGCACACTGTTGCCTACCCTCCAGGCGCTGGACACCTCTACGACGCGCTGTCCGCAGGGCTCGTGACCGTCCCGGCCGGCGGCGGGGGCACCTTCCTCGGCGGCTACCTGGTGAAGCGCTTCTCCCTCAACTGCGCCGCCATCATCAAGCTGTGCATCCTGGCCTCGGGGCTGGGCGTCCTCTGCGCGATCTCCTTCGTCATCTCGTGCCCCAACGTGGCCTTCGCCGGCGTGACCCGCGGCTACGGCGACAACGCCACCAGCCTGTAAGGACACGACACTGTTTGCTTCGCACACAGTGCACTTCGAGCTGGCGGACAAACATGCCGCCAAGGACCGCAAATAATTGGAACTAACGTTGTGCGTTTCCACGTCGCAGGTCGACGCCGAAGCTGGAGAGCGCGTGCAACGCGGGGTGCCAGTGCGACGGCGCGGCCTACAACCCGGTGTGCGGCGCGGACAACGTGCTCTACTACTCGCCCTGCCACGCCGGCTGCTCCAAGGAGGTCATGCTGGACGCGGCCAGGGTCAGTACCGTCAACGTGCCGGCCAGAGGGACCACGCTGCAGACAGCCTCGTGTGACCATGGTCTGCTCTAGGTGTACTCGGACTGCTCGTGCGTCAACGCGTACAACGCCGCGCCGCTGGAGTCGCCGGTGGAGCGTCGCCGGCGACGCCGCCGGTACACGACCCCCGGCGACGACCCCGAGGAGGACGGCGAAGCGGGCGCCTTCCAGGACCGCAGCATCGGCGGCGGCAGCAGCGAGGGCGTGGAGTACGACGCCATCAACGAGCCCTGCACCTCCAGCTGCGACCTGCTGTGGGTCTTCATCGCGCTGGCCTTCGTCACCATGCTCTTCACCTTCCTCATCACCATGCCCGCCCTCACCGCCACGCTGCGGTGAGCGAAAATCAGCGCGGAAACGCGGTATTCGAACCCAGGACGGCGCTCAATGAGTCTCTCTTCTTCCGCAGGGTCGTCCAAGACGAGCAGCGGTCCTTCGCGCTCGGCATCCAGTGGATCAAGGTGCGCCTGCTCGGCACCATCCCCGCCCCCATGATCTTCGGCCTGCTCATCGACGAGACGTGCGCGCTGTGGCGGCACGACCCGTGCGACGGCGGCGGCAGCTGCATCGCCTACGACAACCTCTCCATGAGCAGGTACGTGTCGCGTCGGCAGCCGAAGGGAAGGCCCTAAACACATCGCAATAACCCCGCCTCCCCCGCAGGTACATGCTGGCCCTCGCCGTGGTCGTCAAGCTGTGCTCGCTGCTGTTCTTCACGCTGGCCTGGCGGCTGTACAAGCCCCCCAGCGGCCTGCACGCCAGCTCCCAGGAGAAGCTGGAGGAGGGCATCCCGGTGGACAGCCTCGCCGGCACGGCCGCGGTCACGGTCACGGGGGTCACGGACGTGCGCGGCGACGTGGAGGCCGCGTAGCTGAAGCCGCCCCGGCACTCTGGATTTTTGCTGTGATAGCCGCCGAGTCTCGCCCGCGAGGCCGCTGCGGCTTATTTTAAGACGTGATACTTGTACGTAATCAGAAAGCTAAGAAAATTTCTGTAAAATTTGTTTTAACGCACGATTTTCAGATTTTATGGACCTCTAACTTGAAAAGCTGTGCTATTCTTTGACGTTCGCCAAAACAGATGAAATTGTAAAACTTCGAAAGTGATCGATTTTTCACTCTAGGCGACGCTTGTGATACACTATGCGGGACCATAAAAAATAATTGTTTGCCTTGGACCCTGTCTGCCCCGTCTTGCAGCAGCGAGGGGCGAAGCACCGTGTTCAAGTCTAGTCTGTGATGGCGCACCGAAGTAAAAGTCTGCCGAAATCCTCAACTAAACAGTACTAATTCCACTTCAATAATTTTCCTCAGTATTATCAACAGTGCCAGGTCTGATGATGTGATATTAGATCATACGCTTTCGTAAGCAAGTTACCTGTAGCTTGTCACCTCTTTCAAGCGGATGGTTGTGAAAAATGTTTGTTAAAATTCACCCAAGATGTAATATGTTTTGGTATTTTTCTGTTTTGTGTTGTTCCTTGTCTCTGTTGGCAAAAAATTGTAGCCGATTCATTATATTTTGATGCAGTATTATTAATCTGTGCTCAAAATAGTAATTACTATTAAAACTGTGTGTTGGCTGTGTTATTATGAAATAAATTAATATTATTTTAAGAATCTAAACGTGCTCTTATTTTCTTTTTGTTCCTTGATTCGACATAAAAGGAATAGGGGCAGATATGACAAAACCGATATTATTGCTTCAAATCATATTTATTGAACTAAGCTACAGTCGGGCACACCGCTTAGGCACGGCAGCTCTCGGGGATGTTGACCTTGAGGGACTTGTTGGCGCCCTTCTGGCTGAAGTCGGGGTTGGCACCCTTCTTGATCATCTCGACCCAGTGGCGGGAAGCAGAGCTGTCAGACACGCAGTGGAAGTCGATCTTCTTCTCGACCTTCTGGGCGGGCTGGCAGTGAGCGTTGCAGGCGGGCTGGGGGCGGAGAGAGAAGCAGATCTGGCCGTTCTCCTGGATGACCTTGACGCGGTGGCTGGTGCAGCCGGCGGCGGACTTGGGGGAGGAGTTGCGGCTGGAGCTGGACTTGTGGCTGGAGTGGCTGGAGGACTTGCCGGAGCTGCGGCGGTGGGGCTGGTGGCGGCCGGCCTCGTTGTCGCTGATGACGTCACCGTACAGGATGTTCTGGGGGAAGCAGGCGGCCTGGTTGGCCTTCTGCTGCTGGTCCTTGACGGAGCCGGAGGGAGACAGAGCCCAGGAAGCGGAGAACTGCTGGGGGTTCTTGAGGAGGCAGTTGCGGGGGGAGGTGAAGTCGGTCATCTCCTCGCCGTCGAAGTTGCCGCAGAGACCGCGGACCTCACCACGGTAGGTCTGGCCGACGATCAGGGCGACGCGGTAGCCGTCGTACAGGACCTCGAGCTTCTGCTGGGGGAAGTAGACCTTGACGGTGCTGGCGGGCATGGGGTAGACCTGGGCGAGGATCTCGCCGGACTGGTCCTGGACCTGGGCGCCCTTGGTGGAGAAGGAGATGGAGCGGCCGTTGTACTTGATGGTGGCGTAGCCGGAGGCGGGGGTGAAGTCGAAGATCTCCTCGTCGAGGATAACCTTCAGCTCCTTCTTCTCGTTGGAGCTGCTGGCGTCGCGGACAAGGACGGAGACCTTGTCGGTGGCGTCCTCCTGGCTGGAGGAGCTGGAGTCAGCGGAGTCCTTGGGGACGGACTGCATCATGACGTGCCAGTTGTTGCCGAGGTTCAGGGGGTAGGTCTTGTTGTCGAAGGTGTTGGCGGCGGAGCGGTCGACGACGCACATGGCTGTAAATTTAAGAAAAAGTGTAAAGAACAGTTTGCGGCCTTAAAATATTTCCGAAACATTTATAAGTGGGACACTTACGGTAGCCACCCTTCAGGGCCTTGGAGACAAGGAGCTGGGTCTGGCTGTACATGGGGTGGACGGCGAGGACGCGGGCGGCCCAGTGGTTGAGGCGGACGTTGTTGAACTCGGCGCTCATGGAGGGAGCGTCGAAGGTCAGGTTGGCGGACTGCATGTTGGGGGCGAAGCGGAGCTCGGCCTCAATCTTGTTGTTGTGGGAGTTCTTAGGGTTGACGAAGTTCTCGGAGTTGTACTGCCAGCCGAAGTAACGGGCGGCGGCGTAGGCCTTGTAGGTGGCGTTCTTGACGCGCTGGGAGATCTTGTCGAACTGGATGTTGGCGGTGTACAGGTCCATGATGTTGGCCTGGGCGGTGACGTTCTGGCAGGCGGGGAGGAAGTAGTTGCCCTTCTCCATCTGCTGCTCGCAGAGCTGAGCGGCAGGCTGGCGGCGGACGAACTCACGGCGGGCAGAGGTCTGCTTAAGCTGAACCTGGGCGTTGACCTGGGAGGCGGAGGAGTCGAGCTTCTCGCCGAAAGCGATCTGGGCCTGGATCTGGCTCTTGGGGTCGGCGTTCAGGGCCTTCTGGAAGTTCATGGCGGGAACGTTGGGCATCTTGGCGGTCAGGGTCATGGCGAACTGCTGCTCCTTGTTGTACTCGGAGGAGCGGGCGGGGGACTTGCGCAGGTAGACCAGGACGCGGGCCTTCTCGTCGACCTGGCTGTTGGCGAAGGCGGCGGTGGCGATGAACTGGGCCTTGTGCTCGCCGTTGAACTGGGCGGACAGGTCGATGACGGAGGCGTTGCTGGCCTGGATGCCGGCGGCGGCGCGGCGGAGGAACTGCTCCTGACGGGCCTGGCTGTTGGCCTGGTTGTTGGAGGGGTTGGCGGCGTTCTGGCTGGGGCTCTTGGACTCGGCGTCGAAGTTCTCCTCGGAGTTGTGGGCGGAGCGCTTGCTCTTCTTGTTCTCGTAGGACTCCTCGTTGTCGTTGTCGTAAGAGGCGGTCAGGGTGACGGACTTGGCGGAGGACTTCTGGTGGTCGAAGGACACGGAAAGCTCGTAAGCCTTGATGTTCTGCTCGGAGGTGGCGAACAGGAGGGCGGAGATGCTGTCGTAGTTCTTGGCCTGGTTGTAGATGGTGGCGAAGTCAGCGAAGTCGTTCTCGCAGGCGGCGTCGATACGGAAAGCCATACCGGTCATGTCCTGGCCGACGGTGAAGTTGGCCTGGTGGGGCTTGCGGAGCTGGATGGGCTTCTGCTGGGCGGGGGTAAGGTCCAGGATGTTCTGCTGGGCGGTGTAGGGCTGGGCAGAGATCTGGATGATCTTGAAGTCCTTGTTGGCCTGGATGGGCTGGAGCTTGACGCGAACCTCAGCGTTCTCGAGGTCGAGGTCGATGTTGGCGCGGATGGGCAGGTTGACGAGGACGTCCTTGTCGAGACCGGCGATGTAGTGCTGGTGGTCGAAGGGGGTGATGAAACCCATCTTGGCCTGGGTGCGGGTAGCGTAGGTGAAGTGGACATCAGCGGAAGCGTTGACGGTGTTGGGGACGAAGGCGGCGTCCTTGGGGCCGTTGGCGAGGTCGGGCTGGGTGCGGACGCGAGCCTCACCGCCGACGGTGACCATGGTGGGGGCCTTCAGGGTGTAGACGAGGGGCAGACCCATGGTGGTGGGGAAGCCCATGGTCAGGGAGTAGCGGTTGTACAGCTTGGTGTAGTTGAAGTTCTCGCCGGAACGGAGGGTGTTGGCGGCGTGCTTCAGGTACTGGGGGATCTGCTCGACGGTGTGGTTGTCCAGGGTGAAGAAACGCTGCTGGGACAGGACGTTGATGAGGAAGTTAGCCTCGACCTGCTCCTGCTGGTCAGCCTGGATGTTGAGCATGTTGGCGATCTTGTCAGCGGACCAGCTGCCGGAGGCGGAGGAGCCAGAGGCAGAGGAGTGCTTGCCGGACTTGTGGGAGCGGGAGTTGGAGTTGGAGCTCTGCTGGAACTGCTCGGCCAGGAGGTCGATCAGGTCGCTAGCGCTGGAAACCATGGCACCGGCCTGGAAAGCGGAAAGAAAGGAAATGAAGTACGTTCAATGAGAAGTGGGATTTGAGCTCTTGTGGCGCAAAAGTTGTACTTACGCGGAGGTAGTTGGCCTGGAAGCCACCGAGGTTGGCGCGAGCGCTGACGAAGGCGGCGGAGGGGATGTAGCTGTCGTCGCTGCCGATGGTGGCGAGGGCGGCCTGGTAAGCCAGGTTCATCTCGTTGACATCGTTGGAGGCGAGGTTGACCTTGGAGTACTGGGGACCGTTGTAGGTGGCGTTGAGCATGTCGACGGCGGCGCGGGCGTTCTCGGCCAGCTCCTGGTTGTCCTGGGACTGCAGGTTGTTGGCGGCAGACTCGATGGCGGACTTGACGACGGAACGGACCTGCTTGCTGGGGTCCTGGTTGGTGAACTCAGCCATGCGCTGGAGCATGCTGGCGGGGGGGTTGGTCTTCATGAGCAGGAAGACGGCGGCGGAGCGGATCTCGGCGGCGTCACCAGCGTTCTGGTACAGACGGAACAGGACGGGGCGGGCGACCTTGGGGGAGATCTTGGCGAGCTTGTTCAGGGCGACGACCATGTGGAGGCGCTGGAAGGTGGAGACCTGCTTCTGGCCCTCGAGGTAGGGCTCGAAGACGGCGAGGATCTTGGGGTGGGCAATGTTGCCGAGGGCACGGGTGTAGACCTGGACCTTGTGGCTGTCCTCGTTCTGGACGGCGCTCTTGAGCTGCTGAGCCAGGTAGGGGATGTAGTCACGGGCAACGGCGGAGGCCTTCTTGGGGTTCAGGCGACCGTAGACGTGGGTGGGGTAACGGTTGTGGGCGGTGGCGTTGTCGACCTGGGCGCGACGGACCAGGGTGGTGAAGGACAGGATGGCGGAGGAGTTCAGGAACTGCTGCTTCTGGACCTCGGACTTCTTGATCAGGGAGAAGAAGGTGTCCATGTACTCGCGGGTGGGGGTGCGGGCGGTCTCGGGAAGGACAGCGAGGAGCTCGGCGGCCTCCTCACCCTGGACCTTGTGGTTCTCGATCCACTCCTTGATGATGGTCATAGCGGGGCCGGTACCGGCCTGGGCGACGGCGTCACGGAAGACCTTCCAGGCGGCGTTCTTGGTGGAAGCGCTCTGGCTCTGGCTGGCGCTCTTGGAGGCGGGGGCGTACAGCTCACGGGTAGCCTGCTCGATCTGCTTGACGTCCATGATGCGGACCAGACGGGCGAGGATGGTGAACTTGGCGAGGGTGGCCTTCTCGGGGATCTGGCTGGGGTGCTGGAGCTCCTCAGCGATCTGCTGGGCGATCTTCTGGACGGCGTGGACAGCGTTGACCTGGCTGGAGGCGGCGATGTTGCTGCCCTGGTAGCCGACGAAGTAGGGGAGCATGGGGTGCTTGGGGGGCTGGCTCATCTTGGGCTTGGACTGGAACCACTCCTCGCTGGAGCTGGTGCTGCTAGAGCTGGAGGAAGAGCTGTCAGAGTCGGAGCTGGAGGAAGAGCTGGAGCTGGAGGAGCTAGAGCTGGAGGAAGAGCTGGAGGAAGAGTCGCTGGTGTTGTTGCGGTTGCTGCGGGCGTTGCGGTTCTTGCCCCACTTGGACTCGTTGCTCTCGCTGCTGGAGCTGGAAGAGCTGGAGTCGGAGGAGGAAGAGCTGGAGCTGGAGGAGCTGGAGCTGGAGTCAGAGCTGGAGGAAGAGGAGCTGCTGTCGGTGTTGTTGCGACGGCCGTGCTTCTGGTTCTTCTGGTTCTTCTGGTTCTCCTGGCTCTCGCTGGAGCTAGAGCTGGAGGAAGAGTCCTGCTGGTTCTTCAGGGAGCGGCGGAAACGCTTGGCGGCGGCGCTCTTCATGCGGTTCTCCTGGCTCTCGGAAGAGCTGGAGGAGCTGGAGTCGGAGCTGGAGGAAGAGCTGGAGTCAGAGCTGGAGGAAGAGCTGCTGGAAGAGCTGCTGGAGTCGGAGCTGCTGCTGCTGGAGGAAGAGCTGGAGTCGGCACCGTTGCTGCGCTTCTGGTGCTTCTTGAGCTGCTCCTGGCTGCCGCTCTCGGAAGAGCTGCTGGAAGAGCTGCTGGAGGAGGAGGAAGAGCTGCTGGAGGAGCTGGACTCGTCGCTGAGGTCAGCGTTGTTGGAGGCGCTGAAGGGGTCGTTGTAGTCGTAGACGAGGTCCTTGATCTTGCGGGGGTTGGCGACGCTCTGGGGGGAGCCGGAAGCGGAGTGCACGGAGTCCAGGGTCAGGTTCATGCGGGAGACGACCATACCCTTCTGGTTGTTGTACAGCACGGGGCTGAGGATGACCTTGTTGGTGGTGACGGAGGACTGGATGGTGTAGCGCTGGAGGCTGCCGGACAGGACGACGCGGCTGACGGAGGAACGGGCCATGAACTCGCCCATCTTGGAGGAGGCGGGCTCGGCGTCGGTGAGGGCGTTGAGGCCGTAGTGGTAGCCGGGGCGCTGCTCGCAGTGGCTGAAGTTCTTGGTCTTGACGATGTCGATCAGCTGACCGTCACCGCGGAGCTGGGGCATGGGGGCGAGCTCGGGGCGGCTCTGGAGCTGGTACTGGGGCAGGGGGCTGATGTCGTACATGACCTCGCACTCACCGGTGACGTCGTCCTCCATGGTCTTGAAGACGCCGTTGACGGAGTTGTGGCTGGGCTTGTTGTTGATGCGAGAGCTGATGATGTTCTCGGCCTGAGTGTCAACCTGCAGCTGGCTGGCGATACCCTTCAGCATGTTGATCTCCCAGGTGGGGACGTTCTTGCTGACGATGAGCTCGTCGACGATGCCGTTCTTGAGCTTGATCTCGAAGGGCTTGCTGCTGATGGGGAGCTGGTGCCAGCTCAGCTTGCTGGAGGGGATGGGGGTACCCCAACCAGCGGGCAGCTGCTCGTTGATCTTGGCGTATTCGGCGTTGGAGACCTTGGCGATGAGGATGTTGTCGGACTTGGGCTGCACAGACAGCTGGGCCTTCATGAGGACACCAGCGTACTGGTTGGCGACCTGGTGCAGGGCGGTCAGGGTACGACCGCGCACCTGGTACTTGTACTCGGAGCCGGACTTCCAGCCATGCTCGGCGGAAGCGGCGGCACCGGCGGCCACTGCAAGAAACACAAAACGAAGCCCGATTAGCGAGCGCCTTCGGAGGGCGGGAACGAGTCCCAGTGAGTGCCAACATTATTTCAGCCTGTGCACAGCAAGGCGGGGGAAAACACAAGAAGAGGACTCACCAAGGCAGACGAGAAGCAAAGACTTCCACATCATTTTGGCGTTGAGTGGATAGCACCGTCCAACGTACCGAACTGAGCGCTGCTCGCCCCTTATATAGGGCGCAAAGTGTCGAGGCGGGGAAAAAAATGGAAGCTGGCACACACGTGCCGCCCGCCACGGGTCACCGGGTCAACCACATCAGCGATCCTCGCGAATGCGGGATTGAACGCCTCTGCCCCGAAAACGATGACAGAGAGCAAGCAGACAGCGCGGCGCAGCATTCGTGCCGTCTCGCTTCCTCGCCTTGGGCCGGCACGTGGCGGCCACAGGGAAGACAAGGACGGAGAAGGAAGCACGGCGCTGCGCAGTTCCCGCTCGGCCCTAGCACTTTCCACAGCCCCATCGGGTGACGGCATGCCTCAGTCATGGGCTCAATTTAGAAACTGAAAATCCAAGCATTTTTCTCGTCAAATTTTTCAGTTTTTTTTAATTTGTTTTATTTCATGGGGGGATGGATTTGAAAATTTTTGTGTAACTTGAAAGGGTTGGTACGATTTTCGGTGCCCTCCGCTTCACCCCCTTTGCCGGGAGAAGCCCCAACTTTCCTGTATTTTCTGGTAAATGTTAGAAGTTGCTCCCTTTGTTTGCTTGCTGCCATTAATTTGCGGTCTCAAAAACTCTTCCAAATTATGAAGTCTCACTACTTTTTCACATTTCAAGTGTAAAACATGCGCCTCATGCTCATGAGCTCGCATGGTGATGCGGGGACCAGCCCACGTAGAAGAGCAGCTATCAAGAAGGCTTGCTCAGCCGAAGATTAGCAAGGGAAGTGCTGTCTACTGCAAGTGTTTTGAACTTGAGGCCAGCCAATGTTGTTGCTGTTGGTTACAGTGTGTATGAACGAGGGAAGACCCAGTTGCTACCCCCTTCAAACGAAGTGATTATAGACACGCAGCGTTTATATAATAAAAAGCAACTTAAATACACGCGGCGTGCAAATAACGCCATTTTCATTATATACACGCAGGAAAAGCTTTCCAGCGTGTATAAAATAAAAACAGCGGTTTTTTCAGGCGAGGGGGGAGTGGAGGCTCGTGGCGGGCACTATCTGCAGGGCCGAACTCTTTACCAAATTTAATCTTTGTCCAGCCCAAAAGGGGTAAAACGGGGGCTTTATTAAAGCTAGAGGCATATACTATCAAAGGGTGGGTTATCGGAAAACATCAGGGCAGAAATTTTGCATTCTCCTTGAAAAGTCGTCAGATACCCTTTCTGACCATGGTGGGTTTAGTCGACGTCACCGCCTGCTAAGGCCTGAGGACGTCCACTTTGTAAGGAGAATGCAAATATTTCCTGCCCTGATGTTTTCCAATAACCTTTCCATTTGATAGTTTTGCCTCTAGTTTTAAATAAAAGCCCCCATTTTTTCCCCTTTTAGAGCTTAACAAAGATAAAAAATGGATACTATGTGGCCCTGCAGTTGGGGCCCGCCGCGGATCTTCGCCAGACACTGCCGTCGACCCCCGCCGCTGCTTCCTTTTTTGTCATTTCCACTTTTAAAAACCGCCTCTGGTCGAGGGGGTGCGTGCCTGCATGCCATTTTTTTGGCCCGGGTTCAAAACTTGGATAATTTTTCAAAGGATGCGTGCACATAATTTTTCGGCGACCGCGACACGCGCGTCTGCACAACCGACGATCTATTATTCTACGCCGCGTGTCCCTTGTGCCGAAAATTATGTGCACGCATCTTTTGAAAAAATTCTCCAATTTCGAACCCTCCCAAAAAGGGTGGCATGCGGGCACGTATCCACTGGACCACGAGGCGACACATCGGCTTCCTCCTAGGCATCTCTTCTCCTGCTGGCCTAAAAACGGGAGTGCAAATAATAATATAGGGAGTTGCAAACACCTGCGTAAAATAACCCCTCCTTTATTTTGACAACCCCGGGAAAAAGCTTTTCCAGCGTTGGAAGAGATTTTCCACGTGCAAATATTTAAGAGCGCTTGCAGACACGCTGCTTTGGGGAAACAGCTGTTTTTATTATGTACCCGGGAAACCCTTTTCCGGCGGGGAAAAGGGCCCCTTTCCCGGGCGTGTACATAATACTTTTGTGATTTCAGACACCGCTGTGTTGTTCAATGAAATATTATAGCCACGCGGCTTTTAAAATAATTTTCCCATTGTTGCGTACACGCTGCGTGTATATAATCGGCCTATATAAAAGGGGTCTAAAAGACCATACTACAACTGCTAATGCCTGAAGAGGATGATGGGGAATTATTGAAGAACAAAGAAATATCTAATATTTGCTTTATATTTATTTATAAATTACAACAGTAAGCAATCATAACATTATTCAATAACATAACAGCAATATAGTAACATCCAATTTTTTGATACATCTTTGGCAAAAACAATCCAATAACAAAAATGATTTAAACATGTTCTTTTCAATGTTACTAGAACAAAAATTGGAATGAAAATACTGAGAAATTTTCACAATTTGCAGGTAATACAAACAATTGTGTTTGGCCCCATAAATGCACTACCCCTTGGGGCACTGGTTTAGTTTTGAGCCTGGTGCTGGCCTTGAATTGCATTTTCCACAAGACTAGTGAGATCCATAAGTCTTTCCACATTGTCACGCTTAACACCAAGCTTTTCAATCTGCAAACAAAAAGTACAAGTTTTAGTGGTATTTTTTCCCACAAAAAAAAAAAAGACTGCAATAAAAACAAAGTACAATGCACATACTTCTAGAATAAAGGTATTGACATCAATGGAAAGCTGCATTCTAATTTTATCATCATCAGACAATCCACGGCCCTCTGCTGAGGAAGCTTGTGCACCTCGATCTCTCATTTTCTTCAAACGGCGTAAGCTCTCTTCTGTTTTTTGAACTGAAGTGAGTACATCTGACACGCAAATATAGAACCTGTTCAAAATAAAAGTTGGTATAGAAGCAGGTTCACGGCCAAAGGGACTATCAAACGTGTTTTCACTTACTGGCATGTTATTGAAGAACAAATCAAAGTAAGCCACTCCTCTAACTGACTTGTACTAACAGAAGAACTGTAGGTGTTGTGAAAGTCAAGGAGTGGAGCCAAAATTGCATTCACATAGGAACAAGGCTTAGTAGGCACATCTCGATTGGTACGTCTGAAGAGTCTCGGAATGTCACTAACTTGACGGAGAGATGCACCACTAACTGCAGCTACTTCAGATACAATACGTTCTGTAACTGCTGGTAATCGGGATAGTAACTGTTCGGAACTCTCCTGCAGACTACCTGTTACATTCACAAAAGCAAATATTGTTACTGACGCATCAAGAAAATGAAACATAAAAGAGTTGAGTATGATTGTCAACTTACTTTTGAAGTGGCTCAAGCTAGAATCTGATAAATTATTAAAATGTTCAAATGCCAGATCTAAAATTTCAGGCAGGGATGATGACAGTGACTTAATGTCACAAAAAAGCTGAACCAAAAATGATTTACGACTTGTGACCTCTTCTGCACTCCATTTCTTGAAACACAAATGTAAAACAGATTAAACTCTGTTCAAAATAAAAATAGAAGATTCAGTAAAGCATGAAATACAAACCTCTCGTAGAACTTCCCCGGTCCATGAGTAATAGCGAGCAAAAACTTGAAGTGTAAGTTTCCAAAACCTTAAAGAGAAATTTCACAACCGGGAGTTTACATCTCTGATGATATGGTAATTGAATAAAAACGAATCCATAGAAAAAGGACAATACCTGTGAGTGAGCTGAAAAAGAAATATTTTTGAGTTCCAACACATCTGAGCTGCTGCCCATGTAGCAGCAGTAGGGGATAATTGGAACTGATCAGAGGTTGATTTAAGGTTTTTAGGCCATTGAAACAAAACCGTCTCTAAACTGCCCGCAATTTCTTGAAACCTGATTTGAAAATAGACGGGAAGATTCCAAAGCTGGAGGAATGACATGTACTGTGGGTGTTGATGAAGTCGTTTGACTTCAGCCTTGGATCCACATTTCTGCTCAAGTTCGTTCAAGAAACTTTGAGTTTCAGTAAAATTCTGAAAGCCAATCAGTTATTAACATAAAATAATTTAAAATATAGTAAGAAGAAAGAATGGAAGAGGCAGTAAGCTGAAAGACCATAAATGATATACCTCAAAGAAGTTGTCAGGATTGCCAGGGGCAAATATTGAAGGCATGTGAAGCTCAAGGCGCTGTTCCACCTCGGGCCAGTAGCTGTTAACCAAGAAGAAGAATCCAGAAACAGCTGGTGGTCTGCAAGAAAATTATAAAAGAAGGTCTCAATTGAATTAATAATATGAAATTAAAACTGAAATACTGAATATTACAGTACGTTTAAAGTATTCTGTAAGGCCAAGAAAACTACCTTTCCCTATGTGAAGTGAATTCCAATAAGTCCTTCATATGATTATCAATGAAACTTAAAATTTCCCTGTACACTCCCTGAAACATAAATTGAATGACCAATTAATGAGTGTTTAACATTTCAATCAGGTAAGAGAGAGAGAGGGGAAGAATTAAATATTGACAATGTACCTTTAAACCTTGAGGATTTGATTGTAAAGATGCCTCACTGATAACATGGTGCAATTCTTTGGCTACTACTTTCTTTTGGAATAACTCTTCAGCTTCGCGTTCTTTACCAAGACTTTCATAAACGCACAAGCACCTCTTGATAGTTACAATATCTGGTACATTTATACTCTCCAGGAAAAGCTTATCCAAGCTCTTCATAAGTGCTGATTCTATTTGAGACAGACGCTGTAAAACATTTATCAGCATATAAATTAGAATGATACGTTCATATGTACAAATTTAAAGAATAAGAATAAACTATCAACCTCCTTGTACTCCTCAGCAACAAGATCTTCACAATGACCTATTCTAAAATGCAGCTGATTCAGCTCAGATGCCATTCGCTCTACTAGATCAGCTCCAGAAAAATCATCATGTTTTGCTTCTACCAACTGTTCATTAGCCCTCTCTTTATCTGTAACAATAAAGGCATACAATAAGAAAAATCAGAAGGACCTAAAAAACTAACAATGTAAAAAATAAGCATGAGTCTCACCAGAGCTTGGAGACTCAAAACTAAGAGATGGAAGACGCAGAAGAGTACTGAGATTGTGGAGAGACTGCTGAACATAGCTGAGGCTGTGAAGGCTTCTCTTCGTTTTTTGAAGAAACCGTTGCTTTTCAAGGCTCTCAGATACTTCAGTTATTGCCTCATCAAGATTAGACTTGACTTGCTGTAAAACCGAAACCAAAACAACTTAATACACTATTCTACAGGGCGAAATTTTTTTTTCATTTCTAGTTTCTTACCCAGACTTCTTCTTTCAGCTGACCAAGTGGTACTTGGATTTTGGTGATGGCTTTGTCGAGACCAATAAGATTACTTGAGAGGTTTACAAAGTCTGCATAGTCTTTGTTGATTAATTCAATCATAGCAGAGCGCAGAACTTTAAGATAAACTCCCAAATCATCTCTCATAATTTCAAGGTTTGCATTTTTCCGCTGATTCTGAAGAAATTCATCAACAGAAAAGGGTGTCTGTAACAAACGTTGTGCAGATTTTTGGGTGGGTATAAAATTTTAGCAAGTAGCGAAAAGAACAGGTGTCCCACATATCACAGTAAAAAGATTGACTAAAACAACACAGTATTTGTAAGCAATTTCAGAAACAAAAAAAATAAGAAGGAGACAAAATGTATCTAAAATAAAATTTAAAAGCCCAATTATTTCCAGAAATTAAAAATAGGTTAGAAACATAAAATTTGAAATTTCTTCACAAAGTACAGTTCAACATGAAGACATACCTTCATGAAATCATATTTGCTGAAACATAAATCCTTCGGTCCATCAGGTAAGCTATGAGTGTCGTTTTCTGAGTCCATGGCTAAAAATTAAGATTTGACGTGAACACCAACCAAATAAACAAACCACGCACTCGTCACTTGTCATACTCCACAACAACCCGAGATGCCAGGCAGGGAAAGAGCGGAAATGCCATAACTATTGCATTAGATTCCCCACTTACAGAGACTCACACTTGACATAAAAGAATTTATTCATTAACAGAACATAAAGTTCTTTCAAATTTTCCATTAAATATGACAGTTTTTCTCGATGAACCTTGAGATATTCTGGTTCGTTTCCGGTTCATCTCTCCGGAACTGAAGATCTAGGTATCTAGTAGGTGAAAACGGTCAAAGGCAATTTGTCCGTTTTTGTCTTTTGCTCTCCAGGCATCAACTTATTTCCAAAATGAGGATCTTCCGAGCCTTATTCAGTGTCGCGGCCAGGGCGCCCAAGGAGTACAGTAAGTTGTTGTGACGAGGAAGTACTCCAAATCACAAGTACCTGACTACCTAACCTCCCTTTCATGTCTTCTGCAATTGATTTAAATTTATTCTTTTTAGTCACTTCTTTTGCTATCATGTCTGGTGATAGTTTTTCATTTACTTGTTTTGATCTCTATCTTCAATTGAATTTATCGAGCTCTTGTCTGCTTGGTTTACAGGCAGCTATGAAAGGTTCATGTACAAAGCAAACGGCTACTGCAAATACGGTAAGGTTTTATTATGCCACACTGTTGTATCTTAACAGTAGTTATGAATTTGTGCTGTAATTATTTCTTCTGTCTCATTTCCAGGGCTGCTAAAGGATGACCTTCTCAGCGAGCACAGCGATGAAGTGGTTGAAGCTTTGAGGAGGCTCCCGGAAGAAACCTACCTCCAGAGGGTTTTCCGCACCAACCGTGCTGCTAATCTGTCTATGACCCACCAGATCCTCCCAGAGAGTCAGTGGACAAAGATTGAAGAGGTAAATAAAATGAGGTGGCACTATTTTGGGCATCCCTGCTTGTCAGCAAAGTTCTCATTTAAACAATGTTTTGCAGGATCTCCCATACCTTTCCCCAATCCTTGAAGAGGTTGAGAAAGAAATTGCGGAGAAGAAGAACTGGGAAGACAACAACCCCCTGTAGAGAGCTGAGCTCAATGTAATCTTAGAATGTTTTATTTTACCGGGCACTTTTTCGGCAAGGCCGGGATGAATGTATGTAAATATCTGTGTACATGATCTTTTTTTGGAATCCCTTACTGGGAACGTTGAAACTGTCAGGCAATTAAATATACTTGTCAAGTAATTCACAGCATGTGTTCCTTGTCCTTGCCTTATCAGTGCACATCCCATCTACTGAAGTAAGTAATGCATGACAGACTGCGTATGTGCTACATGGACTAATCCTGACCCAGGAGTAGCAGAGGCCACAAACTACACGGCCCTACTTGCCTGGACGTGAACTGTGCAATGGTGGCATTGCCTGCCAATACTCTGCATTTGCAAACAACACCATAACTGAACTGTGACCCGTCCACAGGCTGACTAGACTCTGTTTTTCTGGTGTGTAATCACAGGAAAAATTAGAATTTGTGATTAGAAAAAGAAACTACTCGCAGCCCTTATGATTTATTTCCCTGATATGCATAGGGTAAAATTTTTTCCATCTTGAATTTTTCTAAATAAGGTAGTTTTGAGTAAGGACTCACGAATAATATGGTCATAGTCACAGTCATAATACTTTATTATCAAAACCCACATAAACCTAATTAACAAGCCACAGCAATTCAATATTAATCTTGATCTTATTTTCCCATTCGTTGGATGCTCCATTCCTGCTGGCACAAGGGACACCTGTTGTTCTGCTTGACCCACAGCGACATGCAGCAGTAGTGGAAGCTGTGGTTGCATTCTCCCCAAACTACGACACAATCTTGCTTTCCGCTGCCCGTCTTGCTCTCGGCCTGACACCGCAAGCAGGCATCTGAAACACAGGAAAAACAAAATTATCAAGTTGATTGATAAAAACGATCCATACTTAAATTACGATGTGCTTAAACACTAAAGAGTTCAACCGTTCGTGAATACATAGAAATTGCGCCAGTAAAAAGGGAACCCACAATGACCCCGACGTGATTTGAACACGCAACCTTCTGATCTGGAGTCAGACGCGCTACCGTTGCGCCACGGAGTCGGTTGAGGGGGGAAGCTCGTAGCTCGCCTGTTGGCCAGGGCTCCCCACTTCAACTCCCCGCTCGATGGCGGTCCGCTTGGCGCGGCTCGCCACGGCGCGGCCACTACACTGGCGCGAACGGGACGGCCATTCGAAACAAAATCTGTTTGAGACCACGCTTTGCGCCGCACATGCGCAGCGTTCGGGAAGGTTCGGCTGGCTTAAAGTTAGTTGGGGGGCGCTCGGGGTCGTTTGCAAGTCATAGAAGAAGGGTTCGCATGTCATGCTTCTTGAAAGGAATAAAACTCTTCACGCGATAGTATGGGGATAACAGGCCATGGGAATAACAGTGACATGAAGATTGGTCTATCACAATGGCTTTTCGCGAGCTTAAGCACATTCAGGCAGAGTGCATGACGCGGGGGAAGCACATCCTTCATCGTGACAGGGCGATCAACAAGTGCGTGTACACAAAACGGGGCGATGAACATGAAGGCCTCCTTCGCTCTCGAAATAGAGACGCACCAAGCCTTCCTACATTTGGGAAGGGATATGGTTAGGCAGGGGCCGGGGAAGGGAGGGCGTGCCCCACTAGTACACTGTTGTGCTGACACGCCACTACCACGCGGTTCGCCGCGCGGTCATCGTTTACGTGCAACACTGCAAACACCACCACACAAGCGGTCCTGTGGCGCAACGGATAACGCGTCTGACTACGGATCAGAAGATTCCAGGTTCGAATCCTGGCAGGATCGGTCAAAATTTTTCCCCGAGTGCGATGTGCCCCGTTTGTTATAGACATAACGCCAACGCCTTGCCTTAATACCCCGTAACGCTGTAAATCAGCTCATCTAGGCCAAATTGTATTTCTCAATTTTCTCTTTGAATTTGTTTTTAGAAGTGCCGCTTAAGCGGCACAGAATACTGCCGTGTCAGGAGGTGAGGGTGTTATTGTCGCGTCGCAGAAACGGACTCAGCCAAGAAAAGTGACGCAACGCGGGGGAGGGGTGCAAGGGGTGCCGTGGCTGTGCCTTGGGCTGTGCCGCGTCCAAGTCCGCCGTGCAGGGATGGCCTTTTCATGGGCTTGCCGCGGCTTGCCGTGGGACTGCGGCCCAAGAGACACCAGTGCCAAGAGCGCAGCGGCACTAGAGCCCCTCGAGGCGCGGGGTATCCACGACGCCGCACCGCCCGCACCCAACGGGGCCCACGGCCCGCGGCCCGCGAGAAGGCGGTGAAGCGTGCCATCGTGGTGGCGCACGAGCCACGCCGCCACGCCTCGCCCTTGGCTCAAGTTCACGGCGCTGGCGGCACACACGCGGCAATGCAGCCAGACACCCAGGCAGTGTCAACATCAAAATTCGGGGCAATTCTCTTGCAGTGCCCACCGCCCGTACAACTCTCACAGTCTGGAGTTCGCGAGAGTTTCGATAGACGTTACGAGCCCCTGCTGAGATGGTCTCATCCCCCTCCCCCTCCAAGGCGAACGGAGTGTGTGCAGTTGGAAGCCAGCAGCTGGCCCTGCTGACGGAATCGCAGACACAATGCGGCCCGAACCCCCCCCCCCCCCGCAATGCCATGAGGCGCAGCGCTCCGGCTCCGCTACAACACCCCCTGGCTCCCCTTGGCGGGCCGTTGCGGCGCCGTGGATGACGGCGTCCATGACGTCGGCGAGGGGGACAGCCCTTGGGGCAGCCCTTGGGGCAGCCCAGCCCAGCCGGTGCGGGGGCGGCCCGACAACAACACCCTCCACACACAGGCACTGCACACACACACGCACAGAGACTTTGCGTCGAGGCCACCGCGCGCCCTGCGATCAACTTTGTACTTTACTTTGGAGGGGGTCGATTTCGCCAAGCCTGGCAAGCCTGGCAAGGACGAAGGCGGTGGTTCGGACCCCTTGGACGCACGATTTACTGAACAACCAATTTCCGAAAGAGCGGGCAAGGCCGCAAGGCCGTCGCCAACGCCTTGGACAAACACAACCGATCACCCGCGTCGAGTATAATCATTCAAACTAAAGTAAGCATCGTCAAAAGGAAACACGGAGAATGTACAGTCCCCATCAAACTGCCTTCCGAGTCCAGCACGCGATTAGCTATAAACTAAATTGACATGCCGACCTCCCGACCATTAAGACAATCAAGTGGTTCTTTGATGACGTCCAGGACGTCCGCCGCGGCCGTCTCCTCCTGGGGGCTGCTGCAAGTTCATGCTCTTCAGGGCGAAGCGGACCAAGCGGGCGATGTCATGTCCTCAAGCACCTGCACATCTGGTTGCTCAAAAACGTTGCGTCAGGGGGCGATAGACAGATTGTGCAACAATGTTTGTTTCAAATTTTGACCACTTAAGCGAGTGAGTCCGGCTGGCGGGCCGCACGTGGCGGGGGTACTGTATGCACTTGGGGGCGCGGTCTCAAGATGCAAGTCTGCGTCCAGCACCGGAAAATTAACTTTAATCGAAAGATAAGGCGAGAAGATAAGCAACATTTCGAAAAAATGCTTCAATCAAATTAGTGGAGACGCTCACTTGAGACGGGCGGCATCATCGTCAAACGGGGAGGACAGTAGGACAGCCACCAAGTGCAAACAAAAAATTGGTAAAAAAACATTTTTTTTTAAAAAAAGATTGTTTGAAATTAGAAAGTGAAGTTTGGGAATTTTGCTTCCTTTTTTAAAAAATTGTTTTGCTGCATGCGAATTTGACATGAGGCGATGCCGTTCCTCGCGAGGTCACCCACTCGCCAGGATTCCGAGACGCAGTGACGCGGCGAAAGCGTTCTAAAATTAAATCGACCATTTCTTCGTCTGCCTGCAAAGCGTCACATTTTCCTTTGGTTGACCGAGGTCCGGATTATTTTGCATTGCGGTGGTGGCCTCGTCCCGCCCTGCCAACGACCCGAGCGGGCTCGAGCGCATATCGGACTCGCAGAGAGAGTATTTGTTGGGCCAACAAACCAGCGGAACGGCAAAGTTTCGCAACCCGGAACAAAACTTCTCTCGCCCCTGCTCTGGACACCGGCGCCATGTGGCAAAATCAAGTGGAACTCGGCAAAGGACGGATATTTTTTGAAAGCGTCGGTTTTTGTCCACCCCTTTTTTTAGGCGGACGCGTTTTTTGACCCGCACTTTTTTGTTTTCATTTTCGGAGAGGTTTGTTTTGATCCGAGGCTGACGGCCGACTCCCGTTTGTGTTGCGTCAGGTTAGCGACGTCTATGCCGGGCCGGCCGGGCGAGCGGGCCGCCACGCGTCGCCCCTCAAGGCAGCCAGCCTGCATGTGATGACGTTTTCCGAGGGGGCTCGCCTGCCTCGACCAATCAGAGGCCGCGCAAGACCGACCACACCTCCGACACACATACCTCTCTCTCGCCGTCTCTCTCGCTCACCAGCTGAGACCGGCGGAGACCGCGCCGCCGTGCCGGCTTTACAACCAGGACGCATGGCGTGATGTCTGCGCGGTCAAGGACCTAGCAACAAGCCACCGTTCTGCCACAAAAGGGCGTGGAGCGGGTTCAAATACCACCCCGTCATATACTTTTTCTCCGCCGCCCAACGTTCCCCTGCACTGGCAATTTCGGCTTCCTCCCGTACTAATCAAGGCCTCCGTTTTAAGAGTGCCGGTGAAAGCACCTGCCCGTCGACCTGCCGGGCCGTGCCGGGCATGCCCCGCCCCTGCAAGCGTCCACGGGTAGCGTCGCCACATCTCGCTCAACGTTCGACAGAGTTACATCAGCCACGCTCCTTGCCACCGTGTGTGTGTGTGTGCGTGTGAGAGGACGTCAGTGTGTGTGCGTGTGTGTGTGTGAGTGCCGCTGATCTTTGGATCTGGATGTGCTACTCACAACAGAGTTGCAGGGAAGGACCTTCAGCCGCGTGCCTAGCTAGCTAAGTTGAACTCGCTCGCACACACAACTACAGAGACACACACACACACGCACACGCACGCACATACACACACCTTTATTGTCGGCCTTGCCTACGGACAGAGCCACTCGCTCACGGTGCTACGAACGTTTTACACAATCCGTCCCCGTCAGGCAAAAAGGGGCCGCGCCGGAAGCGGGGCGTGGAAAAGAAAAGCGGGTGGGGTGGCTTTCCCGCGAAGCAGACGACACAGCCCTCCAAGGACCGGGGACCGCCGGGGACCGGGGTTGGGAGGAAGAAAGGCAGAGAAAACATTTGCCCGGCGGAGCCGGAAAGGGACAGCATCAAGGGCGCGCGTTCGGAAAGTCGCTGTACTTCGCCTTTTTCGCACGCGGCCGCCGTACTTCCGAGTCCAAAGGGCGCGGGCTGCGTCCGAGACTGCCCCAGACCGTCCGAGGCGGCAGCGGCGGCAGCGCGACGCATCCACTCCTTCAAACTGCCGCCACACTGCCCGGCACTGCCGCACCCACCCTTGACCCGATTCGCAAGCAAAGTCTGGCGCCGCGGCGTCCGGGCCCCAGGCAGGCCAAAGGCAGCCGAAGGCAGGCAGCCCCAGGCCCAGCGACGGGCTGCTTCAGAGAGGGGGTCTCACCCGGCCGTCTCTCTCGCACCCATGCGGGACGCCCCACGAGTGCGAGAGAGACGGAGAGAGACCACCCGGGCGGGCCCTGGGCCAGGGTGGGCCAGGGGGCGGAGGGAGTAGGCTTATCCGGAAAGTGATACTCCATTCCAGGAACGTGGCCTGGATGGCCTGGACGCCGAGCCGCGCCGCCCTAGAAAGGTGGACGACAAGGCTGTGATTTGCGACGAAAAGAAAACAAATTCAAGTGCGTCAGCAAAAGACCAAACATCGGCAAAACCAGGTCCTAACGAGACAGGGCTATATTTAG